GCACTGTGTTATCTGCCATCATATGATTTGTCTTATCTCTGATCGCTTCTTTGCTCCTGCCACATGGCACTCCTGGTGTGATCAGTCAAGATCTGGCCGAAGAGATTGGGCGCGCTTCTGCGCTTAAAAACATGAATCCCCAGAGCGGCGATTCTTCGAAGTGTCTCCATCCTTCCTGCTCCTTGCGTGCCTGAGCTCTATGGCTGCCACTGAAGCACCGACACTCGAGAAGGTTCACGACCCACGGTCGGACTCTGCGTCTTTCGACGACAACGAGAAGGGCGACTACCACCCGGAGAAGGTCAACCTCGACGATGCCGAGGAGGTCGGGGAGGTGTTTGCGGATGGACCGCGTCTCATCGACATGGACGAGACGGGCCACGAGCGACCGATCGGTGTGTCTCTTCTTCACCACGGGTACCCAATGCTCGTGTGACTGATTGTGGGATGACAGAGACGGACATGGACTATGCGACTCGTCTCGTTTCGCTCGATGATGACCCTCTGATGAGGGTTTTTACCTTCCGGATGTGGTTCCTCGCTCTCGGTCTCTCCTGCTTTGCGTGAGTGACGGTGAATCGATGTTTGCCATGTGCTCAAACCACTCTCAGCGCTGTCCTTGGCCAAATCTTCTACTTCCGCCCGCAGACCATCTACGTTTCGCAGCTCTTCATTCAGATTCTTGCCTTCATTCTCGGGCGTGTATGTGATTTCGCGCTGGTCTGACATCTTGATGCTAACGTGTTCGCAGGTCATGGAGGTGATCATTCCCGGTCCCTCTGAGCGTGCCTTGCTCAAGACACCTGATAACGCGTTCTGGCGATTCATGAACCACGGACGCTTCAACCTAAAGGAGCATGTCGCTATCGTCATCATGGCTTCCACCGCCTCTTCCTCTGCGCTCGCCATCTCCGTCTTTGCTACCCAGGAGCTGTACTACAACGTCAGCACCAATGTCGGTGTCGGCATCTTCACGTCAGTGGACCCTCTACACATATGGGTTTGGGTTGCTAACGCGCCTGCAGCCTGATCGCATCGCAGCTGATCGGCTACGGAATGGCTGGTATCATGCGAGTGTTCCTGGTGTACCCCACGTTTGCCGTCTACCCTCAGATCATGCCCACCGTCCAGCTCTTCGAAGCTCTGCACAAGGGCGAGGGCATGATGACCCAGTCGAAGCGCAAGAAGATCTTCTGGTACACGTTCATCGCCATCTTCGTGTGGGAATGGTTCCCCGAGTACATCGCCCCGACTCTCACCGGTATCTCCATCTTCTGCTTGGCCGACCGCAAGAGCCCCTGGGTCAGTCGCATTTTCGGTGGTGCGGGCAACAACGAGGGACTGGGCGCGTTCTCGATCTGCCTCGACTGGGCTTACGTCGGATCTGGAGGAGGCTCTATCGGTTCCCTGTTCACGCCTTTGGCCACTCAGCTTTCGCTGTACGGTGGTTGCGCCATCTGCATGATCGCCTTCTGCGCCGCTTACGCTTCCAATACCTGGAATGCTCAGAACTACCCCTTCTTGTCGCAGCTGCTTTACCGCGAAAACGGCAGCGCCTACGACCAGCTGGCAATCCTCAACGGTTCGTCGGCCGCGGTCGTTGTATCATTCTTCAAACTGACATTGATGTCCAGACGACTTCACGCTGAACTACGACAAACTCAACGCTTACGGCTTGCCGTTCTATGCTGCTTCTCAGATGTTGTACAAGGTTTCTCGCACTGTCTATATCGGAGGTGTGTTTCGCTGTCTTGCTCTCGTCCTTCACTCACGATCATCCCAGCCGCTATCACCCACTTCGCTCTGTGGCACTCCAAGACCGTCTGGAAGCTCATCCGCGGCGGTCGTGATGCGATTGACGACCCACACTTCAAGAAGATGAAGGTCTACCCCGAGATCTCCAACTGGTATTATCTTGGCCTCTTCGTCGTCTGCTTCGGTGTTGCGATCGGCACGACCTATGGCGCCAAGTCTCAGCTCCCGGCCTGGGCGACTATCATCGCGCTCATCTTCGGATGGTTGCTGGTCCCCGTCATCGGGACCTTGTATGCCACCACCGGCTACGCGCCCTCGGTCGAGAATCTGATCCAGATGCTGGGTGCAGCTTGTGTCCCTGGGAAACCGGTCGCCAACATGTACTTCACTCTTTACGGCTACAACTCGGTTGTCCAGTCCTACACCCTGACTGGTGACTTGAAGCTCGTAGGTGTTCTTCCCATATCGACAGCACGGTGATCGATAACGGTTTCTGCAGGGCCAGTACACCAAGCTTCCTCCTCGGGCAACCTTCACTGTGCAGGCCATTGGATCCATCGTCGGTGCCCTGCTCAACTTCGTGCTGATGAAGACGATCATCTCCACTCACCGCACCATCCTGCTCGACGTGCAGGGCAGCAACATCTGGTCCGGCCAGCAGGTCCAGTCGTTTAACACAGCCGCCATCGCCTGGGGAGCGCTCGGCAAACCTCTATACGCGACCGGAACCATGTATGGTGTGAGTTTTGCCCCGTATTCAGCTTGTTCTTTCGCTTATTGGGTGACAGTTCATTCCGTATATGTTGTTCGTCGGTCTCGCCTGCCCCATTCCCTTCTGGTTGCTGCACAAGAAGTACCCCACCGTTGGTTTCAACAAGGTCTTCACCCCCGTTCTGACTGGTGCGTGTCTCTGTCTCCTTCGCCAGCAGATTCGTTGTCTGATGAGAGAAAACTGTAGCCGAGCTCGGATACCTTGCTGTCGGCATCAACTCGTCGGTCTTCACCTCGTTCTGCCTCGCCATCTTCTCGCAATTCTACCTGCGGAAGTACCGAGCCACCTTCTTCCGCAAGTACAAGTGAGTCAGATACGGTTCATGACCCTTGTTGATACTGATCCCTGGCCAGCTTCTTGTTGTCCGCTGCCCTAGATGGTGGAACGTCCGTCATGATCTTCGTCTTCACGTTTGCTGTCGCCGGCGCCAGTGGCAAAACGACACCCTTCCCGACATGGGCACTAAACCCGGCATCCAGAAACCCGGATTACTGCATGTCCCTCAACAACTAAGGGTTGTTATCACTACTGGTCTCCTTGTATGTATTTCGCACGTAGAAAATAGAAAAATGCATCTGTTATCCCAATTTTGGTGATCGATTATGCGATCTGGAATGACTGTTATTGAAGAGATCCGTCACCACGTGTCTGTCTGCAAGATTGAGCAAGTGTTTCCGTCAATCTACATGTTACACTTGATTTGACAGCCTCCAAGACCACCTCGAAATCACTTGTGAGCTACAGACTGAGAGCGGAACTTGACATTCTCCTCCCGCTCCAAAACCATAAACTCCATATTCCCACTAAACCATCCGGAAGACTGCTTGCCAACCAGCTTGCCCGTCTCGCGTGCCTGTGCACTATTGATGTGTACAGTGTGCGTTCCCGATGCTTTCGCCGCCGTATCTGCCAGCAGCTGGACCTGACACGCTCGTTCCATGGCGATGTAGAAGTGGACAGTGGCTTCGATGGACGACGTGGCCACGAGCAGGCCGTGGTTCTGCAGGATCGCGGCTTTCTTGGACCCAATGGCGGCGGTGATCGCCTGGCCTTCGAGCTCATCGAGGACGACCCCGTTGTATTGGGTGTACAAGGCATGGTCCTGTGCATCACAGAGCGATGAGTCAGGGATAGCAGACTCGTCTATCTTTCTCTCACCTCAAAGAACGCACACGCATCCTGCGATATCGGATCCAGCATCTTTCCCAGCGCTGAGAAAGCCTTGCCGTACGTCGAGTGCGAGTGTGCCGCGCACATGACATCCGGGCGGGCAGCATGAATCGAAGAGTGGATCATGAAGGCGGCAATGTTGAGCAGCCGGAACGGCCCATCCTTCTGACCAGACTCCTCGTCCAAGATGTTTCCAGCGTGGTCGACGAGTAGAAGATCGGAGGGTTGGATCAGGCGGAAATGCAGACCCTATGTTCGGTGAGATGATGATCCCGGCCGCATGTCATTCGCGACGCACGAATGGGTTGACCCAGAAACAATCGGGACGGATCGGGTCCTTGACCAATAATGAGCCAAACGGACCTGAACGTTCTGGATGAGGATGTACGAACCCGGACGGTGATGTGTCCCGCAACTCCCTCGTCGTATCCTCGATTGCCTAGATTTCATCGTGTCAGTCTCAGCAGCGACGGAAAACCTGCTCTCGGCACCGAAAATTCGCAGGGCTTGAGCCAAGCGGAACTTGATCCATTCCCGTTCTTCTTCTTTGGTCTCGAAGACGGGAGGCCTAGGTGCTTTCCCTCGAAACGAGTTCCTCGGAGGATCATCGGCGAAGTCGGATTTGCCATTCGTGTTCTGCATCTGTACAATGGGCGGGGGAAGAGAGATCGATATGAACTCCGTGTGAGCAATTTCCGGTATGTCTCAAGTACAGCTGAGAGAAGGTCTGCTGACCTTGCACCTCACACCTGTAGCGCTTCTTGCATCAAAATGACCCATCTTCGTCCCGAAGACTAAGTTAACCAAGCTCCAATCTCCATCCAGGAATCATTCCGACTTTGAACAAGAATGAGCGTCATGTATTCCATCCGGGATTCGAGATTGTAGTTTGTATAGGGGAAAATTGCTTGATGGATTTATGTGATCCGAACGGTGGCAACAGACCCGGGTGGGCATCACTGTCACTGTCACGAATTGACCCAAGCCCACGGGCCGGGCCCATGAAAAGCAGTCGAAATCTATGTAAGGGCGACTCGGAAACTCTAGCTCGGAGATCGGACCCTTTTCTGCCACTCGGACGATCTTATGGCCTGATCTCTGCCGCCCGCCTGCGCCACCTTCCTTTCTTAACCATCTAGAACAAGCGATCGAGTACAGGCGGCTTGGTACTCTGCACCTCGAAGGAGCGACTGCTTAGCGTCTCTCGGCAAGATTATCTGGCAGCGTCAGCGAGGGTATTAGAAGCGATTTTACACGATGGTCTTGATTGGCAAGCATCACGCCTGCTTCTGCCGGTACTGGTGAAGAATATGCCACGATAAGTTACTCTCTCTCGAAAAGGATGCTATTTCCAGTTGAAGCGCGTCATGTAATTCAACTATTTCATTCTTACACATCGCAGAGGCTAACCATTGCCATTCTAATATGAGATTATCCCCAGATCAGGGCACATTGTCCAATTCGCCAATTCAAAAAGATACCGCAAACTCGCCTGGTAGTAGAGTCTCGAGACAAAACAAGATCTATTGGAACTGTATGGGCCCGGGCTATTACGTCACATGAGGGCACCCTCTCTAACAGGAAGCTGGCTAGTATACGAGTATATGTAGACTCAAATAATGTCAAGTAGATGTCCACCGGCATCAACCCCAACTCTCCTGACTCCTGAGGGGAGAAAAGAACATGAAGTCCACGCAATCAAAGCCCCATTACATTCTATAGTACAGTAGGCCCGCTTGTTTGAGGCGGCCCTCGATCTCACTCTCCTTTTTGTCGTGTTTTTTCAACCAGACGCCGGGATGCACAACATTCAGTGTCGTGATCGCGAGCGCGATCATGCAACCATCGAGGATGTTGAAGTAGCGCTGGGTTGAGATGATGGGGCCGCCGAAGCCGTCTAGAAGTTCGACTGTTCGATAGATCGCGCTGCGTCATTCTTTAGCCTCTCAAGGGATAGGAAATTGGGAGAGAGCCACTACCGAATGAAGAGACACGCCGTGTTGAATGTTAAAGCACCGACCACGATCTGCATCGGGTAATCAAAATTTCCCCGCCCGTCGCTCCTCTCACCGAGAGGGGAACTGGTTATCAGACCCCCAGACAGCTCATGGTACTCGGCCTGCTTGCCACCAATCGGCCAGTCCTTGAAGTAGCGCAAGAGGAATTCAGTGGCGAGCAAGATGTAGATCGTGATCGTGACTGTCGAGCTAGGTTCAGCGGCGAGAAAATCATGTATGTATCGCCCACGGGGCGTACCCATTTGAAAGATGATCCCGATCAACATGATATTTGCACCGGACTTGGTGCTGGTGCCGTTATGTACCGCAAGACTGGCTTTGGTGGCACCGAATCCTTGCACGGTCAAAGAAACAATGTCCTGCAAGTCACGTTAGATCTCTGGCACCCACGAAATCGAAGGCTTCGGCATACAAAACTGCAGAATATTATGGAGTCTGAGGTGGTCAGCTCATGTGCGCGTGAGGAATTTCCAGGCAGGGACTCGCACATAATTTGGGGGACAAACGGCTGTATTGGATGCCCAATCGCTGGATAATCCGCCCTAGAATCATAAAGTCTGCGGCGATCAACGGTGTTGGGCCTGCAGCACGGGAGTCGGCCGCGGAAACAATTTGAAGAGTGATGCTCACCGATGATGGTTCCGATGGTCCTACATCCCAACGTCCTTGAGCGAGCGGAATAAGAGTGAAAAGTCACCCACTGGATCTCGAAAGCCAGCAGGACGGTTGGATCGAAGCTAGACTTGAGACGAGCACCCCATCCGACGATCTCCAGGAGTCCGCACAAGACTGCTGTTGGAATCATCCACTTCGAGCGATATCGGATGGCTTGATACAAATGAATTACTGGAAGAGCTCGCATCAGTATGCGTCCGAAGAGCGAGATTGGCGGAAAAGCACCCGTCGACGCGATGAAGAGGCCGAAGAATGTGGCGCAAATCCATTCAGTCGGCGTGTAGTGGTAAGGATTTAATTTCCGTTGCCCAAGATGCAGCATGATTGAAGCGAACTCGAGACTCGGAAGTATCATGGTGGAGCAAGAAGAGGTGCACAGAATGGACGTGGGTGAGAAAAAAAAGGGTCTGAAACAGCCTCACGATGGGTGCTGTGCGTTGCAGCACAGTCGTGTGTAAAGCGGCGGTTTCCCTTGCTGATCAATCAACGGGAGAATGCCTGAAACTGTTGATGTATTTTGAAAGACCCGAAATAGCACATCATTTAGACTCTCGATTCCTCATATTCTCTTCTTTACACTCTGCTCTACATTTACACCTGGGAAACTCAAGACTCCTCCAGTCTTGATGAGTCAAACACCGCAAATAGAGTCCATCATGATTGAGTGCAATAAAATTGATGTCATCAAGGGGTAAGGAGGGCCCGTGATGAAACATCTTATCGTCTCTCTTATCAGATATGCACTGATGTGCGAGCGGGATCAATAATCTCGGCCTGCCGATCATTGGAACGGCGCCTGTCCTTACCCATATTCTCCCTGTCCGCATAGAAAACGCAATCACACTACAATGATTGTTGTGGGTCACAATTTCTTGAATCCAGAATGTTGATTGTGCTGAAAACTAGGGCGGTGCTTCGTTCCACATTCGCAAATTCAAGCTGACAGAAATGATTGTCGGGCCGGGCTGCAATCTCCGTGACACTGACAGCGCCGATAGTACTTGACATGATCATGTGCATTTCCGATCACCATCTCGTGCGTTTCTTTCGTTTGCCCACCATGTCCGCGACCGTCCAGGACGAGCAACCAAAGGCCGTGAGCTCACTCTCGAGTATTTCAAGCCCCCAGAAGGGCAGGATCGCGGGCCTGAAGACGAAGCTGACGACGAGGCACGGGTGGATGGGGGACTACGACTACGCATGGTGCGCCGTTTTTCCGTCTGCACGCTCTCGTTTTCTTGACTAGGGAATGTAGGCTTTGCACACCGACTCTCCCGTTTGGTAATGCCCGCAAGAAATCGCGTCAGCCACCCTTTTACGCGCTCGATCAGGAGCTTCCGCTGTTCCTCGCGATAGCGACCGGGTTGCAGCACGCGTTAGCAATGCTCGCGGGCCTTATCACTCCTCCTATCATCTTCGCGTCGTCCCTGAGCCTGGATGCGAAGACCTCGGCGTACATGATCTCCGCGTCGTTGATTGGCTGTGGTGCGCGCCTCGGTTCCCTTCCGTCCTGCAACTGACCCTGCCTTTTGTCAGGAATACTCAGTCTCGTGCAAATGTCGCGCATCCCGCTGTTCAAAGGATATTATCTTGGTACTGGTCTCATCAGCGTCGTCGGCACGAGTTTCGCGACACTGAGCACGGCGAGTGCGGTCAGTCTGGGCGTTCTAGACTCGGCGTTATCTCAACGTCCTGCCAGATCTTTAACGCGATGTACGCCGACGGCACCTGCCCATCAACGACGGCGGCAGATGGTACGACAACGCGAGGTCCCTGTCCGGAGGCGTACGGAAAGCTGCTTGGTGAGTTTGTACCTCTGAATTCGATGGCGCGTTGCTTACGAACGCGGGAAGGAACATCTCTTGTGTGCTCATTGCTCGAAATTCTCATGTCCTTCGTTCCCGCCAAGCGCTTGCAGCGACTCTTCCCGCCAATCGTCACGGGCACGGTCATCGTACTCATTGGTGCATCGCTCGTCGGGGACTCGGGTATGCCGAACTGGGGAGGCGGATCCAGCTGCATGACTCGCCCGGCTACCGGCTTCTTCACCATGTGTCCTAACGTCGCTGCCCCGAGACCGCTTCTGTAAGTACTTTCACCTGCTGTCTGTGTTGCTCTCATCTCTTCCCGAACAGATGGGGATCCGCTGAACTAATCGGCATCGGATTCCTGTCGTTCATCAGCATCGTGCTAACCGAACTATTTGGATCGCCGTTCCTGAAGAACATTAGCATCATCGTCGGACTCGCGATCGGCTGCATTGTCGCTGGCGCAGCGGGGTACATCGACGGTAGCAGCATCAAGTCGGCGCCGGCAATCACGTTCTTATGGGTCAAGACGTTCAAGATCAGCGTGTACGGCCCAGCGGTGCTGCCCATGTTTGCTGTGTACAGTATGTGATAGCTGGTCACATTACGGTTGCGTTGACTAACTCGTTTCTTTCCGTAGTATCGCTCGCGATGGAGGCCATTGGAGACATCACGGCCTCGGCTGAAGTTTCACGGCAGGAGGTCGATGGTGAGGTGTTCGATTCACGGATTCAGGGAGGGGTTTTGGTCGGTGATCAGCTTGAGTTCCAACTTGCGCACGACTAACCAGGACGCAGAGCGACGGTCTCGGCGGCTTCATCTCTGCACTGTTCACTGTCGCGCCCTTGTCTATCTTTGCGCAGGTGTGTCCAAACGCGATGCATCTCGTTTACTTGCCGATTCCAACAGAACAACGGCGTCATCGCGATTACCCGCTGTGCCAATCGGCAGGCCGGCCGATGGTGCTGTTTCTTCCTCATCCTCTTCGGCATCCTAGGCAAGATTTCCGGCGCGTTCCTGGCCATCCCCAATCCCGTTCTCGGCGGGGTAACGACGTTCCTCTTTGCGTCGGTCGTAGTATCCGGTGTCCGGGTTCTTGCCTACGTGAGGTATACACGCCGTTCGCGATTCATTCTTGCTGCCGCATTATCGTTTGGGCTCGGCAACCTTCTCGTCCCGGGGATCTTTACGTTTTTGTTCGAGCGCGTGCACAACCCCAGTAAAGGCCTGGAAGGATTCTTTAGCTCGATCACGATCGTGCTAAGCACGCCGTGTGAGTACATCAATTCCTGGTGACGCGCTCGCTCATCACTTTACAGTCCTTTCGGCCGGAATCATCGCGTCACTGCTGAACCTCATTCTCCCGGAAGAAGATGCCGAGGAAGAGAATGACGACGATGTGGTGGAAGAGGTTGAGGATACCGAGTCGCAAATGGATAACAAGAAGGATTAATTTACGTCGTGTCTAATGAAGTACTGTAACGGCCCCCATTGAAATGTCTCGTAGAAAGTAGAACAACAGTTTATGATTATGACAAACCATTTGAGCAGTGAACGGTTGGACACGGTTTGACCTGATAAGGACTTCTCTAATCGACCACGTGTGGGCGCTAGGTCTCGAACCAAAATGAGCCATTGATACGTCTACGGCGGGCCCTGAGGGGATGATTATTGTAAGTATGCTTGCCGAATTAGTTCACATCCTTGATCTTTCCTAAGCCCTTTATCGAGAGTTCCTGACGATGGGAATTCAGAAATCTCTGCCCATGAGTTAAACATATAGATGAGCACTGGGCGGCCCAACCGATCGTCCTGAACGCAATCGCAATTAGATGAGGATCGGTCGCGGTCACCAGATAAACCGAAAACAAAACACGCTTTTCACCTTGTATCAACGAGTGCTTTGAGCTCCATCAGCAGTTTGGTTTGCTCCAGTATCGAAGATTCTGGAGCTTCCGTGCCATCTACTTACGGAGCTCATCCGAGCATTGAAATTTATAGACCAAAACAAGGTCTGGGACGGAGAGCTGAAGTCAAGCATGCTTTTCGTCCTCCAGGACTATGAAGTCATATCGTGATCCAAGAATGAGCGGTGACCTGGTGGATTTCTCTATTTGATTGCACTTGGAATATTTTTTGAAAAATGGGACATCGACAAAGAGACGAGAGTTCTAGATCGACACGGCCACTCGATCAATCGACATTGACGGGTCAAATGCCGTTCCTCTCCTACGACACAAAGAGGGACCCGTCCTCGACTGGCAAACTACATCCGGTCCGCATAATCTTTCTGGCGCTCCGTCCCGGGGACCCCAACTGCTGTGCGACGACAACGGGGCCTGACTGCTACGCCACGTCTGGGCGAGAATACTAGACTGACGATACACCTTTCAAGCAAGTGCACTGCCCTGCCCGCCGACACTCGCCTCGGTGACAAACGTGTTTGATACTGGTCTATCTGCCCCGCACTGTACCTTATTCCGGTGCCATACTCCCCGGACCAGTGACATTTCGGCAGAACGGTAGAACCTCCACCGATCCGTCTGCTGAAGATGTCTTACTAGGTAGTTCAAGTCTGGGTCCTGAGTGGAAGCCGCCGACCACCTTCTGCGAGGCCTGTCTCGGTGATCGTGCCCTCGACTATCAGTATCGGTGTTACAGATGACGCCCGATGAGATGGGTGTCATCCCATGCTCCATCCACTCGAGAGGATCGCATCGGTGTGCATGAATCCCGCCTTTTACCCCGTTGGTTCTCATCCGATTCTCAGTGCCACGCTTCCCAGGGGTGTTTTCCCCTGTTTTCCAACTCAGTATCGGAGATGCAATGGCGAGGGAGAAGCCTTCGCACATTCATCTACGGAGAAGCGTCAAGAAGCGCAAGAGATGTCAACGTGCATACGAATCGGCAGAATGGAGAGCAGAACTACCAAATAGTCTGATAAGCGAATCGCTTCATCGACGATGCGACCAATATGTTCGAGATCCGTCTCACCAATCTGGTTTCCTCGTTACCTGCTATCAGCCAAGGCCGATTCTGATAAAGGATCCATGCTTTTTGTCTGTGCTCAGGCCAGGTCTCCTCCCTCTTCCCTTCATGTCCAGCGTCCAACGTCATATCCCGCTCGTGTTGGCAGCCATCGGTACCGTCGTGGTTGTCTATTTGGGCCGCCGTCGTGCGCGCCGCCTGCCGCTTCCTCCAGGCCTCCCAAAACTTCCGATTCTGGGGAACCTCTTCAATCATCCGAAGGGTCAGCCCTGGGAGGCTTATGCACAGATCAGCAAGGATGTTGGTGGGTGGTAGATGTCGTTGTCGGAATCATGCTCACTCTGCATCCCGAGACTCGGATATTCTGCACTTCGATCTAGCGGGAACATCTCTAGTTGTGCTGTGCTCGGCCTCTGCTGCAGCAGATTTGCTGGACAAGCAGTCGGCAGCCTTTTCTGACAGGTCTGTAGCATAGCCCTGCTCTGTTTTTATTTCGATTCGCTGAGATGGTCTCGCGAAGGGCACGGAGGCCGATGGTTGTCGAAGTCATGGGATGGGACTTCAGCGTCGGTGCGTTCAGATCACGCAAAACCTACAACCCGGAGCTAATTTTCTGGCAGCGGCAATGAAATACGGTAAGTGTGTGTGTATTTCAAGCGGTTTTGATAGCGAACTATGACCCAGGGGACAAATGGTTGGCGTGGACCTGCCGTCTCGTTTCGAGTGCCGAACTGACCCTTGTGCCAGGCGCGCTCATCGGCGATTGATGCATCAAGTCCTCAACGAAAAGGCCGCAGTCCAGTATCGGAGCAAACAGCTCGCCTCGGCACATGAAGTGCTGCGGCGACTGATGACTACACCTGAGGAGTTCATGGATCACTTCAGACAGTGAGTCGTGGCGGTAAGCGGGATTACGAAACATCGATTGACTCTGCTCCCAGCTGGGCCGCTGAGATTATTATGTCGACCACTTACGGAATCACCATTGCGAAAGAAAACGACTTTTACGTGGATTTGGCGCATGCAGCGCTTCGGACGTTATCAGTCGCCGGTGTCACGGGGACGTTCTGGGTCGTGCGTGAACAGGGCTTCTCCTTCTGGCCGGTGTTGATCCGCGATCGATTCAAAGGACTTCTTCCCCGCCCTGCAACACATTCCGGAGTGGTTCCCCGGGGCGAAGTTCAAACGCGACGGAGCCGTCTGGAGGAAGATGGCGCGTCAGATGGTCGATGTGCCCTTTGCAGAGACAAAGCGGCAGATGGCGAGCCCCACTGTCTCCGGCGGTGATATCTCGCTCAAAATATTGCACAGGCATCAGGCGAGGCGCCCTCGTCGATCGTGTCGGAAAGCGTGCGCACGATGTCGGATTCCTCATTCTACAATGAGGAAACAGTCAAGAACTCCGCGGCGACCCTCTTCCTCGGCGGCGCTGACACCAGTGTGTCCGCCCTCCAGACTTTTGTTCTCGCGATGCTGGCGAATCCTGAGGCCCAGGCCAGAGCACAGGCCGAGATCGATGCTGTCACGCAGGGCCTCCGGCTCCCAGATTACGACGACGAGAAAAACTTGCCATATGTCATGGCAATCGTGCGAGAGACTCTGCGCTGGAGAAATGCAACTCCAATGGGTATGCTCGGGTATGCTCCGGACTGGGGATAGATTTCACATCTCCCCATTAGCAATCCCGCACTTCACCTCGGTCGACGGCGAGTACAAAGGCTTCAGGATCCCGGCCAAATCACTAGTGATAGGCAATACTTGGCGAGTTGCTTCTCCGCGTACAACGGAGTCGAGTCTGATTTCCCACATTAGGGCTATCACGCATGATGAAAGCGTCTACCCAGATCCAGACAAGTTCAACCCCGATCGGTTCCTGCTTCCTGACGGACAGATCAATCCCGATGTTCCGTTTCCGGATTCTGCATTCGGATTCGGTCGGAGGTCAGTGATCCGTTGACGAACATCTCTATCGCTGAAATGAGACACAGAGTCTGTCCGGGAAAGCCCATGGCCTTGGCTTCGCTGTACATTGCTGTGGCCTCGATCCTATCTTCGTTCAAGATCTCCAAGGCTCGCGACATCAACGGGAACGAGATCGAACCGACTTACAAGTATCTCGCGGGCTTCATAAGGTTTCTCCTCTTTTTCCATTCTCTCAGCAGTTCCGAGCGCTGACCATACGTTTCCTCAGTGCACCGGCACCTTTTGAATGCTCCATACTGCCCCGGTCTGATGATGCTTCCAGTCTGATCATGAACACCGTAGATCTGTGAAAAGATTCTCTTCTGCGAGTTTATGTATGATTATTAAGACTTCAGATGTTTCTGATCTTGATTACTGTCCCTTCCCAATGTATCTGATCTGAACTAGAGCTCGCCTTGTAGAATAAAACCGGAACGAGGCCGCTCCGCAGAAAGATCCGACCAGCGGTCGTCTGGGGCTGATGGCTCCACATTTGTTAACTTAGTTCTCGCATCGATGACATCGCTAGGCTCCATTTCTCTTCAGTGAAATTTGCCCTACATATAATTCATCACTGGGTTAGGATACCATGCAGCGAAAGAAATCTCACTGTGGCGTAATGCTGAAGCACGAAGGCGGCCTCGGGATGCGGCTCTTCGCAACAGGGACTGAGCAAACCCAAGACCCGAAAATTTGTGTACAAAAAGGTCGATCACGGACTGATATAGACTTTAATGCTCTCTGATACACCCTATCGTCGATCGGGAGTGACTCGCATCAAGTTGGAGCATTCTCCCGCGCTGATTGTGTGCTGTTGCTCACTGTGTACAGGCTGTCATCGTTCACCACGACTCCATTTTCTGTGCTTTGAAGCATCCTAGGTGGTTTCTAAATGTTTATCGTGCCAGGAATGAACACATAGCGAAGTCGATGCCAACGCCTCAGCACGAGACACTAGATGGTTCTGACGTCATTTTCCACGTCACTCTCGCTTTGTCTCACTTTGTTCCTAGTTCTCAACCTGCAGCTGCCAAAAGAAGACCTTGCCGTAGGATCCTCTGCAAATTTCGGAAGTAAGCGGTGAATGCCGACGTCTAGGATTGCCCCTGGTGGATTCGGGGGACGCCGAAAAATGTGATCAGTATGTCAAGCCTGCGCTCTCTCGTGCTTACCCTCATCTCAGATGTGGATCTCGGATTTCCTCCGAGATGAGCGCACACGCGTTTGCGCGCCTAAACTACTTGCTGCCTGGATGTTTTCGTATGGAGGCTCAAAACTACATGCTGATAACCGAGACGCATATCAGTGATGCAATATGTTGTTGAACTACGGATCATATGTTATTATGTCAGGACCCCAAAGACCATGAGTGATGATCAGAATGATCACGTGCAACAACCTTGACGAGCTTGCTGACAAATCCATTGACCGACACTTGTCATCACGTGCCAGATCAATTGTGGCTGCTTTGTCAGCTCAAGCAGCTTGCTACGTCATACTGATGTGGCCTCTGATCAATTGATCGCGGGGCCAGGGTGCATCACTGCTCGTCAATGAATAGGTAGAGATACAGTACAATTATCGCTACCAATCACCCTCTGCTGCCGCTAAAGACTCCTCTTCATCAGAAAACCATGCGAATAAATCATCCGATGTGGAAGGTTCATTTTGCAAATCACCATTGACATTGGGCTCTACGTCGTCAATCATCTGGTTCAATTTAGACTGTAAGCCTTGGTCTAGAAAGTTGTAAGTCTCAGAGAACACAAAATCCAATAAGCACGCACCTAAACCATCACCTTGATTTACACCACCCATATAATATCCGCCATCTGGACCAATGACACCTTCACCTCCGCGTAGTTCCTTGAGACCGGGGATGGGCTGAATTTTGTCATTGTAGTTGTCCAATGCTTGTGTGAGCGCATAACCCCAATTCTCATTAGCGCTGACATCCACACCGTGAATCTTATCAAGCGTCCGGAATTCAGAAAGCAACTGGAGGTAGACGTCCCAGCATGACTCTCTGTTGACACTTGGCTCACCAATACTTTTATAAATCCCAGAGATCATGTCATGGAATTCGGGAGGAACAAGGTGAAATATCTTGTGATCAGGAGGAGCGTACATAGCTCGAACCTTGTGAACACCCTCAGGATCAATCTTGATCTGTAAATTCTCAAATCAATTGAACATGCAAGAAATCGATGTGAAATTACAGACCTTGAAATCAAGAATTGCATAGTCCTCTGGGTATTCGAACATATGGTTTGGAACACCATGAGGAAGAATCTTGTTACGATCATGGCGTTTAGCAGTGTTGTTGATGCGGTTGCGATAGAGTTCAAGTTCTGCTTGGAGCCAGGGGATGAACACCCAACGGAAAATAAGACTGAGTTTGTAAGGCTTTTGAACATAGACAAAAGATCGAACATGTACGCACGCTTCGATAAGCACTCCAGGATCATACCAACCATTGTTGACTCCGATTTCGAGTATGTCCTCAAAGCCAGGTGTGAATCGACGGCGCAGTTGGCTCCAAGTGATCTCGGGCATAACGTTCTTCTTCTGTCTCATCCATCGGTGTTGAGATGTACCAACGAGTGACTGATCTTGATAATGCCGCAGTTGTGTGTGTCCATTTGCAATACCAATATTCTCTGTACCAGGATCGCTTTGAGTCACGAGAGGCATGACTTCGGATCTGTCAATTCACAGCCAACACGGAGAAGAGCAATCACGTACATCCGATGGTCTCAATTGCGTTGAGATAATAGCTCAGAATGAGTCTTGGGTTGTTATTATTCCACCAAATCTTCATCCAATGAATCAGGCCTAGGAATGGATTGATCCCGGTGTGGAGAGCGAGACCAAATTTGTATTTCCACTTGTCATGTTGATCTACAGCCCAGACATCGTTCGAGCCAGCTGCCCAGAATCTCTTGCGTTTGAAATGACCACGACGACGCTTGCGAACAAGGTCAGGTTCATAGATATGGAAATACTGCATTACAGTCTTGCTGGACGAAACAAGACCCAGATTTGAATAGATCAGCGTCATGTTCCGTAAATATTAGGATAGACGCACCGTGAAACATTGATTTCTTCCTCGTGAAACAGTAAACTGACCATCTCTCGCCCACCAGCCTTTGGGTACGTGACCCGAAGCTTAGTGATTGCTCCAGCAATGGACTCAACCGTGTGACCCTGTCTCCGAGCACAAAGAAATCCCAAATTCTCTCGAATTTTGCGAAACGTAGCAATCCTGAAAGCGATATTCAGCTAGAAAGAGGAGGAGTATGTACGGCAACAAGCAGACTTACTCTAGACCGTATTTTGCTAGATCGATATGATGCTTCTTGAGTAGTGCGAGAATCTCCACATCGCTCTTGTTTTGTTTCCAGTACTTTGTGTCAGGGGAACCCCTGCTTTTGTCCGATCATCATGGGATCTTGCATGTGACCGTGCACACGCCATCTGTCAGGCGTCACATGCTTCGGTCCGGACTTCCCTGCCAAGCGCATCCACATGACATTCCGGCCCAGACCCCCATTGTTCCGACGGTCCGGCTCCCATTGTTCTCCCCAATCCAGCCCCTCATTGCTCCCTGGCCCATTGTCTGGCGCTTCCATTGTGCTTGGTCATCCATTGTTCTGTAGGCTATATATAGTGGGCCCTGACAAGGAGAGTCCCCAACTCGGTTTCTCTTTGGACTCTCCCTTGTCAGGTTTGCCAAGTCTCCTGTATTAGTCGTTCCCCTTATCTGACGCTTTGGACTCTCCCTTGTCAGGACTCTGAGATCGGGCCTCGAGGTTGCCCTTACACTTTGCAATAAATGGCCGCAGATCCTCAGAGGGGGCTAGAATATCCGTGAAATCGAGCCGATAAGTCTTGTTGGTAACATACGGACGGGTTTATATTGATTGGCTTTAGGCATGCACAAGTCGGTAAATGTTTGTTGAGAGTGAAGAGGGAATGGGACACTGCAGAAGGGAAGCGGTTCGATGAATCAATTTATAAGAACGAATTTTGCATGGCTACGGAGCGCTCCGGAGTCCCAAAGTCATGATTACCAACCAATCCCAAAGCAAAGTGTGGTTCCCCGCGTAACTTTACGGAGTAAGATTGAAATAAAATTCAGTTATAGTACTGGTTTCTCCTTGGTTGGAGTGCACATTGTTCACTGTCGGAGCGCACCGGAACTCGGCTAATATCAATGGAAGGTAGGTTACCGTACATAGCTCAATTTTGGAAACGTGTGATGGCACATGTTGATCCAGTTTGGATCCGCTCGTAAATTCAAGGACTTGCCTCTCGGTTGAATTCGGATGGCCATAAATACATCGGAAATTCTAGGAGGGTCTCGCCGACCAAAAATTGACCGAAATGAATCACAAATACTGTACAAGGAACGTGGCCAGAGAGAGCTACACTATAAGTACTGTAAATGCACGATTTCAACTTCACTCCTCAGCCTGGCTTCAATGTCGAGCGAAACGGTGTACGCAACGTTCACAGATGACATTTCCACTCAAGAACCCTTTGAGTGTCGATCTGGTGCTCGTTGTTACACACGGCCTCGTCCAGATCTGAACAAGGGTCACATTATCATGCCTGATCATCCTCGTTATCGAGTTGGGAACCAGTCCTCGACATCGGCTAGCAGAATCGTCTGCAAGGCTTGTCACGAGCATTACCGAACCAAGGCATCAAGTACGATTGGAGGTGCGTACATGGATGTCCAGTGAATACGTTGTGACTCATGCCTCTTAGCACCTACAAAAGTCAGTCTTGAGCGTGAACGCGATTCCATTCGACTGCAGAATATTGAAGGACGGATTGGCGGTAAGCTTCGTCCTCTCGCTTTGAATTTACTCAAGTTAGCCTCAGACGCATCTCAAGCTGGGGTCATTGCGGCAGTTCCACAAGTGCTAGAATCAATGGGTCCCCCTCAGTTCGTTCCTCACCAACAGGGGTCTGCCTCTGGTGCGTCCTTCATATAGCTTGAATCGTGCATTTATGGGAATAATTTCGTCTTACAGGTCCTCGTCTCTCATTGCCCAAATCAAGTTCTTCAAATATGGGCAGACATCAAGCAGGAACGGAACAGTATTCTTCTAAAGGATACTCCGCAGCGCACCAACAATATCTTCCGTCTCGGCAACGATGGGCTCAAATGGCCTACTCTGGAACGCCTCAGGAGATTGCTACTGTGAAGATCGGTGTGCGTTATGAGGCTCCAGGAAAGGAGAACGGTGTTTCATTTGGGGTATGCACTCAAATCTCTGTGCGCTTGTTTAATTCGACGCTCAAATCTTAATTCTAGACAATTAGCGAGGGAAAGAACATCCATGCTAAAGCGACTGCGGCAGAGATCATCCAACTTGTGATCGAAGTTGCCACAGCTAAGCTACATGCAGAGATTGCAGATCAAACGAAATCTATGTTTACTTTTGATGAGAGCCGATTTGTGGTCAGAGAGGCCGAAACCTGGATCAACATCCACGAGGAACTGCCTGATCAACCGATTTTATACAACCGTTGCCTGAAGAAGGGAAGAAGTCGCGCTGATCAGGGCAAACTTGTCTACTCTCGTCCTTCAAAGCCCTTCCTCTACGTTTTGGTAATCAATTCTAAAGAGTGGCAGCAATTTTTGAACTTCCAAGAGGATCATTTCGACGCCGTATCGCAGGTTTGTTTTGCCATTAAATTTTAGTTATTACTCTCATCCAACCTTTCCAGATTGAAAGTGTCAGCGAAAGGTCAAGTCACAGACCGGATCCCACAGTGGACGCCTTTCTAGAAGCACCAGTTTTCCGATTGACGCGTTCCAAGACTTCAACTCTTAGTCAAAAAAAAAGCGTCCCAGGTACGTTTTTGAGATTGATATCGAACATTAATTCACAATTTTTTTTGTTGATAAGAGTGCTGTGGATTCAGACCGCTCTCAATGGTCTCCAGCTGATACCACTGGCATCCAAGTAATGGCATCATCCCTTCAGTCCTTAAGCGCTCGGTCCAGCGTCCAGAATGGTTTGATCTTGGAAACTGTGAGTTCTGAACCGTCATCAGGCTTGTTTGGGGCTGAAACATATATAAGAGCCAGAAGCCGGCCACAATCTCATCCGTCGGATCCGGATCAAAGAAAAGATCCGCTGAAGATGATAATGAGCCGCAACGGCAGCGGCCATGCCATGATCTTGATATTCATGAGATCAAGACGGTCGAGGACGTTTATCACCCTGTGGATCTCAAGCGCATGGCCAAAGCGCTTACTTTGAGTGGTTCAGTACCCGCATCTTCAAGAGAAGCTGGTTTGTGATCTCTTAATCAATTTGTACATCAGCGATGCTCATGTTTCATAGCTGCGCACATCACAGAAACAATTGAATTTTTTCGCGTTCGATCTGCTCCCCTTTCTGTTGTCCTCGAAAGCGCGAAAGCTTTCACCTGTGATATTGCTGACAAGGAAGTCGGCTCGCTGTCCCTCAAGACATTCCTGCCGCCGCTTGGTGTTGGAACATTCAAATCCGCGCATTCAGCCTATCTCACATTGGCGTCACTCTCGTCGACACCTTTGGGTGCAGCGCCAAATCAGCTGGTGGCCCTTAAGCGTATGTTTACCAAGAGGCACACCCTGAAGCGCTTCAGCCCCGTTGAGGAGTTTCAACATACAACCTCAGAGGCCAATCTACTCTTTTGGGGCACAACGTTACTGAACTTCACATACTCGTTCATTCGAGATTACATTTCAAAGCATTCTTCGCCGCCCGCAGAACTTCCAATCTACGCCATTCGATTTGTGGAGGCGGGTGTAGCACTGGTTCACGACTCTGCAGCCACAGGAAGTTCCAGCAAAAATACATCTTCTCTTCTGCGCTCTTACTTGATCGAGGAGATGATTGAGACAAGTAATCGAGCTTTCCGTCACAAGTATTTACTTTCACTCACTGTTCAACAGGAAAATTTGTCAAGTTCATTAACAACAACAGTGCCCTTCCTGTTGCAAGTCTTGACCCGGAGTTGTACCCAATTGCGGTGTTCCTATGCTTTACACAACATGTTCAATATGAGCATACCGGCAAACTTGTGTTTCTTTCCGATTTGCAAGGTCATAGACATGTACCGTGCATTACAATCTTACTCATTTGATTCCAGGATCGCGTGGACTCCTGACTGACCCGCAAGTCATGACCTCACCATAAGTTTTGGATCAATCATTGTTAAAAATGTCTGATTTTCCCTAGGACTCTGAAGCGCGGTCTTTTCGGCGGCGGAAACTCGGGGACGTTCTTCGAGAAGTTTCCAGAATAACATGTCTGCTCTGGGTACTGCAAGTTCTGTGGGTTGAGTGATCTCCAGAGCAAGGATTGAGAGACCCGCCGCATCAGAGTTTGGTCTGTAGTTCAAAGCTTATCATAGGGCAGACATTGTCTTCGTCTTCCTCAATTTCATTGCAGCTTGAATCAAAACACTAGTGCTGTACTACAATGCTCCAGACATTCAAAATATTGGTACTGACGAGCAGTGATGCACCCTGGCCCCGCGATCAATTGATCAGAGGCCACATCAGTATGACGTAGCAAGCTGCTTGAGCTGACAAAGCAGCCACAATTGATCTGGCACGTGATGACAAGTGTCGGTCAATGGATTTGTCAGCAAGCTCGTCAAGGTTGTTGCACGTGATCATTCTGATCATCACTCATGGTCTTTGGGGTCCTGACATAATAACATATGATCCGTAGTTCAACAACATATTGCATCACTGATATGCGTCTCGGTTATCAGCATGTAGTTTTGAGCCTCCATATTTTCGCCTCCACGAGACAAGTTCCTTCCTGTGATGGCATCACTTGACGGTCACAATATTCCCACCCATATACGTAGTCTCCTGGTCTCAGATTTCTTAGCGCAGAAGAGCGTCGTTTCATTCCAAAGAAAGCTGGCCAAATGGCTGACGGTGCTGGAAATTGACCCTGTGACAGTCGAGAAGATGTCGCTTCTTCTGGAAATTAGCATCATGTTTCCCATGCTCGAGCGGCTGCTTCAGTTAGGTTGCGATTAGGTCAACCGTGTATCGCAGAAGCGTCCGAAAAATAATTTCTTTATTGACGGAGGGTTAAATGATGGAGTGAGCGAGATAGAGTAGGGTTACATCGTCAAGTGTTTCGTACTTATGTGTCCAGTCCTTTACTTTATGGATTACAAACGTGTGAACTGAGGTCCTTATAAAGTGAACGTGTGTGAAAATAAAACAAGAAGGTCGTGGCGGAGAAGGGATCAGGTCTACCATTCAAGCGTGATTCCCGAGTGAGACTGGGCCTCCGCAGCCGCAGCCGGTCGCGGTGTGTGGTTGAAATGCTCGTCCTTCCATTTAACATCAGAGGCAGCATAGCCCAGTGAATGGGATACTCACAGCTAGCGAATCAAGCGAAACTCTCGACACATTTTCGGGGAAGCCCCGATTTTGAAGAGCTGCATCAGACGCAGGTGGCACTGGGAATCTGTAGAAGGCTGTAACGTATCGCTTGCGCGAGGAGGATCTTGACGAGCCGCGACTCAGCGACCGGCTGTCTTCGGTAGTGGCGGTGCGTGGGGCTGAGTAATGCGGTGAGAGGATGCTCGTCTGGGAATGCGCGGGTGTCATCGTAAGAATAGGTGGCCGGCGGTTGATGTGGCTTGCGGGTGGCGGGCCCGGCCGCGAAAACGCAGTCAGTGAGACCACGGGATCCACCTGATGGACATGACCATCGGTGTCTGGGGCTGTCGGAGCTTCTAGCACTTCCGGGACTGGCGTCGCGCCCTCATCAGACTCCGACACCTCGCATATGTCGAACGGCGCCCGAGAGGCTATATTCACCATTTTGCTTCCACGGTGTGAGATGACGCCGGCAAGGCGCAAATCGGGCTGACATACCTCTCCTTCGCACGGACAATCCTTTCGAGCCGTTCATTGAGCGCGCTCTGGGCAGCAACACAATCCCCCGATGGCCCAGGTCTACCTCCAAGTCATCGTACAGGTTGGGGTTAACAAGAGATTCCAACACACATCGCATCGGAGTCAGATTGGTTGTTCATCAGACGCGTACGTTCGTCCGGGATGACCTGGGTCCTGGTAATCACCTAGCCAACCCCGCCCGGACCAGAAGGACGTACCGCTTCTTCGACATCCCGGACGCGACTGCGCCGTCCTCGCCTTCGAAAGCAGCACCAGAGCCCCGACACCTCTGGGTTGGGCATCGATGCATGAAAATGAGAGAGAAGCTGAAGATAAAGTCGGAAAGGGGCTGAGAATAGTGGCAGAAGGAAGAAGATGGGAGTAGAATGACCCGACTCACCGAGTTATCACTATCACGCGGTCCGTCTGACTTGTCATCGCCATCAGTCCATCCATCGTTCCCCCTGCTCTTCAGCCTCCTCCCGATTTGGTTAGTGCGGTGGTAGCCATGGTCGGGCCGGAATTGCCTGGGGCCTATGCTAGTCGCACATGTAATAAAACGTAGAGGGGAGCACTATGTATGTCGCTAAGTTGAGGAGCCGAAAGCTACACTTGTTCGCTCTGAGACGCGAGGAATGACTCACTCGAATTCAAGCCTCGCCAGTCGCCGCGTTCTCGAGCTCCGCGGACGCTATCTGACGTGACTGACCTAATCAAAGTCTCTCAGCTCCGGATCCCGCCGAGCAGAGATCGGCGAACAAGCCGCCCCCGGCACGATGCGACGACAGCTTACTGGCATGGAACGTCATCTGCATTCCTCGGTGATGCCCGAACACGACTGTCCCTTGCGCCCGACCACGACCGAACCATGCACGGTAAGCCAAGTCATCTATTCACAGCTGTCAAGCCCATTAGCATATCCGATCTCGCACCCGAACTGCTCTGCCAGATCTTCGAATGGTTTTGTATCCATGACGCAGATCAGAGGCCTTCAGGAATGAGGGTCTATACCCTCACTCGCATCTGCGGACTCTGGCGCACACTCTCCCAGAATCTTCCCGAACTCTGGACCTCAATTTATATATCCCGAGTCCAACCACTACATGTTCAGATGGTGGATGAATGTTTGCGCCGCTCGAAGGATCTCTCGCTCGACGTTTCTCTTACGATGAAGGAGACGAACGGAATGTGGCCCATTCTCTTTCTTATTTGGGGGTCTGTTGGACGAATACGCTCTCTCGCGCTCGATCTGACTAGATCCACGTTCGAAAACTTGGGTCTCCAAGTGGCACCTGCTTATGCGCCGCGCTTGGAATACCTTGAGCTCCATGCTTCGGGGCCCGAAACATCGTCTCAACGGCAATTTCATTCTTCCATCCAACTTCGCCATTCGCCCCTCTTGAAATCCCTCGTTCTTGGTGGAGTGGGGATTCAGCATCCCGATCCCGCCGAATTTGTCCACAAACTCGAGGTGCTCGATCTCGACGCCGGCGCGTTTGTCAATGACCGAGGTCTTCCGGGGCTCAAGATACTGCTAAGATTCTGGGCAGTAGAGGAGGTTCGGGAGACCTCGGCCCTTCGCCTTCTGGCGATCCGCGGTTTCGCAGCCGAACTCAGACCGTCCCCCGATGAGGCTGTGTCTCTTGCCAGCTTCGTTTCTTGCGTCACATCCCTCTTCATCGGATATCGTTGGGCAGGACCCAGTGTCCTTGCGGCGTTCCGATGCGCTCCACTCCGACAGATCACGATCCTAGACGAAGCACCGCAGTTCGCTACAGATCTCGCGCAGCAGGACATGCAGTTCCCTACAGTCACATCACTCGACATCGAAGACTCGACGGCGATACCTGGTCTGAAGAACACGCTCCCGGCCATCTCCAGACTTCGCATACGAGGGACCGTCAATCTCCCTGACCTGGAGTCCCTATCGACCGGCAACCAGTGGGCCGACCTGCGAGTACTCATTGTCGAGGCTTCTGGCATCAGTCTGAAGAACTTGTGTGCATTTGTCGAAGCTCGAGCGAGTGCTAGCCTCCCATTGGCTGAGGTCGTTTATCGCATGCCAAAGGATTCATTATTTGCTGTGAATTTATGGACCAAGTGGCTCAAAGAGCACACGGATTTTAGGGATGAACGCTTGTAGAACAGAAATAATGTGATATGTTACTATTGTAGCTTCGTTTCCAGCGATTTTCGGACTCAACCGCTCCAGGACGCCATGGTAATCTCACAGCATGATCTGAAGCCTGCCGCCTTCACGTGACATCGGAAACAAAGTGTACACACATGTACAGACCGACTCTTCGATACTTCCCAAATCATTTGGGTTTGCTGCAGATAGCTTTGGAGGGTAGTTCAAAGAGTAAGATAGTAGCTTCGAATGTTATGGCTAATATACTCCGATTGAAGTGCTCGACTGATCAATTCGACGTTCCTTGTGTGTCCCGGGCCGGCTCGGTCTCGGGATTCCGAAAGCCTAGCCTCTTGTAACCGGAGCCAAGCCAGCAACAACACTGAAGAGAATCAATCGCCCAGATCATTTACAATTAACATACATATAGCTGGTCTTTCCAGGCTGAATTGATCCTTGGGCAGAGTCCTCCCCGCTTGTCTCTGAGGATACTGAGGCTTTCTCGAGTTCGGTGTTTTTGTGCCTAGCAATTCTAGTCACGTGTTGACAGACATCGACATGTTTGGCATAATCCGCTGATGATCGAGAGTCATATCATGATCGATGCCTACAGCCACGCTGAAAAAATGTGCTCGGCAGTCGCGTCGGGCTTTGAGATTGTGCGCTTTTGCGTAAAGGTGCCTATAGTTACTTCTCCTTCACTCCTTTCTCCGCCTCTTTCTCTTCCTCCCGTTGCTGGCGCGCTGGTCCGACAAGCAATCTTACGAAGGCACCGGTGCCAATCTTCGCTCTTTCATAACCCTCCGCGCTAGCTGAGCTAGAAATGCGTCCTTCGTTCACCCTGACCTCACTCGCTCTGCTCGCCGCGTGCGTTTCGGCTGCGCCTGCACCCGTGCGCCGGGCAGTCAAATGCGCGGCGGTGGACGACGATGGGTCGCCGCTGATCAGCTCTACCGCCGCGCCGGGAGACTTCGCGGTGTGCACGTACAAGGATGCCGGGCCGTGTACTTATTTCGCTGCGGTCCGTCTTTTTGCGTAGTCTACCCGCTTTTCCTGACTGATGCCACGGATGCTTGTAGAATGGATCGTTTTCGTCCGGATCGAGTACGTGTCCTGCTGGACTGCCGCAGGACGCGACGTTTGGACAGAACACGCAGTACGTTTTGGCAAAGTCACGAAGGTAGTCGAGGTTTCGATCTCATCGCGTTTTGAAGGTCCAAAGCACAAGTCGCGCCTCCTCCTCCTCCACCTCCGCCTCCTCCATCGCCTTCCCCGCCCGCGCCGCCCAAAACGACCGCATCTCCGGTCGTGAAGACGATCACGATCGTCAAGGCGCCTCCACCCAAGACCACGAGCAGCACGAGCTCAGCGGCACCGCCTCCCCCACCCAAGACGACTGCACCGCCTCCCCCGCCGCCAGCGAAGACCCCTTCTCAATCCTCGTCACCGCCCCCGCAGACGAGCACTACTTCGTCATCGCAGCCACCGAAGACGACGAGCACCTCTCCGCCCCAGACGACGAGCACACTGCCCCCGCCTCCTCCGCCGAGCACGGCGAGCACGAGCGCGAGCACGAGCACAGCTGCACCGCAAGTCACCACCCAGACTGTATCGCCTCCCCAAACCACGAGCACATCTGAACAGGCTCTGACGACCAGTTCATCCGCGAGTGTTCCCGCACCGACTGTTCCCGCACCGACCGCGATTTCGACCGCGGAATCATCGATCTCCCCGCCGACCGTCACAACTTCTTCGAGTGCTGCGCCTCTCATCACTCTTTCCTCTGCACCCAACGCGACTTTCAAGTCCAAAGTTGTTGCTGTGCCGCAGACGACCATTGCCGCCGCCGCCGGTGTGCCTAGTGCTGGTGCAGCGAACGCGAGCCCGGCAACGGGCGGGTCTCCGACTGCGGGATCTGGGAATGCTGCGGGTGGTGGAACGAGTTCGGGTGCAGGTGGGCAACTGGGCGCAGTTGCTCAGGGCTCCACTGGCGGTGCAGTTTCTGGCCGGCACGGGGCTTCGTCCGTGGGAGTCCTAGGCCTCGGGTTGCTGATGGGTGGTCTTGTGTTGCTTTGAGGACCAAGCATAATGTTTCGCTAGCGCGGGCTTCATCAAATCAGCCTGGTTTGCTCTTAACCTTCCAATCGGTGGCCAGGTTTCAATGTTGAGGGAGGCAGAATCGACGTTTTTCACGGACATTTCGAATTTCAGGAGACATACAGTACAGTACATCCTCGTATCCTACCATTTATGGACTCTTCCTTAATTTGCTTGCTATCGAAATCCTACTCAAAACAGAATCGCCCTCAAAAGTTCTGCGGATCGAATTCCCCCACCTGCAGCACGACACAAGACCGTCAAAACCTAGTTCACGAACGACAATTGAGGGCACACCTTACGCTCCTGCCCCCGTTCCTGCATGTTTTCGTTGTTCGTCAGTCGGCCAGCCATTTCTTCAGCCGTGCCTTTTTCTAGTGTGAGACCAAGCTCATCAGTAAGCCAAGTCCGTCTCACCCAAGACCTTGTCGGCAGTCGTGACTGTATTCCCCGCGGCTGTGCCCATAGTATCCGAGCCCGGAACCTTGGTTGCTTTCGTATTGGTCTCATGCTCTGCTGCATGAGCGTTTGTTGCTAATATCAAGAACAGCTTGGCATGGATGTCATGTGGGTTCATGATGAGTGCTTACAATTTCTCGACTGCGGGTTAGACGAGATATTAGAAACAGTTGAATCACTTTGAGAGTCCATCGTCGTCGCCTAGTTCGAAGTCAATGATGTAAGTACTGGCCCGAGCTGCAATCAGCGTCATAACACGATGACGCCATGTATGACACAGCGTAACACTTAATTTTAAAATAATATGTTTGATACAACTGGGATTCTTCGATGTACAAGTACAATTTGGTGTTCGCGTCGGTTGGACAGCCCTTAGATATCACGCTTCTCGCGGAATTCGCCCATCTGCAGGTCATGTCAGCCACTGAGACTTCACGATTATAAACCCGACACGTACCTTGCGTTGCTGACCACGTTCCTGCAGTCCCGGGTTACCTGTCATCTTGCCAGCGGCCTTCTCCAACGAGCCTGTCGACTGGCGGTAAGACAGATAAACAAATGTCAAAATCTACGAAGACTCACCCTGGATCTTGTCCCCGGTGGAGACCTTGTCACTGTCCGGCCCATCCTGGCTCCACGTCGCACTGGGGTTATACTGTTGGTCTCCCGCCCCGGCGCTCATCCCCATCGCCGAGTTGTCGTATTGCTCCTGGCCGCGCATCGTGTTGCCAGCGCCGTGCATTCCAGTCGATGATAGATCGCCATGCATTCCCGACGCTCCGCTATTCAGTCCGCCTCCACCTTGCAAGTTCGTCGAACGCTCGTTTCCCGCAACTGCACCAGCGAGAATGCAAAGTCAATTCAACTCGGGACCAGTCGAGCGGGACAAGTCACGACGCACCGTTCTGCTTGTTAAGCCCACTGCCCTGGTTCAGATTAAGTGGCTCGCGATTCGCGGCGGCATGTGCTTTGGAGCGCGTGTCCATGATCGATGCGAGGATGTTGTAAGTAGCGATAGTCGTATGAGCAGTTCGTTTGTCTGTGAGTGTGAAGGATATTGGGGGTGCAGTCATATCACTCTATATACAAGTCGACGACTCATAGGAGTGTTTTCCGTGATGCGTGGGGGGATGACGACTCAATACACTGGAAATATCGATTTGGGACAGATATGGCGATGACGAACTTGAACCGGCTCCTGCCAAGAGACTCACGTGAGAAGTCTAGATCCGCGCTGCCGTCTGATTTAATTTATGCTCATCAGATCTTGACCTCTTGGCAATGAGCATTGAGCACAACATCGTTCGAAAACATCCCCGCAGCGGTTCAATCGTATCGTCTCCACCAAGTGGCGTCTGAAAATCCACAATACGTGCGCATATATCGATGCCGGGAGAAGTAGTTCTCCCTGCGAGAAGATGACTCATCAAGAACTGTTTCGGACCGCTGTATTTTAGTTAGTGTTGTCCCAGGTCGGGTCGCGACCCGCGACCCGACCCGAAACCCGGGTCGCAGCGACCCGACCCGAGAGGTGGGTCGGGTCGGGTCAGAGACCGGGTCGGGGTCGGGTCGGGCATTCTGCGCGACCCGACAACCCGGGTCTCGACCCGGGTCGGCTCAGGAAGCGTGCGATTCTGCATCGAAGCCTACAAACGTGACAAGGCTGTCAATTTTTTTCGTTCGCACCTTTATCCCCACCTCTCGAACAACGCCGCAATCACGCCGCAATCACGCCCCACATGGCCCATGTGGAGGGCATTGATCCTGCCAACATAGTTACGGGAAAACGGAGGCCGGTGCCCAGTAGCAGACTTCTTGATGAGACCAATGGCGCACAACGCCTCCCGACCCATCAGCTCGCCATCGATGATACGTCTGCGCGCGATCTGTCGAGTCCAAGCTCCGGCTCTCTGTTGCATGCACAATCGCCTTTACAAAGCAGCTCAATAGGAGGGGATCGGACTTACATTAGTGTGGATGCGGACACAGACGATGGTACGTCCTCACCCGATATGGAACTCGAGCACCTCTTTGACTAACAGTCCGCGACAGACGAGACTCCACACAACGAGGAGGCTCAAGCGCCTTCAGCCAAAGCGACGAGTAGACAATGTATGTGTCTCCGCCGCCGCCGCCGCACGCACTCAGTCTTTGTCATGACTCTAATGCCGTCACTAGCAAAGAAACCCCCCGCAACGAACAAGCGCAAACGTTCCAATGACAGTCCTGACAACGACGAGGCTGTAGATATGGATGGGCTGCTCGCCGATGTAGTCATGGAGGAGTCGCTCGAGCGTGCCAAGAAGGGAGTAAGAGAGGGACGAGAAGATTTGGACCATTTCTTCCGGTGGGATTCATCTACCGAGAAGTACATCTGTACAATATGCGAGTGTGTGCCAATCAATATATATCCTCACCTTGCGCATGCTGAGTCAATGTCAGGGATTTGAAGAAGAACCACCCACAGAAGCATCACAAACTCAAGCTTGATTTTGTCAAGGACAACTCAACGCGTCGGATGCATCTTCAGCGTGTACATAAGGTGTGTGTCACTTAAAGTTGTACAATACTAATTTTTAGTGACAAAACATACGGAAAAGAATCATGCTTTTCACGGAAGTTGTCAGAGTCTTACTCGCGTTCTCAAGTAGCATGATCATAAACGCATCGATGGATAGAGCTAGTGGCTTCTCTTTCTGCGCTTTGTTTCCCTGGTGAATAGATCTAGTTCTTGCGGCGAGTCAGACTTCGATCCCGGGTATTCACGGCGATCCAATTCGAGGAGACACACTCCCTTTGAAATCCCAGAAGCTGACAATCTTGTAAATTTGCTCGAGAAGATCAATAGGGGGGGCTCAAGACTTGCACAATCAACCGACCTCGCCGATGTGTAGCATACACGGCCCCCCGTGGATGAGCAACAAACGAGGGCCATAGTTCGCCTTGTCCGAGGATTAGATTGTTTGGGTAACTGAAAATCACACCGCTCCTGAGTGTCAAGAAATCTATGTTGCAACTATCATGACAGCTAGACAGGGCTAGCGATTGAAGGCATCGGAGAAGAAGCGAGCGATCCATACAGTTCCAATCGATATGAAAGGCGGTTGGCAAAACTTTTCCGCCACTTGAAGGCAACAAACCCAGAGTATTCGGACCCATCGCCCTGACAATCGCCTGACGACCAGGAAGACAGCTTGGACCCGAGTCTTTGTCTCGGCAACAGTCGGGGTACTACTTGAACCACCAAATTTGTGTGACGTGAAAACGGTTCTATTGCGCATTGGAGAGTTAACCTTGGAGCTCTTGATCGCAGAATATATTCTCAATCTCACACCGTGATATTTCCGCTCATCGGCGGTCGGAATTCTCCGATTTCTCTAAAGCAGTTCCAAAGAGTCATTCCGACGGACTACGGTCGAGCTCTTACCCCAAGACAAAAAAAAAGTTGGCATCGGTCTTAGCCCCTCTTCGTCCGTGCATAAGCCCACGTATTGCGGAAACATGTGGCTGCGAGGAGAAACATCTTGTCGCGCGTTGGACCATCGGCAATCCCGGACCGGCGGGCCTGAGAAGCGTTCTCGTTCTCATATGGCTTACATATACACTTTGATACAGAAGATAACGTGATCGGAGAGTGTTCTGAACGCACTTTTCCATCAACCGTGCTTAACTCTAGAAGTCCCCCCTTGTTCCCTCCGAAGTGAGCCTTTTCAGTCATGGAATGTGCGAATATAAATACAAATGACGAATCAAGCTGATATCTGCGTGAGTTTACTTTGCACTAGTCAATCATGGCTCAGGAGAGTTTGATCCCTCAGACGACAAAGGCCCCGTGGGACCCTGACCGCAAAGTAAACACGGTTGTCAATCCAACTGTGGAATGACACCGATTCGATCTAGATGCAGCACTCCTTGAAGCAGTCCAGGGTGCCCTGTGGATCTTCGATCATGGACTGGTTGTTCGTAAGAAATTTAGTGGAGAGGCGCAAGCGACGTAGATGACCTACAAAATGATTCGCGCCATCAACCATTATGAATGTGATCGCACATTCCGGCCTTGCCTCGGCAAGCATTCGCTCCTCCAGCTTCCAAGAGGAATAAATTGACGCCCACGAGTCAGCGGAGCCAGCCACAACGAAGACCTTTGTGTCCTTCCACAGCTCGCCCCGCACGTGCATGTCGAACAGGGTTTGATCAACTAACTTTGCGGTAACGCCACCGAAGTGCGGCGAGATGAGGGCTGCATCGTACTTGGAGCTCGCGGCGAAGTCGATGAGGTGATCCATGGCAAAACGGGTAACGGTCGGTGGGCGGAGGGGATCTGTGCGGTCGTATGTCAGACTGCTTGGGTCATGTGTTGAGAGGTCGCCGTGCACGAAGAAGCTGGAGACCCAACGTGCGAAGAAAGGCCCTAGCTCCTCGGCGGAAATATGAGGATCGTTTTGGGGAATATAAAGTCCTTTTGGATCTGGAATATCGAACACTACTGTTGGACTTTCTGTAGAATTTCCTTGTCAGATGTTTTTCCATTCTTGGAAAAGGATCTCACGGAAAAGAATCATGCTGCGAACAGAGCCGCGCAGAGTTTGTCTTGTGCCTTCCGGTAATTTTTCCAAGGCTGCCACAATTGACAGCACTTTGAGAGCTCCAAGCGACCATCCAACCACGGCAACGCCAGAGGGCAGAGAGAGTGTGTCGATCAGGCCAGCGATGAACAACGCCAGATCTCGCCCCATTTCTGCTAGCAGCCGTTCTTTCTCGTCCATGTTCTCGCTGACAAACAGGCTCAGCTCTTCCGGCAAGTAATCAGTCGACCCCGGGTAGCCACGGCGATTCACCGCGATGACGCGGACCCCGTTTGAAGGGCCGAGGTCCGCGAGGGATGAAAATGTTCCTGAACGCAGATCGCTTTCAGCTCCAAAGAAATACGAGCACTGCTAGCTTGCCATTGTGGAACATGATCCCGTGTATGAGAATGAGCGTAGCATAGTCTGTCTGGTTGGTGCGGGGTTCTCCGCTGTCAGTGTAGCTGAAATCCACGCCGTTCTGTAATGTGAGGGAAGGCATTTTGAGACTGCCCAGACAGGTTCGTGATTATAAGCACTCGTGCTACTGACGACGTTTCCACGAGTCGCGCTAGTTCCATTGAAGGGCAGCATGGGCCTCTCAAGCGTGATAATCCAAGTTATACCTTGGCACTTGACGACGCGAAGTCTTACCGCTGTCTAGCATTTATCATGCCAGGGCCGTAAGCCTCAGTGCTAGACTCCATCCACCCAGGGACTCCGTCTGCCGTAACCCTGTATTGGAAATTTCAACCTTGAAACCGATTTCCTCGTAACCTTCATGAGTAATCGATGACTAAGGAGGGCGGACTAAATCCAGCACTTCAATCACAGTTCAATTTCCGTCCAACACTGATGTTCGGATGTGTCCTGATCTTCTTTGCCCCCTTCGATGCCGCTTTTTCGCCTTCACCCTAAGGTACTTCTGGCTCTCTGCGTCGCGGTTCTCAGCAGACAGGAGAGGATCCTTCTCATAACGTGAGGGAGCTAGGATGCCGTGTTGTCGAAGACTCTGTGCCTCGTGCAAGTTTGTCAGGCGAGACGTCGCCTGCTAGCATGCGAGATCAGACCAGGGGAGGAAGTGAGGAGTATGGTTCTACATCCGGTTCAGTCGGCGAGCCGCCCGCTTCGACTGCATGCCACTGACCAGGAAAATCAGTATTGTTTTTTTGAGTCAGACAGCTCCATGTGCCGTCTCTCTGAGATTGATTGGAGAACCTCGTATCATCTCATATAATGTGACCGCCGTGAGTCAGAATTTCAGGACCTAGGCCCGAAGGGCGGCCCTTGCCGCCCTACATCTCAGGCTTGGGTGCTGCCAGGTTAGCACCGTGCCGGACAATTGCCATCAGGGGGAGGGTGGAAATTTGTTGCCCGTACCACATTGAAGTACTATATACCAACATAGTGCGTTAGAGATCGGCAGTTTGAGTCGCGCGTAGACATACAGTATACTACACCGACTAACGGTTGGGAGAAGAGGAGAATTGGTTATCCGTCACAAACCTACTAGAATGTGACTGGTTTGCCCGGAAAAACGTCCGCCTTTTCAGAGAAACTGTCCATCATCTGTGCAAGACTCTGCCGGAAAGAAAATTCTCAAATTTGAGCCTCCTTAATACAGATAATCACAGGTCCCATGACTCAACAAGCTGTCTTACGACAAATTGATTAGTACTCGCACGGATGCGTGCGTTTTTTCTTCTCTCATCCCCGTCCTTTCACAGTCAAAATTTCCGGCAAACGCTTTCAGAGGTAGAATGAATTGGATTAGCGATGCGCTAGGTTGCAGTGGTACCAAGTTCTAGTCGAGTTGCTTTGGGGGAGGTGTCTCCACGGCACGCACTCAGACTCAATGAAGATTGGGATTCTCTACTAACTGCTTCAAGGTACTCAGACCCTACAGTCAATCAAACTGGAGCGCGTCAGCAATTCGGAGGTTCGATTTCTCTCTCTTGTCCAGTGTCCCCATCTACCTGATGACACATGTTCAAGGACATAGGTCTATCCATTTACTCAATCGCAATCACGGCTCGAATCTGTGCCAATCTCAGTGAAGAGGTACAGAGTTTTATTTTACGATCGAATGACTAGTGGGAGTCATAGAAATCTACACGAAGCATGTCTTGAAGCAATCCATTGCCCCCTGCGCATCCTCCATCACGAACTGTGCTGCTGTGAGAAACCGACGCACGTGTCGTAACTGAGGGCACTCACGAAATGATTCGCGCCTTTGACCACCTTGAATGTGATCTCGCATTCGGGCTTCGCCTCGGCACGCATCCGCTCCTCCAGCTTCCATGCGCCGTACATCGTATTCCACGAATCCGCGGACGTAACCACGCAGAAGAACTTGGTGTTCTTCCACAGGTTGCCACGGATGTGCACGTCGAACAAGGCTTTGTCGAGCTGCTTCGCCGTGGCCGCGCTGAAGCTCGGGGAGACGACGATATCATCGTACTTCGACGCCGCCTCGAAATCGACGAGGTGGTCCATCGGCAGACGGACGATGGATGGTGAGCGGTCTGGATCCGTGCGGTCGTATGTGAGACTGCTGAGCTCGTGCTTTGACAGGTCCCCGTGCACAAAGAAGCTGGAAACCCAACGCGCGAAGAAGGGACCCAGCTCGGCAGGGGAGATCGCCGGATCGCTTTGTGGCACATAGAATCCCTCGGGATCGGGGACCGCATACACGATGCTGGGGCCCTCTGCAGAGATCACGCTTAGGCCACCTTCTGTCTCTGGTTGGAAGAACTCACGGAGGAGGATCATACTGCGGACCGAGCTGGTGAGAGTCTGACGGGCGTCTTCTGGCAACGTGTCTATCGAGGCCGCAATCGAGAGCACTTTCAGAGCTCCGAGCGACCACCCAGCGACCGCAATGTGAGCCGGGAGGGAGAGCGAGGTGATCAGCCCAGCGATCAGCAAGGCCAGATGCTGCCCCATTTCCGCTAGCAGCCGCTCCTTATCATCCCCGTTCCCGCTGACGAACAGCGTCAGCTCTTCTGCTGAGTAGGGGGTCGTTCCTGGGTATCCACGGCGATTCACGGCGATTACGCGAACCCCGTTTGAAGGGCCGATCGCCGCGAGCGACGCAAATGTCCCTGACCGCGGATCCGTGTGAGTTCCTGAAGTACAGGATAGACAACAGTAGCTTACCGTTGTGGAACATGATCCCATGGATGAGGAAGAGCGTGACATAGTCTGTCTGGTCGGAATGGGGGATCCCGCTGTCGGTGTAGCTGAAAGTAAGACCGCTTTGGAGGGTGAAGAAAGGCATGTTTGAGTGTCATGATAAACAGCTAGCGTCGTGCTTTTAAACACTGAAGCCCAGGCGGGACTGCCCTGGTGGTATGGACAACGAAAGCTCAAAGGCGGCGTGATGCATGATGAATGTGTCAAATCATTTCTGAGCGGTGTTCCTTTCACGGTTCCTTTGCCGCCAAGTATAGCGCTTTGAAAGCACCGCCTGATAACATAACCAATCACCGCCCGCACCTGCCAATGACCTTGCCCCTCTGGGATCACAGATTGACATGACAACCAACACGACACTCTATCTGCACCAGGTCGAGTAACATGGATTACAGGATTCCCAACTCTAGGGCCCTGATCTGAATGGCCTGTGTCTGATAAGGGTCCTGGAACAGATGAGAACAAGGACACTGTACCAACTGTTTGGAACAAAACCGCGAAAGGGTAAAGTCCCCGGCAGCAAACCATAGCTATGCGAGCCGTTAGCATGGAAGACAAACAGGCAGGCGGGGACACACTCCCGGATAGCCAGATGGCCGATAACACCCATGCAGTTCTCCTTCCTCATCGACACCCCAGACAGGGCTCGTCTGGCTGATGACATCGTCGCCAAAGATCGGACGCATGGTGTCTCGGATACTCTCAAACGACGTGCTATTGTGGATCGGTAAGTTACGCTGATAGACAGCAGCTAGACTCACGCGTAAACGACGGCATCGACCTCGGCTTCTGTGCCGTCGCTGTAAACTACACCGTTGAGCTTGAATCGAGCGAGTTCGACACCGTGCTTGACGAGGACTTGGCGGTCCCGAATGAGTTTGGCGGTCCCGAGATCGATCCCTGGCCTTGATCAAAGATAGTTCATCCCTAGTGGCATTCGCACTCACAATATCCTAGAGTCAATCAGCCGCGACAGTCGCAAGTAAAGCTGACCACCCACCTCCAAATCGCTCATAGATCATGGCAAACTGCCCACTTCCGTCTTTGCCCATGGTAAGACTCAGTCCGGCTTCTCTCAGACCTTCATGGAGCTCCTTCTCGGCATCCCAGAATGACTGCGTGAGCGAGCTGCTCACTTCGCGAAGCATGAGGTACGGCATGGCCTGTGTTTTGAAGTCGTTAATCTGTATGGGCACATCCGCAGGGAACGCAAGGCTTTGACGCTTCCGCGCGCTAGACTGAGACACTACACAGCTGGAAGACCGCTGGAGCATTGTCGCTTGGGCGCCATGCGCGTGCAGATCTTGACAGATGTCTGCTGCGCTGTTGCCTGCACCGACAACAAGGACGCGTTTACCGGCATATGAGGCCCCGCCCGAGTACGAGGAGGAATGGGTGATTGAACCGGTGAAAATGGATGAGTCGGGGACATCAGGCGTGCGAGGTTTTCCGAAGGTGCCTCCTGCTATGACGATATGCGCAGGACGTAGTGGAACATGCTTGCCGGCACGGTCGATGACTAAGTTCCACTTCCTGCTGTCTGCATCGTATCTGGGCACCGGCAGAAGCTGAGAGCTGGTCCAGACGACTAAGTCTTGCGTGACAGCGTATTGCTCAAGCCAATCTGCCAGCTTGTCGCGTGGAGTGTAGGTTGGCCAATTTGAAGGGTAGGACTGATATAGCACTGGATTGGCAATGAGCGTTAAGCAGGATAAATTAACAAGTACCTACTTTCATGATGGCACTTGATGGTGTGCAAAGTGAGCATAGGATACCGCTTCCTCCACACATCGCCGACCCGCGCCGTTTTCTCGATGATCAGAGTCCGTATGCCCATTTGCTTGAAACGAGCAGCGACGTTCAGACCAGTCTGCCCGGCACCCACTGCAACCCATGAGCAATGGAAGATTGCACGGACGATACGCACCGATAAGCACATGCGGGTCACGCTCGATATCCGCTTTCCGTCCAGCCCGCACCTCACCCCACGACACTGTGTGACCGCCATAGATACCGCTCTCCGGCCCACTCTCCTCATGTCCGCGGATGTCTTCGAGGTGCACAAAGACCATCAACGCTCTCCAAACGCCATCCTCACCCGGTGTCAGCGAAACGTATCCCTGAACGTGCCCTAACGCCGTCTCGAACCTGAATCCAGATGACACGCCTTCGACCAGCGGTGTGATCGGACCGAATGTAGGACTCATGTGCGTGCGGGTGTCGAGTGCCGGTCGCACAACAGAAGTGAGCGGTGTGCGGGCAGTGGACAAGAAGGTCGATATACGGGCGCGTCCGCGGAGAGTGCGATTGAGCCAGGTGAAAACGAGAACATCGCGGAGCCAGCCCTCTGGGTGAAAACACTCAGCGACACGCGGGATGTCGGCGGCGCCGAGGGCAGTGGAGAACGCCTGCAGCCAGTCGGAGGCGATGCCTTGCGCGTCGACTGGATGGGAGAATGCGGGCATTCCCGATACTGTTTGGGCTGAAAAGAACGATTGATGAGTGACCAGTCGTGTCTGATATATGCGTGAGACTGCGAACTTGTCTTTGGAAAGCTAAAATTACCACTTCTGTTTTGCGCAGCCAGTCACGGGCCAATAGCGCTCACGAACGACGGGATATCCTTCATGGACTTGCGTGCCCTCAGTCGAGGACGTTCACCAGAGTGGTCGAATAGGATCCGAGGGTGTAACGGTGCCTCATCCCTCAGGAGCGAGCGAAAGAGGGGCGCGATCATGTGATGTTGCGCGTCAAAATGGATCAGCCAAACAACCCACAGCAACGGTCTGTTGGAACGATAGATTTCTCTGGTTGTGATACGAGCTGCTTCCGCACGGGTATTCTCCTCTTCTGTGAGCTCTGTAGGACCCCAAAATTCTATCTGTCAGTCTATTTAAGTCATGACAGGCCTCACTTCCATCGCGTGTACGCTCCCCGCTGATTGCTTTCACCTTGCGTTAAACGACCACCTTCAGCACTTCAAAAGCGACTCAGATGTCTCCAACCCAAATCAGCACTGCAATATCTAGCTCTGTTCTACAAAGTTATGCGATCCAAAAGACTGGAGCCGAGACCCCAACCGCGGCGTGCAGTACAATTGCCCCAGGTCGGTCTTGGGCGACTTGGGGTCGAAGCCTACAGACCCCACTCACTAAACGCGTCTCAGAATCTCTTACACAACCCACGTTTTGGGGCAGTTCCATGCCCCCTTCGAGTCTCTTACCGTCATCGACGTCCCCAATCGAAACAGGCAACAAATTCATCCTCAGTCTCGGGGCAACAGGCCTGCGCGGCACCGCAGCAGGATTGGCGATCGGATTTCTCGCAGCCTCCGTGGCATGTTTTCTAGGCCTCGTCCTGACTGTAACTTTGGTGAAATGTGGGATCTTGAACCGCCGTTCTGGAGCAGTGCGCGTCTTTGCCACTGCTTACGATCCGTTATCGAGGCGGAGCCTGTTCCGTTGATTGATAGGAATGAAACTTGGCGTATTTTCACAATTTTTTCACAAATGAGTGAACAAACTCGATCGGTGGCTTGAAGCGACGTAGCCGTCCACGCACAATATCAAAACGGAACTCCTGGCTCCTCAAGCTTAATATCGGACAGTAAGAGGGCGTATCTGGAGCTGACGCATTCCGCATGCGCGCCAAGTTGCTCAACGCGATTGTATTCCGGATTCTAACTCACGAGCAAGTCCTGTTTCCGGTGATCGGTGCTTGTTTGGGACCGATGATCCGACCACAATGTGCATGGGAAAGCTCGTCTCATGCACTCCTGGATATTCTTCTGTGCCTGACACTCAGCCATCGGAGCTGAATTGGATAATCCAGTCATCCAAGCATCTGTCTGACTCAGCAAAACGCTGGTGCCGTTGAGGAATCTGGAATTCGGTGTGGGAGTCAACTCTGTTTTGATCTCGGAACAAGTTGAAACAGTCATCACTCCGGCGCTTCTCACCAGCGGGATCGCAAGTCGATGATCGTGACTTAAAGCTGTGGTTGGAAACTTGCATGGGCCTCAGCCTCCCTCCCCCGTATGTGGCCTGGGATGCCCTTCTCTTACAACGAGACCGCTGTTGCGGCGGCCATCGTCAGCCAGCATTTCTACGATCTGAATCTGGGTCCCTTCTTGATCGGGTGAAACGAGTCGCAGCAATTCATGGATCAACTCACTGAGTGAGAAGCGCAGGTTGTGGATGTAGACTTTCATGATGGGCTGTCTCTGTGCGTTTCTTTGCCAGGGCCATACACAGACGTATCGGCATTAGCTTTGTGGTCCGAGATTTGTGCTGTTCACTAATGCTGAGCCACCAGGCATAAAAATGTGGAAATATGTCAAAGAATACCACCAGGATCTTGTGATTATCCGAAGCTTCGTATCGGCCTTGTTTCTGGCGAGTAGCTTTCAGTTTGGAGCGGATTTGTACTTTTCCAACTACTTTCTGCTCAGTTTTTGTTCACCGATTTATCCATGGCATTTCAGCCAATTGATGTACAACACTTTTGTCGTAAACTACGGGAACGTTCTAGCTTGGAATGCGTTTCACTGGACATTCTTGTCAGTCGTATCTATTTACCATTTCTTATTTTCTTCCGGACTTGGTACAGATACTAACTGCATGGACGGTCTGTGGCTCTCAACGTCTGGAGGACGATCGAGATAACCTATTGTAGGCCACGATCGCAGCCCTGGTTCGAGCCTTTTTTATTCACCGGTGTTGGACCGTCACCCATTCTATTTCAATCCTCTCGGCCGCCATTTTAGGCATGCTGGTTGCTCTGAGCGCCGGGATTGCCACAGCCATTGGGCTCATTGAACGCCCGTACGACACGCGAGCCTTCTTTCACCAAAAAGATCCTGGTTAATCTCGCGACTGTACTTTTCCAGCGAGACTCCTCATGTTGCGCAAGTCACAACATGGCTGATCGCGTGGGGATAACTGTCTCAGTTGGGTCATTTCTCACTCATGTAGCTGCTAGATCTGCGGGTAAATGTCAAGGAAACTAACTCTTGGTCCAATCTGATTCTCAGTAGCTACGGAGATGATCATCTCCATTGTCCTGGTGCACGCTTGATCTTGTATCTACTCCGTTCCAGATAACTCACTTACGGAGAATACGAACTGGATTTAAGCAGTGAGTGATAATATGGATAGCTTTCCGATCGGTGCCTGACGCGAGAGACCAGCACGGAAAAGGTCTCCTCCGCCAATCCAACTTTCGAACCGGTTCCTCGCCCTTCATCTCTAGACTTTGTCTAGGATCGTGCGCTTGACCTTCGAAGCCGCTGCTCTGACATCTTTCGTCGCGCTGCTCGATCTAATTCTATATCTCGCCAGGGGAAAGCAGAATTCCATCCATCTCGCTAGTGAGTCCTGTCAAATTGCCCTCCTGCATTGCCTTACCCGGTCAATTTCGCACCCACACAGTCCAACTCATTGTGAGGAAAACCTACAATCATTCAGTAACGGTCACACTGCTTGCTCGTTCGGCGTGTCTCTCTCACTGCCTGCTTCGAATTTCGAAACCGACGCACTCAATTCCAGAGGATTCGCCAGGACTTTGAACCTCACAGCAACGATCCTGTCGGCATTTCGGACACCGTCAGTCGATGTGTCCCAAACCGGCAAGCGCTGAAATGAATCTTCAAATTAGCCTTTAGTCAGGAGCAGACCGCGCAATCTCGGTTCAAGTGGAGTGATCGTCACTAGAGTGAGCTCTATCGAGGTATATGTTCAGATTACTAAAGCTAAGCACAAGACACAACTTCGAGTGACTGACGAACATCCTGCTCCTTTTCACATCGAGCCCATACCTCATCGGGATCCCGAAGGCACGATTACCAGTTCGGCGACTAGGGATTCCGAGATGGTTTAACTAGGGGCATCACTTTGCTTATGTATGTATCATAAGGATTGAGCGACATCTAGTGATGCTTGCGAGGAGCTACGAGACTGCGTTAGTTTATAAATGATGACGTCTCGGAAGTAGAAGCCCTTTTAAACGTCGCGGTCATGCTGAGTACGCGAGAAGTAAAATACACTTCTTTAGAATCGGTTCCCATCTGTAAGCCGTTAGCTTAGAGATGAAGACCCGAGGAACAGGACAAGATATTGATATTGGGGGACATGTTGTGCGGTCATCATACTCGCTTATGACTGACCAAGATTGCCAGTCAGGCTCAGGACCAGGATCTGTGCTTGTCTGCTATGTACGTTGGAGGATCGGAATGATGAATCGAAATACAGAAGCTGAAGAGCTTGTCTCTGTCATTCGCACACAGTGTCTCGCGTAGAGGACATGTGCTGTTCTGAGCCAAATCGGATTCGACTGGAACTCAAGTTTTCACCAATCCTGGATCTTTGATCTCGAAACCTGAGTACCTTCGATAGGAATCGGTGATCGTGAGCCATATGATTTCAGAAGAGCAATGCCATCTGACAAATCAGTGAACATTGATCCAGAATCTGTATTTTATTACATTCTTCTAATCACTTGTTGAAGGCCTTTAATTCAAGGCAGGATCACTCCTTGAGAAGTAACGAAGCCCATATCCCGACGAACACAATCGCCAAAAGAACAATATAGACCAAGAAACCACCTATCAGGTTCTTTTCAATTGACACAGCGAACAGCGCAGACGCTAGAAACGGCGCTAAAGCGCGCAATATTGTTGAAACCATCTGAGCAATAGAATTGGTCACGGAAATCGCCGAAGCCCGGGGTACACTTCGCACGATGAACAGCTGAATTGAGGCTACATCCGTAGTGCTGAGCAGGAGACCTGAGGTATATCAAAATGACTCACCATATGAAACGCCGACAAGCAAGTTGGCCGTCAGCTGAGCGACCACAACCAGCCATACAAAGAGATCGACGCGACCGGCTCTCATTGCCAAAAAAGAAAGAAGAGGGTACGAGCCAATGCACACTGCGAAATTGGCAAAAGAGCAGATATAAGTAGTCCGAGGTCCGAGGTACTTGATCAAGCGCGCTGCGAGGAAAATCTGGAACAAGGTGTTGAGGAAACCCCAGACTCCACGAATCACCCCGATTTGGTAGGGGCTGAAGCCGAGCCCGCCGTTCTCGATGCTGGTGGAATACATCAGAGGGAACAGAACTTTTCAAACGTCAGAGTCGCCATAAGTGGGCGGTATGCCAGTTCTGACCTTGATAAGAGGTCTGGACGAAGCAGAAGGACCCGTAGTTTACTAATGGAACGACCAAATCGGGTACGAGCAGCTCCCAAAGTGAGGGGGGCTCATCATTTTTTGCTACAGCTGACGACTCAACCGACGAGTATGACGCAGCGGTAGCTGCGGGCGATTCATGAGCGATCAGTGGTTCTGTCTCGTCTTGGGTCCGTTCTCGATTCTGGTTCGAGCGAGCCCGAATCGTGGGCAAGGTCTGATGATCATTGGGTCCGGAATAGGAATAGGAAAACCACCGATAATTTCTCACCTCTTTGAGACCGAAGAACCCGAGGACAAATATCGACAGCGATGCAAGCCCAACGACAGCACAAGGAAGGAGATATGGATAGTCTCGAAAGGTCTTGAGCTTCCCAAAGCTTTCCGGAAAGCGGATCGCTGGTTGTGACAGGAGGCCACCGATGATAGGCCTGTTCGACAAACATGAGGCAGTGAAGCGTGGTGGCTGGAGAAGAGTACCCAAGAGTGGTGCCTGACGTCCAGGCAACCGGTACGAAAGACATGGCCTGGGCCAGGTTCGTCTTGTCGGAGATCTGATACAAAAACGATCAATGGCTTGCGGCAATTAGAATGTTGATAGAAGTGCACCTCTACTAATACGGTCTTAACAACGCCTGTTGCTGATGTTAGTCGGTTCCATGATGGGATTTTGGACTTGCCGATGTTTCCGTTGAACACGCCCTGCGCGCTGCGCCAGAACAGTAGCCCCAAGAACGTCTTTGACCAGCCGAACCCGACAAGCGACACGGCCAGCCCCAAGGGCCCGAGAAGGAGCACCGGTCGTCGCCCGAAGCTGTCCGCCGCTCTGCCCCAGATGTATACCGAGAAGAACTCGGCGACGAAGAACACTGATTCCTAGAAGTGAGGCGAAAGATTCCCACTTGCTGACCTGGATGACGTGTTGGTAAACTCACCAGAACGCCAGCCCAGTATCCCGTCTTCCGCTCGTCTCCGCCTGTGATGCCTGTATCCTGTACGAATTGAGGTACAAATGGGAAGATGACCGTCCTGAGATCGGCGGAATGAGGTCCCATCTTGAATATACTCTGTGTGTATGACAGCGTCAGAATTGTACTCACGCAGAGAGACCCTCGGCGGCTTGAATGAGGATCGAGATGGCGAGCTGGAGTGGAGGAAGGGGATTCGGGTGCTCATACTCGGAAGTCATTTTGGTTACTAGTAGAGGGAGTCAGGATTCTTAATTTACACATATCTCGAGAAGGCCGTGTGAGTCACTGACTTTGACTGATAGGGACTGCCCGATTTGGCATCACAATCAAACCCCGCGTCTTCAAGCTCATGAGTATCACATTACATCGCTCGCTGCATCTTCGAGGAGCGCCGCTACAATCGCTTGCGTCACGCATTTGGTAAATGCGAGATGGCAAGACGCGCATCCGTCCGAGTCCTACAGATAACATAGATGCAGATTAGACTCTGGTGGGCATTGAAGAGAGAACGCTTTCGTTTCGTTTTTTTTTTGAAGAGAATCCAAAGAGGGACCTTGGAAGCACTCGGCAGCAGCGCAGAAGAGAGTTGGGTGGCAACGAATGGGGCCCTAGTGATGAGAACTGTACGTTTGAGCTGCTCCTCGCGTCGCTGTGCTGAGGGGGTGCAATCAGTTACTGTTTATCCACTCAACGCCTCACGCCAGTCGATACATGAAAAGTCCTAAATCGGCCTATGACATATTTTGCGGCTTCGAAACATTTTATTCATTCTGTTGTGCTGGCAGAGAGACTATGTTAGCTGTTGCTGTGATCCGCTGTGACGGACTCGTGACACCCTGTTATTCCCCCCCTTGTACAGTATCTGCATTGGACACCCTCCCCGCGCTTCGACAACTACTTCGCGGCAACCCACGAACACCCATAGGTCGATGGATCCGGGGGAGTGAATGGCTGTGGGAATGTACAGAGGAGCCGGAGCCACAACGTGCTTGCGCAGACCAATATCGTATCACTGCCCCCAATCAACGTCGAGGACTGCAGCGACTCGGACAACTTGATCAAAACTTGGGAGCCGCACCTGGTCGTCTTCAGCTACGAGACGTGATGAATCTGCTGCTGTTTACTGAAGGTGTGAAGAGCAAGATACTAGGGGACGTGGAGGGTGGGAGGGGAAGCAGGTTGGGCTGCCGCTCTGCAGCTGATTTGGGTGGAACGGCCATGGGAGGAGCTTGAGCCTGTGGCCTTGGGAGACGGTCGGTCTCCATTATCCTCCCTAGCTCGTCAGGCGTCTGAGCACCGGACAGGCACGCTCGATTCCTTCAATGTGTGATTTCGAATACACCGTTATGTGTGTTGGTCAACTCGTCACCTGCGCTGAGGCAAGGGTGCATAGCTCCCTGTGCGGAAATAACCTACACACTGGCCTTCTGTGTGCGCTGAGGCACGCTCGATCCTTCGACGTCTGTCGCCCTGCTCGTCGAGACAATGTGTCCCCGGCCCCCGAAGCAAGGGCACCTCTTCTCCATCCCAATGGCGCCCATGCTTTGCGGGACGTCCGCCGGTCGGGCGGGTGCTCAGAATACGCTTGGAGTCTTGCATAATCTTGCGCTGATTGCAACGGTCGGCGGCTCTGTAAATCGCGACTCGTGGAATCTGATGCGTAAGGCCTAGTATCTAGTACCACGTTCAAATTCAAGCATAGTATCTTTTGGAGACGCTGAGCTGAGCTCCTATCAGAAAACCGCAGAAATATCGTGACATGTGATGTCACTCCGATCAGTTTTCTATCTCATTCGTGGTCGCAGCAGCAATGCGCTCCGCCAAGAGAGCCTCATATCCGACTGTGCACATCAAGCAGCGGCACATCGGGAGTATCGACACGTCGTGACAAGGCGGGCTTCGGATCCTTCCCCTCCCCAGTGTCGACCTCTTGAGCAGTCATCCGGGGCTCTACGGCTGAAAGGATCGCGAGCAGAAGGGTGGTGGTGGGCCCGGTCTCTTACCGGTTCACACTCACGGACAGAACGTTGGTTAGCCGCTTGAAGGTCGGCGGTCGCGCCGTCCCATCGTGCCCTATTCGACGTGTATTCTGATATACAAGCACAAGAAGTTCGCTTTGCACTGAAGGCGTGTTCGAATACATGGTCCAGATTCGTGCGAGACATCGATCTAACCGGGGACATGCAATTGAGGCATCCCCTATTGTTGGGAATCGCTGGGACGAGGACTGAGGTTCTGTGGGTGCGCCCCATGCATCTGCTTCTGGTCACGCCCATGCTCGGGTTTCCAGGTGCGTCCATCCTCGTCTCGAGTCTATCGTCTTTCTCTGAAGCAAAGCGCTTTTTGCAGCATAGAATACACGTCTACTGTAGCAACTGTGCCAATTCCGGTGTGCCCAATATCCCGTAGTGCCCAACTCCCTCCACGAGATAAACCTCGACCTCCTTCGAGCAGTGTCTCTTAGCCCCGAGCGCCTCCCAGTCCCCACCGCCTCTCAGCCTTGGAATCGTGGTGCCGATGCCAAATTCTGCAACAACCAACGCATATGGAGCCTCGACCGAGGACAGCCATCGATCCACGGCAGCTGTGTATTCGGTCCAGGACTGTGATCCCAGGCCTCTAAGGAACTCCAGAATCGGGCGAATGAGGGCCCTGGTCATTTCCACCATCTGCAAATCGTCTTGCGAGTCCTGCACTCCGGCCGCGGCGGCTTTGAGCTGCTCTGCGCGACCGGAGGATCGATAAAGCGGATCCGCACTGAACATCGCGATCATGGATTGGATAGGGTAGTCGAAGAACTGCGACAGCTCCCTGTGAACGTCGGGAATGGCTGCGAGTTCGGGGTGCAGCCAGAGCGTCGGGAAGTGGTCGATGAAAGCGAGCTGCTCGACTCGCTCCCCATCCGCCTCCAGGATCCGAGCTACTTCTATGCAGACGAAGGACGACTGCGAGTACGCTGCGATGCGGTATGGGCCGTGTGCCTGTCTCGCTTGCATCTGGGACACAAAGTAACGTGCGAGGCCCGGCAATGTAGCGAGTGGCGTCGCCGGTGTAATCTGAACCCCGTATAGAGTGCGCGACTTGAAATGCGTCCGCAAGGCAAGCAGCGGAGCCAAGCTCCCCTCCCCACCGCAGAACACAAACAGAGGCGTAGCAGCGCCAGCACCAGAGACCAGCTCCACGATCGACTCGCTTTGCGCCGGTGCCACCCTCGAAAGATCCGCCCACGATACATTGCCGAGCAGCTGGAGCTGGGTCACGGCAACATATGGCTTCAATGCCGTAGCCAGCCTTGCTGCGCTCAGCGAGTCGAGGCCGTAAGAGATGAGAGGGATCGAGGGATCGAAGTCGCGCGCGTCAACACCTAGGATATCCAGCAACACTGTCAAGCCCGACGCCGAATCAGGGTTCGGGGAGACGACTGCGAGTTTCGGAGCTATCTTGTCCCAGGAGATGCCTCCAAGCAGCTCGAGCTGAGATACAGTGCAGAAGGGCTGTAGCAACGTCGACAGTCGTGTCGCGGTCAGCGAGTCAAGCCCATACGATATCAGTGGGCGCTCCCAGTCGAAATCGGACGCGTCGACTTCCAGGATGGCCAGCACTCGAGGAAGAATCTGGTCGTCCGGTGATGACTTGCCCATAACGATTCTCTCTGAGATTAGGTGGCTGAAGGTCGGAGAGAGTGGGAATCCACCATTCAGAGTCTTCCAATCGAGATCAGGGATGTATTGGCTGAACGTATGACCAGATGCGATCTTGGACAGCCCGTCGCGCAAGATGGCCCAGAGTTCTAGAAGCAGCAGATAAAGTATCAAACAAGAAATGGTGGTGAAACGCACCCTGAGTCGTGAGGGACGTGGCAAAGATACCGGAATCCGACTTGACGATGTGGTCTGAGCTGGCACGGTCCTATCCCGGTTCATCCTTGGCATAGGAACAGAAGAAGAATGAAGCTTACCAAGAACCCCGCGTTCAATATCCCGGGTACGATGAGAGAAAAGGCATTCGAATACCCAGCTAACGCCCCATTCAGCTCCGAACAGGCACTTGCGAGAGTCAGTCACCGCAAAACAACGACATTGATCAAAGCTCACCTCGCGTAGTTGGTTTGCCCGGCATACCCCACCAGTCCCGACAGCGACGAGAACGCAACGTAGAAATCGAGCGACGCCATATCCACCACCGACGCGAACGCGGTGAACACCCCGAGCTTGGACGCACGCACAACCTCGAATGAAGCAGACGTCTGCGCCCCAAACAACGCATCCGACAGGACGAGTGTCAGCTGGAAGCAACCACCCAACGGACGACAAAGGGTGCGAAGCACATCTGTTGTGGCTGACACGCTCGTTGCATCGCAGGCTTCGAGCCGCAGCTCGAGGTCCGAGCGGCTACGCAGATAATCTATCTTGACGATGGATTCGGCGTCCCTAACCCTGTCCAGAGACTCGATACCCCGCCGAGACGTGAGCACGATGTGTCGGGCACCATTTTGATACATCCAGACGGCCAGATCGACACCAAGACCGCCGATGCCTCCAAGAATGATGTACGCTTTGTTGTTGGAGAAGAGAGGGGTCAAAGAGAGAGTGGAGACGGGCAATGTCATCGGGTCCGAGCCCGAGCCAACTGTGTCCCAGGCGGCCTGCAGCGCATGAGCCAGGACGGACGAGGAATCGTCGCGCAGGGACTGGCGAAGGAGGGTGTCTACGACCACGAGTCGGCCGGAGCGTGGGACCCATTGACAGATGTTCGGGTGCGCAACGAGGGTGTCCGAATCAGTGAGTAGGAGTCGAACGCTATGGCGCTCGTCAGACGGATCGAGCAGTCGGCATTCCGTGAGACAGGCGAGGGAGCGTGATATGCGGGAGGCACCACGCTTTGTCGAGAGGGCGACATATATGACCTTGTTTGTGGACCGCTCTATGTTTTGCTCGATCAATGAGAGCACCGTCGCATCCAGTAACGTCTGAACTGCTTCAATAGCTGGCAGATGATGAATTGGCACAGCGGAACAAACTGGAAGGTGGGCCAACCGGCCCGGATTTTTCTCCGTCAAAGCAAGAATCAAGGATCCAGCCGGGAAGCGTGCGCTCTGGCTCATTGCAACACGACCAGCAATGATATACAGCCCAGATCCAACACTCTCCGTGAGAAAAGACTCGACGAGGAGGTCGTCTTCTCCACGAAGATGCATGTGCTCGGTCTCTGCCTCCCTGCTCGAATCTGGCGCCGAAGCCAGGGCGAGCCTAGAGACGCGTGGGATTCTGCCATCCTTCGGCCAGTAAACGACCGATTCACCGCGAGTGTATACTCCGATATGTTGCGAGATAAGATGAGACGCGTCCGCGATTTGATCATCGGATGCGAAGATGGCTAGCCGGATGCTCCAGCGAGGAAACTCGCGTGAGAGCGATGCGCAGAAGCCCAGAGCGCTGTCCGCGTTCCTACCCTCGAGCGATATGACGTACACATCGAGCCCCGCCTCGAATTGATCGAGCGCCTCGATGGCGCGCTGTAAGGTCATCTCCCCGCCGACCGAATAGCGAAAGATACGGCGGGAGTCTGCCACCGGAGGGTACCCATTCGCCATCACGTCACCGCCTGAGTTTTCTTTCTGCGCACTGAATAGAAAATTGTGTCCCTCTCCAGCCTCCTGCTGACAGACACGTCCGTTGACGAAGCCCAAAGACGAGAGCTGGTGCATCCAAGCGCCAGGAGGCATGGTGCAGTGCTCGCGTCCATCTTCGAACCCGAACCACTCCGGAAACGAACCGAAAACACAGTCGAACCACGCGCTGCCCGGCTTGGAGCCCCATTTACGCCCGTCGAGCTCTACAACGAACAGGTACCCGCCCGGGATGAGCAGCGTCTTGAGGGAGGCGAGACAGGATTTGGTGTCCGGCACCGCGTGCAGCACATGGAGAGCGAGAATGATGTCGAATGACTGGGGCGCAAAGCCTTGAGAGGAGGGATCTCGTCGAAGGTCGTATGCCCGAGGGACCATTTTATCGTAAGCGATGCTTTGAGCAAGATCTGAAGCCAACGCCTGATGAATCCGTTAGGCAAACATCACAAACAACATCGTCAGGGACTTACAACAGATGCGTCTGTTACTGTATATTCCACAAGAACATCAGTCGCTTTCCCTAGCTCATCGACGATATACCGAGTCAACAATCCTGTCCCTAGGAGGAAAATGTGAGCCACCTATCACCCACTGCACAGTCCGAGTCACCTGCTCCGACTTCAAGAATGTTTATCGAGCGTCGTCCCTGCTGCCGAATTGCGGATACAATCTCCGAGAATTCCTCGGAAAGCGCCATGTAGACTTTGTTCGACTGAACTTCCCTGCTGTAGAATCTAGACATCAGGTCGTCCGAGTACAGCTTGTCGATCGCGCGCTATTCGATTGGGGAAACAGTGAGCGAGAGGTGGTGAAAAACAAGACTTGTACAAACCTTGGATGAAGCAAACACCGTGTCATGCACTGAAGCGATCCTAGATGTGACCTCGAAATACGGGTTATATCTCTCGCGCAGGTGCTGGATCGTGTCTTCCGGCACCGCAGATCTGGTGTTACGGGCATGATAGCGCTGGGCGAACGAGAAATAGCGTGCACGAGATGCCTATGCGAGAATTTCATGATTGTTCTTCAAAAGCCCAAGAGGAAACCGGCGCTCACCTCACTGCCAACGACCAGATCCTTGTTCGCCAAGGACTTGTCGAACATTTCTAGCGCTAAATTGTCCATATGGCGATAGAGCGCGACCAGATCTCCTTCATCTGCCTCAATATCTCGGTACACAACGGGCTCATCTCGACCTTTGGACGAGAGCAACGCGATCGGTTGTTGCACCAGATCAAAGCGTCGCGCAACACGTGGAGCGGGGGCCACCAGCCGCTTGACGATCAGATCATCAAACCGGCAAACAACATGTCCGGACGTATCCGAGGTAACGACGTCATAGGACTTCCAATCTAGGAATAACATGTTCATCAGCGATTTTGAACCGTGAGAATCAGTCTTTTTCCCGCGTACCTGGTGCCCACGAGCGGCGCTTGATGTGGGAAATCCATGTAGACAGGATATTTGTCTCCATCCCATAGTAAACGAATCGACCAAGCTGGGCGGGGAGGTACAGTGCGCCGCCGTGGTCCAGATGCTCTTTCGAAAGGGCCTGATGCAGCAATATATGGATACATGCATCGAGGAGGATGGGATGTAATCGATACTCATTCGACCTATTCGCGGTCAATATTCTTAATCTTTTGACGAACGTTGCATTTGGCCGTACCAGGGTTCGTCGGCCGAAGGAACTCGAACCTCAAGAATTACTTCCGAGGGTGTGCCATGAGCACGGACCACTCTCTGATACACTGGTCCGAATTGGACATGAGAGGCCACGGACTCATAGAAGCCTTCCAGTCGAATGTCAGTTCCTTTCTCGAAAAAAAGGAGACAGAATACCCACCAGCCATGCGAATCTTGGGCAGTCGATCCCACACTTGATTCAGATCAGTGGCTTGGGGAGGTGCGCGAGGCATCGTGCTGTCCATGAGGCCACTGGCATGAACTCTCTGTGTGATGCGGGTTTCTTCTATTCGAGATCGTCTGAGCGCATGGTCAATGCTTACCGAATCCGATTTCAAGGACCATTGCCGCTCGCAGCGATGGAGCTCCAGAGGGCTCGTCGTTGGCGAAAGCGAATATACCGACGTAAATTCGACATCCCAGATGACGTTCGCTCCCGTCTCCAGTATCTGGGATGCCCTCAGTACGTTTTTTGAGGAAATATGAGCGCCAAACCAGTTCTAGAAACCCGGTCGCAGGAAGGATAGGCTGACCTGATTCACCATATATCAGTATCAATGGTAAAACAATTGAGAGGACCCCGCTGACCGTGAACGACATGCTGAGCGAGAAGTGGGTGTGTCTTCTCGTTGACAACAATGTTAAGCCCCTGGAGTAAGCGACCGTTCAAGCTCACGTGTGCCGTATCACGGGAGGCATGCGCGGTGCCGGGTATCGTCTTCGGGGGAGGTATTGGACGATGGACGAGAGGATGTGCAATCAGTGAGGGTTTATAACTTGATTTGCCATACAGCCCGCTGAAATCGATCTGGTTGACGCCGAGCAGCACGAGGGATGCGAGCGTGTTAGTAAAAGTCGCGTGCTCGGTCGGATTCGATTTCGCTTTGGCCGACGCGCGACGCATCGGGCAAAGAACGAGTGAATCAGAGACGCCATGGGCGAGGATGGAGGACGCCAGGACGGGATGATTGGAGATCTCGAGAAACACGGGCGGGTTGTCCACGTGCGAGGCAAGAATGTGTCCGATGGAGGATTCAAAAAGGACGGGGTTTCGGCAATTCATCCAAAAGTATTCAGGAGTGAACTGGGACACCAATGTCTCTCCCGTACACGTAGAATAGACAGGAACAGCAGGCACGTGTGGACCGGGGTACCGCGTGAAGATTGCCTCCATGCGGGACAGATAATCCGTTCGAATCTCCTCCATGAACGACGAATGGCCGGGCACCATTGTGCGTATCCGCTGAGCAAATACTCCCTCTCCTTGAGCAGCGGCGACGGCCTTGTCCAGAGAGACCGCGAGACCCGAAACGGAGACACCAGAAGGAGAGTTGAAGCAAGATATCTCCAAATCGGCGCACGCGACGCTAGCAATGATCGCCCTCGCTTTCTCTGCATTGCATCCCAGCGACGCCATCCCACGGTCCGGACTCTCCGTCACAGTCATCGCAACTCCCCGCGCCAGAGCTATCTCGAACGCCATCTCCTTCGATCCCGCGCCGGACGCATACAGAGCCGTGGTCTCTCCGGCCGAATGACCCACCAGGACATCAGGTCTAACGCCCACCGAGCGCAGCAAATCAAACAATGCGATCTGGATCATCGCAATCGCAGCAACCGTGATCGTGACCGGCCATGCATCGGGTGAGAGAGTGATCGTCACATCCGAGGAGCGGGAGGAGAACAGGCCGGTGGAGTCGAGCAACGAGCAGCCCATCACAGAGACGTGCACTTGATCCAGGTCAACAATCGTCCTCCGGAATACTGAGAACTCGGAAAACAACCTCCGGCCCATCTCGATATGCTGGGGGCCCTGTCCGCTGAGAACGAAAACCAGCGGAGGCGGTGAGCTCGGGACCAGAACCGGTGAAGGAAGGTCTCCAGCGGAGGATGAGTCTCTTGGCAGCGTGAAGGCGGTCCGCCACGGCATCTGCCGGGCACGCCGTGACAAGGTAACCGCGCATTGCCGGAGGAGCTGCGAGTCTGCGTCTCTGAGCTCGGGTGATCCGATCAAGGACTGCGAGATTTCGTTGACAGCGCGGGGTGATAGACCTCCGACCACGACGGTGACTGTCGGACAATCACCGCTGAACGCGGACTCGGACTCGGGCTCGGGCTCAACGGGGGGCGACTCGATGACCACGTGTCCAGTCGATCCGCCGATACCGGCGCTGGATATCGAGATAACCGATCTTCCGATCGAGGATTTACAAGTGAGAGGTGTGGGCTGTACCGGGACATTGAGTGATATGCGCTCCCATTCAATGGAAGTAGACGGTTTCGTCAGGTTGACCGTCGGCGGAATGATCTTGTGCTCGAGAATTAGCGAGCTCTTGAGCAATGAGACGAGGAAGGCGGCTGATTCTAGATGCCTGTGCGCCAATCAATGAACGTCGCAGATGGACTCCCGAGACAGCAACGCATACCCAACATTTCCCTTCACACTCCCGGCTACAAGTTGATTCTGTGGAGAAAATAGTTCTCCGGCCGTATTGGCTTCTATTGGGTCGCCAGCCGCGGTACCTGGAGGGACATCAGGAGTAGCAAGCCATCGGAGACGAACCAACGCACCCGTGATGTGTAATTCTGCGTAGTCCACCTGACTGAACTCTTTCCCCGCTCTATGATAGGCCTCATTTATACATTGCCGTTGGGCCAGCCCACTAGGCACGTTCAGAGGCATGCGGGATCCAGTAGCATTGATCGCCGAGCCGAGGATCTAATCGATAGCAGAGCTGAGCTCCTCTCCGCAATTGGAGTCAGATGAAGACGCACGACTGAGTAGATCTGATCTTTGTCACGCAGAGCTTGTTCCAGACGCTTCAGAACCACCACGATGGCTCCTTCGCCTCGGCCAAATCTGTATCAAAAGAGTTATTCGCCATATTCCCCCATCATGGGTGGTTGCTGCATGGCCTCACCCATCAGCAGCGTCATCAAACGGCTTGGTGATTCCATCCGGGCTGAGAACCCCGCCGGGAACGTATCTCGCCCATTCTCCAATGCTGTCAAGTGTCAAATCAACCGCTCGCTAAGATTAGACAAAGGTGACAGACGCACGCGCGGTTGATCTGGGCTGCGCCGACCAAAGCGGCCGAGCAATCTCCCGCGACGATAGACTGCGAGGCGAGGTGGAGTGCGGTCAGCGACGAGCTGCATGCCGTATCAAGCTGGATTGATGGCCCTGTGAGATCAAGCGCGTATGAGATGCGGTTTGGCAGCGAGCTGGGAACATAGGCGAAGCTTCCATCCGTGTTGATGAGACCCTGATCAGTGCAAAAAATCCGTAAGATGAAGAGTATAGGACGCATGAGTCCGGTTGTCGCACCCGCGCTTCGAAATCAGAAATCCCGCTCATGAAACAACCGACCTTCTGCCTCCGGTAGTCGACGCCTGAGTCTGTCAGGGCCTCAAACGACAGTTCCATGAGTCTCCGTGCGGTGAATGGCATGACACGCGCGTCCTTGGGGCTGATGCCGAAGCTGATCGTGTCTAGCCCATCAGGGTTCTTGAGGAAAGCCCCGAGCGCGGGGAACTTCACTATGTCAAACGCGGTAGCAAATCTATGCGCGGTTAGCTCATAGAGGCCAAAGCTGAGACTTAACACTCAACTCGCTGCTCTGGAATAGCTCTGGTGTGATTTGCTGGTACGCCTGTGACCCCGAAACGAGGAAGTCCCAGAATGTGCGGTAGTCGAGGTCTTTCTCAGAAAACCCTCCAGAGGGTATCTGCGCTGCCACACCGACCTAATATGGAATAATCAGCAGTCGCAACCCAGGCTACAGGAACAGACGAGATATTTTCACGAACAACGGCAATCTTTGATTTCTCGCTGGCCATTTTGCAGTAAAGGAGCTCAAGCTCAGAGAGGCTAGTGAGGAGAAGCAGTCAAAAGAGAGAGACAGGGCAAAACATCATGCAGCCTCGGCTACGGAACCCTGCTGATGCACATCAGCACACGTCTCGACAAGATCGGCTCCCCGCAGGGTGGCTCCATCGCGGAAATTACAACAAGAAATGTCGCAAAGTTCAAGGCCATGTTGAATTTTGCCGCGCTTCCACGCCGGGAGAAGAAATAACGATCTTGACTCGCTTGTGTCATTTTAATCAGTGTGCGAGTCTAAAACCCTGATTCATAGCAAATTGGACCTCGTCGTCCATAAATCCTGGGGCCATGCATGAAAGATGTCGTTCCTCAATTTGAAATGCATTCAAGTGTCTCATTTGTGGAAGAAGGGGATTATGATAGAGCGGCATAGGAGGATACTGAAAACGGGAGTTGCGACGTGCGGCTGCCAGTTACCAGAAGTAGCGGGTTCGCGAGGTGTGCTCGCTGCCAGATGGACTTGGAATCAAATCCGTTTCCGCTTTACCTGTGTTTGATGGACTGTCCATCATGATTGTGATGCCATCATACGGGCACGTGCAGCCTCACTCCACCTTGTTTCCCGGATCCCATCTCGGGAACGGGCAGCAATCTCTTCTGATTCTGTCGCAGTCAGCAACCCATCCTCACACGATCTAGAATGACATCGGGTTTCATTTGACCCTTCGTGGGCTCAGTGCTTTTACATCGTTATCATCCCTCCACTGCGACCAGCTCAGCATGTGCGGTCTCTATGGAGGCCGGGAACTATATGCTGATAAACGGAGGACGTATCACTGATACGCGATAGTTTGCCGACATAGGATCAATTTCATGATGCGCTCCATGTCATGATGCGCCTATCTGGACGGCTGAAAACGTTATACTAATAACCGATGTCTGAATCGTGGATGGCCGCTCGGCAGATATTGATCAGATGATTGACGCAATGATCAAGACCCCAGGTAGCCGACTATCGCAATATCGCAACATCGTAATATTCGAAAAGCGCAACATTCGAGATAGGATCAGCGGCCGGGTCGCCGGCGCGAGCAGGCTCGTCGCAAGTCCGGACTCCCAGGCGACATTCCAGGGCAGCGGTTCGTACGTCGTGTTCGACTGGGGAAGGAGGTGCGCGGCCTCCCTGATACAGCGCCGTCGAGGGTCAATTCACACACCCATACTGTAGCTTGGGGGGATCCTGTCGCTGACGATCAACAACGCGACGGCCCAGTCGCAGTTCTCACTGTCGTTCACCGAGTCCGCGGAGTTCATCAGCCCGCTCAAGTTGGACGACTCGTGCCAGCCCGCACGGCTGCAGAACTGGGACAGAATCCAGACGTTCCACGTGCCGCGAGCCACGGGGCTGCTGACGCAGACCGTGGGACAGCAGCGCGGCGGGTTCCGCTTCCTGACGATTGTGAGTGCGAGCGCGGACCCGCTGACGATCTCGAACATCTCGCTGGCGATCACGTTCATGCCCCACTGGGATGATCTCAGGGCGTACCCGGGCTACTTCTTTGCACCTGACCCCGGGTTCCACGACATCGACTTCCTCACGAAGATCTGGTACGCCGGTGCGTCATCGCCTGTTTGCTGGCTGATGTGGCAGAGCGTGGCGTGGGTGGGGGCTGACCGCTAGCAGGCACTATAGGGTGCAGACCAACACAATCCCTCCCCACACGGCGCGACAGGAGCCGTGCCCAGCAGGAGGTTCGTGTCGGCGTGGATCTGAATTTTGGACTCAAACTGTGCGATCACATTTGTAGGTGGCTGGTCCAACGATGCCTTGGGAGGAGCTGCCACTGGGCCTATCCTCGTCGATGGTGCAAAACGCGACAGGTGAGGAATGGTCGGTCGCGATCTGTGTGTGCAATCCCTGCTGATGACATTGGTACTGTCAGGAACATCTGGCCAGGTAACCCCTCATGCTCATGGACGCGATCTAACCCTCGGACTCATGCGACGGATCAGGCGACTGCGGCATCTCCACACACACGGAGCTCGTCGCGCTGAGCGACATGGAGCCGACCAAGAACTCGTTGATGGTGATGTTCCGCACGCAAAACCTGACGACTGGCGCGCTGCAGTACTCCGGGCCGCCGCTGAACAACCAGGGAAGCGACACGTACATCTCGTGGTCGCTCATTGGGACGCACAACTACTTCCTGTACACGGGCGACCTCGATTTCATCAAGTCTGTCTGGGCGAACTACACCAAGGCGGTTGGCTTCCTTGAGGGCCAGGTGGACTTGACCGGCCTGATGAACGTCTCGTCTGCGCTCTCGAACGACTGGGGCAGGGCCAGCGGCGCCGGACACAACTCTGCGGCAAACGCGTTGCTTTATCGCGTGAGGATTGATTTCTGTCTCTCGCATCATGTATCCGCGCTCATCAAGCTCGTAGACGCTCGTCACCACGGCGGACCTGGCGACGCATCTCGGCAATGTCTCCCTCCCCGCCACATACCTCGCCAACGCGACCAAGATCAAAACTGCGTTCAACAGCCTGCTGTGGGACGCCGCGGCGGGCCGGTTCCGCAGCAACGACCTGCCGAGGAGCATCCACCCGCAGGACGGCAACGCGCTCGCGGTCCTGTACAACCTCACGACATCGGACGCACAGAACAAGGCCGTGAGCGCCGGGCTGATGAAGTTCTGGACGCCCATCAGGCCGTGGCTTCGAGGTGCGTGTTGCGCTGGTGGTTTGTGGTTTGCGTGTCACCTGCGCGACAGATCCAAGCGCATTTTGTGGCCGGCAAGGGCGAGCGGGCAATTGATCTGATCGAGCGCGAGTGGGGGTACATGCTGGAAACCAACTTGAGTGTCAAGTCGCCGCTGCTAGAGGGCTTCTCGGCCAACGGATCGCTCGGGTGCGTGTCGTATCAATCAGCTGCGGCAAGCTGTTGGTCCTGATCTGTACGCATGGTTCTCGGATGAGGAAGACTCCCGCGAAAATGATTAGTGAATTACAGTAATTACATGCTCACTACGCTATCTCGAATATTACACTATCTTGAATGTTGCGCTTTTCGAATATTACGATGTTGCGATATTGCGATAGTCGGCTACCTGGGGTCTTGATCATTGCGTCAATCATCTGATCAATATCTGCCGAGCGGCCATCCACGATTCAGACATCGGTCATTAGTATAACGTTTTCAGCCGTCCAGATAGAGCGCATCATGACATGGAGCGCATCATGAAATTGATCCTATGTCGGCAAACTATCGCGTATCAGTGATACGTCCTCCGTTTATCAGCATATAGTTCCCGGCCTCCATAGGTCTCAGTGTTATCATCTTCGCGAACGCGGCGACGCCTCCCAGCGACGTGCGCGGTCAGCTCGAGGCGTCTCTCAAGAACATCAATCACCGGGGTCCGGACTCGCAAGGAGTGTACGTCTCGCCTGACTGTCGTGTCGGTGAGTCCGGTATATGCGTCGCAGGATCCGTCTCTGACGCTTCCAGGTCTCGGACACGTCCGGCTCTCCATTATCGACCTCTCTCACGGTCAGCAGCCGCTTTCGGACGAGGACGACAAGATCTTTTGCGTGGTCACCGGCGAGTTGTACGACTATGCCCGGATTCGCGCCGATCTCGAAGCCAAGGGGGCAGTTTTCAAGACTCATTCCGACTCCGAGCTCGTCGTTCAGCTGTATGCTACCCAAATGGAATCCTTAGAGTGCTAAATGCTCACGACTGTACAGTTACAAGCACGACGGCTTCAATCTGCTCCCCTCGTTGCGAGGCGAGTTCGCGTTTGTGCTGTATGATTCTGCACGGAGCCTCGTTTTTGCTGCCCGCGACCGATTTGGCATCAAGCCTTTGTACTACACCATTAACGACAACCGGCTCATGATCGCCAGTGAGATGAAGGCGTTCTTGCCATTCGGCTGGCAAGCGGAGTGGGACATCGACAGCATCATGCACGCCGGTGACCTTTCAGACGACCGCACCGTCTTCAAGGGTGCGAGGAAGGTGTGCACATCTGACCCTGTCCATTCGAGAAGGGCTGAATACCAGCCTAGCTTGTTGCGGGCAACTACTTGATCTATCGTCCCACGGGCTATCTCAAAGTTCAGCAGTATTGGGACCTGGACTACACGCCGGCGAAGGTTCCTCAGACGGTTGAGGAGATGATAGAGGGCGTGCGCCAGCGTCTCTTCGATGCAATCAGGCTCCGCCTCCGGTCGGACGTCCCGATAGGAATGTACCTCAGCGGTGGGATCGACAGCGCCGCCATTGCTGGAATGGCCACCCACCTCCTTAGGAAAGAGAACCCGAATGCTCGCCTTGTTTCTTTCACACTTGCGTTCCCTGGTGCGTGTGTGTCTCTGAATCCGCAATCTCTGCTTGACACGGCCTGTCAGACGCGAAAGGAAACGACGAAGGCCCGATCGCTGGCCGCACCGCCGAGCACATCGGTGCGGAGACCCACATGGTCGACGTCACGGAAGCTGCGCTCGTTGCGGCCTTGGAGCCGACCATCTGGCACACCGAGCAGCCGAACTGGACGTTCCACGGGCCGGGCAAGTTCCTCCTGTCCGAGTTCGTCAACAAGCAGGGCTACAAGGTCGTTCTGAGCGGGGAAGGCGCAGACGAGTTCTTCGGTGGATATGCGTGGCTCCCCGTCGACTACCTCCGCCAAGCGGATGAGGCTGGTCAGAAGCTCGGGCTGGAACTTCCCTCTGACGCTGAGCGGGTTGCGATTCTGGATCGCATCCAGGGCATGAGCGTTCCGGTGCTTTCGCTGAGCGAGAATTCGTATACGGATGCAACATTGGCACGCCAGATGCTGGGCGGGGTTTCGTGCCATCGCGCCTACGCTGCTGCGGGCACAGCCGGGCCGCACGTTTATAACCAAACGGCGATCAGCTTCGCGGGGGAGCCGTATCCGACTCGGGCTATGGCAGAGAACATCGATCCTCGTGTGCGCGAAAAGGCGGTCAGCGGTGAATGGCACAAGCTGCACATTGCATCCGTGCGTTGTTTTCATCGCTGCCGTCACTCCGCCCGTGCTGATGCGTTTCCCAGTATGTCACCGCGAAGACCATCATGCAGCAGTCTATTCTGAATCAGATGGGCGAGAGAAGTGAGATGGCGCATTCTGTGGAAGGGCGACCCCCGTTCCTTGATCACCACCTGGTCAACTACATCAATGGGCTTCCTGCGTAAGGGATCTTCCCGTGGAGATGGCCACTGATACTTACCCGCCCTCCCCAGATCACTGAAAGTGCGGCCGATTAAGGGCGCCGGGCCGGGAGCGTGGTCGTTCACGGACAAGTGGTTGCTGCGGGAGGCAGTGAAGCCGTATGTGACGGAGGAGATGTATGCGCGGCGAAAGCTCAGCTACAATGCCCCTGCGGCGAATCGCGAGGCGGGCGGGCAACTGCTGCCTCTGCAGGCCCATCTTAAAGCGCGCATCACCCGAGAGAGCGTGGAACGACTGGGTTTCTTTGATTGGGGCTTTGTCGAGACGTCGCTTGCTGGATACCTGTCGAATGCGGTGTTTCCCGCTGATGGGGCGCTCGACACCCGGGCTCAGTTGCTCATGTATGTGCTCAGCTTCATCGTGCTCCAAGAGCGCTTCTCTGTTCCGACCTGGTCTGTGTAGATTATTACATTTACCGTAGAATGCAACGCCGGTAGCGATCTCTCGGCTCTCCTGGGAATCTGTCTGCGTGCTACCGGGTGCCCAGTCTGTCGGAACAAATGTCAGCGTTAATTCAATTTGGTCGCTCTATCTCCATCAATCTCTTTCCCTCTTCATCCGTGATGTGCTGACCCATGTGATAGCATGTGCCTAGGTTGTTCCCATCGTGAGAAGGCCTCTTGTGTCTCACCGACTGTTGTCCTCCCTTCCCAGCCGCATCCTTTCCGATTAGATTATATAGTGTGCAAGGGCAGTCTGAGCTGTCAATCCGCGATTCATGGCTGCCCCACCCGCTACCCCTCCTGCTTTTCCGCCTCTCGATGACACTCTGGGAGCGATGGAGATCGGTGGAGTCGTCGGGACGTTCCTCTTCGGGATTGGGACCCTGCAGACGTTCTATTACTTCCGGCACTTCACGAACGACTCGCGCTATCTGAGGTGGACGGTAAGCACTGCAGCTCTTGCCGAATTGAATTACCGCTTTACCGACGCCATCGACAATTAGGTCGCGTTCCTCTGGCACGTCATGTCAACTTCGCGTCGTCCGATGGCTCATATACATCCCCAGGTTCATGGAATTGGGACATACCGTGTCTGCCTGGCATGCGGTGAGTATTTCTGCTCGCACGCTTTCCAGTTTGATTGAGATTTCGAAGCTCTATTCGCTCACGGTGACCTTCTACGGGCGACCTCAGCATGTAGCTTCGCCGCCGCATTCTCTGGAGATGACCATCCTCTTCTCAGCCCCGATTTACTTCTTGGTTCAGGTGCGTGATTGGCTCTCTTGCCTCCGCAAGCAGTGTTCACCAGAGGTCCGTCAGGTCTTCTTTGCGAACAGGATCCGCGTCCTCTCTGGAAAATGGTTCATCACGGTCATTTGTTGGTTCCTCACGCTCCTGCGAGCCATCTGCACCTTCGCCATGCTCGGCGTCACGCTCCACATCGCGACGCTCAGTGAGCTCGAGGTGCACTACCAGTGGCTGATGGCGATCGCGCTTTCCCTCGGTGTGGCGGTCGATGTGATTGTGGCCGGCGCAATGTGCTGGTGTCTGATGACTATTCGCACCGACAGCATTACGTTGTGAGTCTCGCCTCTAACGAATCCTCGCGTTGTCTGACATCCGGCCCAGCACGAGACAAATGGTTGATACATTGATTCTCTGGACTTTGGGTGGGTGACAGCCAAGCTGACTGGATCTGCGCTCATTCTCGCTTCCAGAGGCTGGAACAGCCACGGGCGGCACCAGTGTCGCAATCATTATATTCGTATGTCTGTCTCCTGATATTTCGGTTGCTATGCTTATAAAACACCTGCAGTTCTTCCTTCGAAAAGATCGTGAGCCGTCATTCGGTGAATGATATTCATCCAATTTCTGATTTCGTTCCCCAGTGGCGTGGTTCCCCTTTTATCTCGTCCTCGCCAAGTGTAGGTCTTATACGCTTTGACCCATCGACGATCATCTCATGCCATGTCACAGTGTTTTCCAACTCAATGCTCGCCTCGTAAGTCTCTTGAAACGGGACATCCAGCATTTCTGAATGGAGCTCACCAGGTTGAATGGTCGACAACGTTTCCGCGGTGCAAACAAACCAGCCATCACACTCGAGTCGACCGTCCGATCGAACGCCGTCACTCCCAACTTGGCTTCCCATCGGGTGGGTTTCAGAGATTACTTGTTGGAGATTTCTATCCTAAACCAGTCGGGGATAGGTCACTGACTTTGAGATGGCGCATGTGTCTGCTCCGCACGGTGTGGAATTCGCGTCGGCCAAGGTGAGAATTCTCCAGCTGCGAAAACCGAGAACTCACATAGCGACTCAGGACTTGGAAGCGACTGCGAGAAAACAGATGTTCGAGTGAACTTTGCACTCTGCCGACACATTCGTTTCTTGTCTTTCATTGACGGACTATCAGCTATCGTTATTCGCTATTGAGAACTTGTGTATCTTCCATGTAGAACATCCAGATATAGAGTGTGGAAGTGCTCTAAAATCAGACACGGAGCGGCAGGTCAATCGACGCAACGCCTCATCTTCTATCAATGCATGGTGTCTATTTTGAACACATCAATGAACACATCAAGCATCGGGAATACTGCGCTGAATAATTCAGCGTGGCTTTGCACCCACGGGCGCGGGAGAACATCACAGACGGGCCACCGATCCCACTTCACCGTTTCTCTCCATCCAGGCCTTCGTGTGACTCCTCCAGTCCGTTTCCAGCAGGCTGTACTGGCACTCATCCTGATAGCGCCCGTTCTCCAAAGGCGTCACATCGCGCGCAATGCCCTCGAGCTTCCATCCGCCGCGCTCGGCCCAGGCCTGCGTCGCCTTGTTCCGGGTGTCGGTGTATAGATAGACCCGGTGGATCTTCATCACGTCGTACACGTATCCCAGCAGAGTGTACATCGCATCGGTCGCGAATGCTTTCCCGAAGTATTCTGGGCGCACGACGATCCCCGCCTCGCATGAACAGCTGCGCTCGTGGTCGATCATATATAGGGATGTCTCGCCCACGAAGTCCACTGGCGCGCCGTTGGTGCCGGTCGTATAGATCGCGAACTGCAGTCGTGTGGGATCGTTCACTCCAGCTTCTCGGGCTCGTCGGACGGTCTCTGCCGTGATCTTTTTTGGGAGTCCGACCATGAACTTCCTCGTCGAAGGGATCATTCGCAGCCGTGCAACGGCCTCGTCGTCTGCCGAAGTCCGGGGCATGAGCACGAGTTTGCCCGACTTGGAGAAGAGCGGTTTGTCGAGAATCATGTTGCAGAGAGAGGATTCGAGTTCGAATACTGCTGATGTGTCATGGCTTTTTCGAGGTTCTGGCCATCATGAGAATGTCCAACTTTTCAGCGGACCATGCATGTTGATCAAAAAATGATCTCGCGAGAGAATCCCATTCTGATCGGTTCAATCGAACTTGAAGGATAGATGGATGAGTATCCCAGTCTCGTCATGGCCTGTGCCGACGACAGACATCGAAATTCTCAGATCAACACAGGGAAGTTGCGATCGGAGCTCAGATGCTCGACATGGATGGAGATAGCGCTAACACGAGCACTCAGGATCAGCTTACATCACAAACGAGCCGCTCGGCCTCCTTCCCCATTCCTCTCCATCCATGCTTTGCCATTTGGTATGATCCGTCGAATCAGCCTTCAGCAGACTGTACTCGTGCGATTCCCGATATAGGTCATCTTCAAAGCTTTGGTCTGTCCCGCAACGCCCTCGGACTTCCATCCGCCACGCATTGCCAGGCTTGGACTGCCTCGTTCGCAGGGTGGGTGTGTAACGTGACCCGACGATGCAGCTTCTTTACTCCAAAGACGAATTCAAGCAGAGTGCATTTACATCGTGTCCCGCAGCCAGAGTGTTCCCCAAGTATTCTGGCATTATCATGAATGATTCCCGACTCGCACGACCTGCGGTGTGTTCGGTTGATCTGATACAGCCGTCTCCCCGACACAGTCCGTCGGGGAACCGGTTACAGTGTCCATGGTGTAGATGGCCAATGAGAGGCGGGTATGATTGGCCAAGTCGAATTCACGATCCTTGCGTGCACAGATTCCAGCGTCACGGGGTGTGGTGTCGCTATGAGTTTCTTGGCGACTCAATCCTGGCGGAGTCGCACGGCTGCCTCGTCATCCACAAACGTTCTCGGTATTAGAATGACTCGGGCGGACTTTGAGAGGAAATTTTCTGACAACATCTAGTCCGAAGGCGAAAAGAAGGAGAATACTGAGACCTGCACAGAGCATTACTTGGGGTTGAAGAACCTTTCAATTCCTCGCGCGTGGCATAGTTCTAGCGAAAGAGCTCGGAGACAAGAAACTTTGGAAGGCTTTTAGAAAACTAGAATTCGCGTCTGTATGTTGCTAAGCAAAGGACCGCCGACGCAGCAACCTGAAGTTAGAAAGAAGTGAATGTCATGGGTCAAGTTTGCGGCACGTGGAAAGGTCACGTACGCTGTACGCATCACGTGTTTTGTCGTTCACGTGACAGCGGCACAAACGCATCAGCCATTTCACATTTGAACTAATTGTCCAAGCGAGGATTCGAGGAACCCTCAACTTGAACGCAACCTCTCGAAAATTTTATCGAATGTGTGGAGCCCTCGATGACGAGACTATCATGGTATGACAAAGACGCCGTATCTATCGCCTCCCAGAAGCCTGACCAGCGCTTTTGGATTCCTAGACGTTGACCTGCTTCCGTCGAGATCGAACAGGTTGCGCATACCAATTGATGTTTTGCTCTGTGTTTGTTATCCATCAGCCAAGAATAATCCATAACGAAAAAGAACCGTGGGCCATGATGATGCCTGTGCTTTATTCGTGAGTCTGTGATTAGGGCGAACTCATACAGTATTGGTGGTATTGGTGGCCCACTGCTGTGTGCTTGAACCAGGAGAACGCATTGTTGTGCGTCGTTTGTCGTCTCTGAATTCGATCGCCGAGTTAGTCTTGGCTCGTCTAATTCCAGCCTATCATCACTATGACCAGAACCGGACCCTATGTCTCACAATCTCCTTCTTGTCTAGACCGTATGACTGGGAGCGCCGGCAGAGTTCTCCCGACCTCGGGGATCTTTGTTTAGTTGCGAGGGGTTCATTGGTTCCTGCACCCTGAGAAGATCGCGGCGTCAGCGCTTGTAGCCGACAAACGGTCCTTGGAGCGCTGCGTTACTGAGTTACCAAGCTCCGGCTTGAGAGATTTATGTTACAAGATCAATGCAGGGTACTCTAAATCGACTGTGACCGCTTTGACTGGAGAACAGAGAATCGTAATTACGCTGTCTTCGTGTCTATTAAAAGAAAGAATCGTTTCACAACCGCGTCTTCGAAGAACAGCCTGAGGGGGGCCGCAGGGATTGACAGATAAATCGCCTAATCACTGATGGCAAATGCAGCCGCTGCGTCTTTGCCGACATCTCCATAGGGGATTCGAGACATGACCAGCCGTCTCCTCCCACGACCACCACCACGCGACGGCTCCCAGCCCTAGCTATCCTCCCAACCTCCCAATGTCTCTCTCACCAAGCCCCCCACGACTGCCCGCGATGGATAGCACCCTCGGCGCGATGGAAGTTGGCGGAGTCGTAGGGACGTTTCTGTTCGGGATCGAGACGCTCCAGACGTTCCACTATTTCCGCCGGTTTTCGCAGGATCCCGCCTATTTGAAGTGGACGGTCCGTGCCCTGTCGTTTTTGACGCCGCGTAGTGTCAGCTCACAGATCTTAGGTCGCTCTATTGTGGTGGGTCGCCTCCGCTCCCTGTAACGGCGTCCAGGCTCAGTCCGGCCAGGTTTCTCGAGCTGGGACACTCCATTACGACATGGCACTTGGTGAGCCCGCTGTGATCCTCTCTGGGGTTGTGTCCCTGACCGAACGCCCCAGCTTTACTCACTCACCGTGACCTTTTACGGGCAGCCGCAGCACATCCAGACACCACCGATCTCCCTCCCGCTCACGATCCTATTCTCGGCCCCGCTGTACTTCATTGTGCAGGTCTGTTCAGTCGTCGTCGCTGTCGACGTCACCCTATCCGAATTCGTGCTCAATCCCCGCAGTTCTTCTTCGCCAACCGCGTGCGACTGCTCTCCGGCCGCTGGTTCATGACCATCGTCTGCTGGAGCCTGACGACGATCCGGTTCGGGTGCACGTTCGCCATGATGGGCGTCGTGCTCAACATCTCGAGTCTCGGCGAGCTGGAGGCGCACTACCAGTGGCTCATGGCGCTCGGTCTGTCGCTTGGGGTCGGCGTCGATGTCCTAGTCGCGGGAAGCATGTGCTGGTGTCTCTGGCGTCTCAGGAGCGACGGGGTTGTCAGGTGCGCTACTTTGTGTGCAGTCAGTGAGCAGGCTGATAGGGGTGCAGTACGAGAAAGGTCGTGGATAAGCTTATCCTATGGACCCTTGGTGCGTAGCGGAGACCCTGCGACGATGCACTAGCTAATTCCAGCGACATAGAATCCGGGATCGCGACAGGGTGAGTGGTCCCTGTTGAGCGTTGGCATGTGTCTCAGAACCTCGCAGCGGCACGAGTATCGGACTGCTTGCTTTCGTGAGTGTAGCTGTGCTTCTCGTCCTCTTGTTTCTGACTCGGCCCAGTTCTTTGCCCGCAGCGATCGTGAGCACCATCGCACATGGGCTTCCACTTCCTCATTGCCATTGCAGTTAGCTGGTTTCCGTTCTATCTCATCCTGGGCAAACGTACGTGGCCCTTCTCGCACTTGCACGCACATGCCGACCATATTCGCAGTGTTCTCAAACTCGATGTTGGCCGCGTACGTTCCCCACGGCCGTGCACACTTCACTCTCACACAGACACTTCTACAGGCTCAACGGGCGATCGCATCTCCGACAGCTTGACCGTAGGACAGAGCCGAGCACTAAGTCAGGGTCTGCTTTGCACATGCCGGTGTCGAGTGGGGTATGTCGCCCTGTTCTTTGCTGGGAAACGAGCATTCAACACTTGCAGCAAATGGAGTTCCTCACTCCGGGAGCGTCGATGTTCGGCACGACGAACGAGAGCTCGGATTACACCGAGGAGAACAAGGTGCTGGAGCATGTCTGTTGGTCCTGCCAAATCTGACTTTCCCCCAGGATCCGCGAGAGTTGCATCGGTATCCTCAATGAGGATATGTATCTATTTCCTTCAGCGCAAGTCCGACCACGATCGATGACTTGTTATGTACATACTATCTCCCGTTCCACCACTTTCTCCAATTGCAGTGATTTGTCTTTTGCGTCCTGCCAAATATCGCACAGCCATAGTCGCGCGCCAAGTCGATGCTTGTCAAATTCTTCCAACTCATGATCAGTCAGCCCCTCCCGCGTTGACTGTTGAACACCTGTGATCTCTTTTTTGAGCGCATATCCGCATTTACGGGTTCGCAATTCTGAGGATCGGCGAGACCGGACTGGGATAAACAAGTTCTGTGCGGGAGGGCTCTATCTATTGGGACAGAAAAACGGACGGCAACGGTGAGATGCAGTTTGAGATCTCGGCACTCGCAGTCACTCTGAGATCGATAGAGAAGAAGTCATCTCGGAGGAAATATCGAATCGAACAGGAGGCGACTGTTTCCCGGCTGAGTAGATCAAAGAATCAGTTGGTTTAGGGGTCAATTTCAATTTCTCGAGGTTAGTTGTGGGCCATCTGAAATTTCAACGCCTCCCACGGGCCACGATGGAACGATGTCCCCATAATTGGGCAGCCGAACTACGTTTCCAGACGTCAAATATTCACTCGAACGACCACGAAGGTGTTTTCGCGCTCTCAGGTGCTGAAAAGACAGGAAATCAAAATTACATTCCTTTACACAGCACGGAAAGCTCACCAGGCACCCTCGTAATCTTCAGCCGGCGTCCAAGCACCGTCAATAGCCTCAGAGCGCATGTCCGCCATGCCTCGAATTCGAGTGGCCCGGCCGTGGAGAACGCGCGAAGCTCGACGCTCGTCAGCCGCGGCATGCGCGACAGGCCTGGGATCAACGTCTGCTGGAAGTACGTCCCGAGATCGAGCCCGAAGGCCGGGTGCGGGCCCTCGATGATGATCGTTTCCAGCATCGACCCTTCCGGGACGCGCCCGAAGACGGACGAGAGGGCGCCGATGAGGTGGGACTCAAAGACGTGCAGGATGCGGAGATGGGGGCTGGATAGTTCGATAGCTGATGGCCCAATTGAATATGTTTCTTCATTTTAAGAGTGAGGAGTATCGTACCATCGACTGAAAAAGTCAACTTGAGACTCACTACCGCTGTCGTGTCGACCTCAGCCAGGATCTGTGTCATATCGGCTTTGGACTCGGTGGCTATCGACAACACCTTGACGCCGCGCGTGAGGTTGACTCCCCTACCGGAGACGAACAAAGCGCTAATCGGGTCCGCGCACCAATCCGACAATAGAAGCCTTTCCAGACACGGTGTCCACTTTTCCACTTCCTCCCTGCACTTTTCCGGCATCGTGAAATAGATGCGGGAGAAAGATAGGCTCTTCAGCGCAGTGGACGCGCTGAAGAGACGCAGAAGACACAGCGGAGACTCGATCACCAGCCCACGGATCCGCACACTCTCCAACCTAGCAAACGCCCGCGTCAGAGCCGCTTGAGTGCCCGGAGGCAACGCGTCCCAGCGCATCGAGTACACCCCCCTCTTGCTCCATCCCTGGGGTGTACTCTCCACCATCGAAAGGCTGCGCAGGTTCACGAATGAGTCGATCACATGCCCGAGGCTGGGATCGGACGACACCCACGGCGGCGGCTGGCGATCGAGAAATCCCCCAATTTGGGGATCGCAGTCTAGAGCGAATTCCGCGAGCACAACAGTGAGCTTTTGCACCATGCAAGAGACGTGCGGCGACGATTCAAGCAGCTTCGAGAGCTGCTGACAAGATTTTCCAGACTGGGACGACGGCGGGCGGATCGTGATGCGTTTGAGCAAGCGAGTCTGGGCGGCCTCCAGAAGCAGATGGGCTGCGAGCGAGCATGCCCGCAGGGACAGCCGATCCTCAGCAAGCATGTCGAGAATGAGTTCCACCAACTCATACGGGAGTGAGGACATAGTGGGGTCTGGGTGTGGGGTAAGGTGCAGGACAGCAGAGAGGGGCCGAACGAACGGGAAAAGCTCACGACCTCGTGCCGGAGGTGCCGGAAATGCCAGCCAGGAACTTGGCACATGAAGGTTTAGCCCGGCGGACGCTGCCTCTTGAATGAACACAGCGATGGAAAGTAGGCCCCCGGCTACTCCCTGCTAGAGGCCACTCCATGCGGCCAATTTACACTGTCCAAATCGGCACGTGCGAACATTGATTTCCACATTATCGGATTAGAGTCGACCTCAATTCGGCAATCAGATATTCTACAAGGGCAGACGGCGATTTGTCCTTGCTCAGCCCAAGATTGGCCGAGTTTTGCGCCATGTCTCGCTGAGATTTGGCTGTTTTAGCACGAAGATTTGCACTATTCTGGCCTTTGCAAGTCATGAAAGTTCGTTAATTCAATGCAACGAGTCCTCCCGAGTACAATTTGTTTAGTAATAAGTCATCCCTCCCGCTCAAGCCGCCAACGCCGCAGCGAGGAACTTGGTGTAGTTGGGGGTTCCGAGACCAGTAACGGGGTCCCACCCAGCACGGGCAGAGAATCCGCTGTAGCAACTCGTCAGCCTTCAAATCCTCGAAACGGGTGGGAAGCACAACGCACTTGGTGTTGCAGCCGGGGTTGGAGCCGCTGGTGACGTCATTCAGGGCAGCACGGCCGGCGGCGGAGTAGATGAAGGGGTTGAGGTAGCCCATGGTGGGCTTGCCGGCAGCGACGAGCTGGTCGTTGACAAGCGCGATGATCGAGGCCAAGCTGGGCGACGAGCACGACGTTCCATCGACGGTACCCTCCTGGCCATCTGCAGCAGATGGTGAGTGGGAGTAAGCAAAGGAAACAAAACGCTCGACGCACTGGATGCGATGACAAAGTTGACACCCTGGAGGGCGATGTCGGGGAATCCACGGCCGGTGGCGTTGAATTTGCCGCGGTACTGGGTGCCAATCGCCGACAGGTATCCAGAGACGTCGGTCTTCTGGAAGCTAGGCACGGGGAAGTAGTTGGAGAATCCTGGAAGAAGAGGAGAAAAAGCCGGAACGTCTTAAGATGGGATCATGAAGAAAGAAGCAAAGTGATGCGCACCACCGGACGAGAAGGACGCAGCAACCTCGGTCGTGCCCTGGGTGGAGCCGACACTGGTGACGTACGGGCATCCAGACGGGGCGGTCGGGACGAATGTCGTGCAGGTCTGGGACTGCGATCCGCTGACACCTCCGTCGCCGGAGGAGAAGAGGATGGAGGTACCGAGGGCGCCGAGCTGCATGTAGGTGTTGCACATGGACGTCAACTGCGCGCGGGTCAAGTCGCGCTCGTCGAAGCCGTACGAGGTGGTCACGACGGACGGCCGGGCGCTGGCAGACTGGCCAATGAAGAAGTTCATCACGTCGATGAAGCCGTTCACGCCGTCGTTGAAGTTGTTGCCGACAGAGACGAAGTTGACCGGGACGCCAGTTGCGACGCCGACAGTGTATTGCACGTCGAGGTTCTGCAAGGGAGCGTCGTCAGAGGGCGGTATGAGCTTGAAAGAGGAGACCACGCACAGCCTCGATACCCGCGGATCCGGAGCTCTGACTGTTCACACCGCCGTCAAGGGTCTCGAGGATGAAGGACGAGGTGACCGCAGGGCGGAAGTCACGGAGGAACATCTGCTGTCGCATTAGACGCGGTGGAAACGGCCCGCACACCCATGGAAACACACCTTGAGATCAGCGCTGTTGGCATACTGGTCAATGAAGCCAGTGACAGCGATGTGGTGGCTGGCCGAGTGCGTTGCGGCGGCCGTGGGCAGGTGGTAGATCGACTGGAGGCATGTGGGGTTGATCTGCGAGTTGCACGACGATGACTGCCGCTTGCGCTCGCTGGTGAAGGGAGTGAACTTGGGTCCCTGGGACGGGCGCAGGAAGGCGGTCGTCGGGCCGACGAAGTCGACGTGCGGTGCGATGTCAGCGGGGAGAGAGTACTCCAGCGTGCGCACAGTCGTCTCGCCAGACTCGATGTGAGTGAACACAGAGAACTGAGTGCCAAGCAGCGAGTTGGCCTTGGCGACGGGGACCTTGACCGAGAGATGGTCGCCTGCGGGGGAAACCACGCTACTGGTCAGGTTGTGCTCCTTCAACCACGTGTTGACGGCGGTCACGGTGTCAGAGGACGGGGTGACGTATGACAGCATCTGCCATCACGTGTCAGGATCGGCAACGAGATGAAACATGAATCTTCAGCGGTTGCGCACCTCCTCAGAAGTCAGGTGCTGGCCGTAGCGCGCGCTTCCCGGGGTGGAGACGGCCAGGAGCTCAGCCTCGAGACCGGCAATGTTGTTCTGCTTGAGCGCAATCCGCAGCGTCAGCTCCTGGTCGGCCGGCGGGACTCCGGTGTGGACGAAGCCGACAGCCGGAGCGGGGCGCGACTCGTGCACGACCATGGCCCGGGGGAGGCTCGTCGCGGTGGCGAGGAGGACGAGGGTCGCGAAGAAGCTGGAGCGGAGGAGAACCATTGCGGACGAGGGAATACCAGAGGAGGGCACGAGAGTTTAGGTCTCTTGCTCCACGATTTTAAATTCGTCGGGATGCCTGCGCCAAGCCGACACAGCTGGTAAGATAAGAACCGCTCGACGCTTCCTCGTGTGAAACCGGAAACGAGAACTAACGAAAGTGGGAGAAGCCGAGAAGCCCCCGCCTTATCTCTTCACCCGCCACCGCCACTCGAAGCACCGAGCCAGGTCCCTGTTCATTATAACCCTAGCACCACGCCGTCCTCGCGCCCCCACTTGCCCTTCCTGCAGCGAACGCCGGACACTCGCCTCAGAAGTGCGAAGGACGCTTATCTGTGCGGAACCCCATGTCCAGAACATTAGAAGAAGCCCCATCACACGGTGCACCTGGGGCGCAACCGGTGGGTGTCAAGAGAGCATGCGCAAACCTAGATAGACAGCAAGATGAAAAACAACCGAGCATGGTTCCTCAGGCTGCAGAGACTTCCGGATCCACGCGCCCAATGTGCGTCGATCAAAATTCGAACGCACCAGATACTGATATTGCGGGTCATCATCCGCAATACTTCCGGATTGCACCCCCCTTTGCAGGTGGCGGGCCCCTTGCCCGAGCCTCCCCAACAGTATTCTGAAATCCATCAGGCTTTACTCCAAGGCTGGAGTTCCTTATCTCACGATGCATCATGAGTCGCCAGAACCCGCGTCCTGGTGACTGGATAACCTCAACACTTATCGCACCCCCGTCTTCTTGGCCACCGCGCCCAGCTACGGCCATGTGCTGAGCGTGCAATGTGATGCATGCACTCGCTGACGACATCGGCGATCTGAGTCAGGTCGCGCGGTGTTGCGGTTGTGACTACAGTCGAGGACACCGCCACCTGTCATCATCGCAGTCTGTTTCCTCCGTGACATTCCTTCCGGGGAAACGGAACTCGATACACCCAAATTAAAGGCAGTGCTCCCCATGCTTGAGTGTGGTGCATTTTTTGCCCGTCAACGGTGTAAATAACTGTACCTTTTCAACTGGTCCGATGCCTCTAAAGATTTCGGCCGCACGGCAATGAGGTTGCCCGACACGTGGATTCGAGGGCGGGCCGGATTGGTGGATTCTTCATGTTTTGTAAACGAGTGATCGCAAGTAAGTGGATCAGATCGGTCCGGACTAGGCAAAGACCGCCAGATTCAAGTACTTATAGTTACGGAAAAATCGAAGAGCCGGTATTCAAACCCATTCCGTGTTCACTTTAAATGCTTGAGGAATATACTTCGAAGAACCCAGACTGTGCGTACAGGTGATCTCGACACGTGGGCTGAGACCTGAAATTTCCGACTCGCGCGAGAACATCCATTAATTACCAGAGCCAAATAAAATAATCCTGCAGAGCGAGTAGGTCTCATGAGCTGTGTCGTATAGGATATCGGGGTGTGTGCACTACAGTACAAAATGGGATAAAAACGATCGTTACAATACACTACCCTACATGCCGTCAGCGCAAGGCTTACAACCAGCCAACCGGTCACCCCGAGTCCTTATATAGCGTGACGACAGCGGACTCGCGCGTCGGCAGACGCTGGAGCTCATCGGTGCGCTGGCGCGCGTTAGAGCCGGCTGCGCGGCGGGCATTGATGATGAGCCGCGAGGTCGTGACGGACGTGCCCGCCCAGATGAAGCTGTAGTGCGTCAGAGACGTGAGTAGGTTGATTTTGACAAGCAGCGCACAAGACAGCGACGAAGAGGAGCGATATCGGGGCGACGGACGAGATGATTGTGTTGGCTATGCGGAGCACTGCACGCGGCGGTGAGATCCACGGTACATTGATCTAGGGTCCGTTTGCTCACCGAACAATATCTAAACACGAGGTCAGCAAATGATCCGTCCTCGCTCACAACCATGGTAGTCACGCACAGAAAAGTACAAGAAACCGTCTCTAAACAAAAGCCTGCGCATTGCCGGATCTTCTTCCGGGCTTTGGAGTGAGCGTGGCCGCGACAGCGCGTTCCAGCACACGACCAGAAAGACAAGGACCTCGAAGGCCAGCTGCCAGCAGATCAGGATCAATAGCGCTGATATCATCGGCAGAGCAGTACGCACACCGACAACCCACAGCTCGACCACCTGCGGTTTACTATACAGCGAGCACAACTCGAGTTTTGAGTCCCAGAACATGACACCTGATTGATGGGTCGGTCCAATGATCAGATGCTGCTGCAGAGATAGACAAAGATGTCACGCACGCAACATCAAGACCAGAGCCCACGTCGTCGTCCCGAAGCTGATCAGCTGGGTCGCAAACAGAAAGACAAGGGTCCAGGGGATGAGGCGGTGGTTTCGCGGGAGGAGCGTCCACAAACGCATGAGAACGAGGAAGTTGGATATAAAGATGGACAGCCAGCCGGCGTACAGCGCGATTGACATCCAGGCTTTGCATCTACAGTACATGCGGGTGTCGGGAGGACGAACATGAAACGAAGTGTCAAGGAAGGGCTTACGCCTGGGATAGCGGTTAGCCCGCGCCAGACAAGCTAAAAACGCACGTACAATGGAGGACATGGTGATGGTCATCATGCCATTATGAGCTATCCTCGTCAGTCGCGGCGCAGACAGCTAGCAGCGACCAGGGCTCACTCAGAATCTGCCCGAATAGGAACGTGGGAACCATGTAGCGCTGGATGAGGAAGAACGTGCGCGCGAGCGTCCGCGGGGCGCTCCAGATGTACTCCACCTCATCATCGAAGGTGAGGATGTGGTCGAATAGGAGGATCTGCATAGAGCGCATTCACGCGGTCTGCGCGGAGAAAGCGAGTGTCGGGCACACGCACCACAAATCCCGCCGCTGGGAAGAACAAGCACAAGCATTAGAAGATGCACACAAAGTCCGTGATGATGATGAGCCGGGAGCCGGCCAGGGCACGCACCACTGACATACTCGGAGATGCGCACATTTTGAAAGTCGCGCAAAGCGTTCGTCGGGAGTGCAACGACGCCCGTGCTCATGGAACATGAAGCGCACCGGGGAGAAGAAGGAGGGAGGTGGGGAGGGGACCGAGACAGCGCACTTCTATCTATAGTATACGTCAGCCCTGGTCCAATCCCACGGGGCTGGCTCGCATCAAGATCAGTGCGTGATAAAGGCGAGTACAGGGCTTGACGTCGGACAGATGGCCTGCACGATGGGTACCAGTCACCAGTGTCATTCGGACGGCGGGGAGGCGGTGGCTGGGGAGGGACAATGGGAGGGTCGTGTCACCGTGCGGACTTCCGGAGGCGATATCCGACGGCTCACATTCGGCTTGGAAAGCTCAGGGAAAGGGAGGCCCAACGACATGGTGCGCATACCCGACGCCAAAGTCCATTCCTGGACCATCTCCACCCGCCAGCGGCTTCTCATCTCCCGCACTAGAGTGAGAACGATCGAGCATGAGAGGATCACAAGATGACTAGGGTTTCAGTATGACTGCATGGCGTGGGAGGAACCAGGGTGACTCGGAATTCATCCGGGCGATGGTGGCGCGGGGACATGCAAAGCTGTGCGAAGTCTAATGTGACCGTCACAAGACAGTCATGGCAGGATGGCCCTCTCCGTTTCTTTCTCTTCCGCGTACCCGCGGTCATGGGTTTTTGCGATGCTGATGGCCTCGCGCTGGGTACCCAGAAGTATCAGGCTTCCGGTGTGTTCTGAAGTGTTCTGACATGCGATCCTTCGTTATCTAGCCCAATTCGAGCTTGGCCGTACTCTACTACAATGTCCCTCATCATCTGATCGGCCATTGACGAACTCGTCATTCGTTCAGGCCATCTACGTTCATCTAAAATCTGTGGGATTACCTGCGATTCAGTTCGTTAGTCGCTCATCCCTGTGATGCCCGGATATGTAACCACCCTAGTCTTCGTCTCAGCGCGGCGGCCTCGGCCGAGTGCACGCCAACAACCTGGCTTCGCTCCTTCTCATTTGCATATGGCCCCGGGCTGTAGTCGTCGTTGCGAAGAAACCTGATTCTGCGTCACGTTCTAATACTTCCCTGTCACTCACATTGGGCGTCTTCAGGAAGATGTGATCACTTCTATAAGAAGGTCGACAAAATCGTTTCGGGTCCCGGTATCCTGGGGTTTCCTCTCGGGCTTAGCGCTGTGATTGCTGGTGTGCGGCTGCGAACGGGCTTCTTACGCCGTGTCGTTGAAGTCAGCCTTGGAGACTGCTGTAGCCTGGTCTCTCATGCCCAATCCATCTCTTCTCAACTCTTGAACGGAAGATAATGTTGGACTCAAGACGTCAGTTACACCAAACTTCGCTATCAGAGGCGAACATCTGGTCCGGATAAACCCGTACGGCCGAGTGGCTGTGTTCAAAGTCACGACACCGCGTCGAATCACTTCGCTCTGCTCAAGGCTCTCATGAGAACTCCACAAACGCCTGAAGCAATACCCGATTGTCAATATTGAAGCTATCAAACTTAAAAATCGACTGCATCCTGCACTGCTCCAGAAATCAATCCAACTCGTTCATAACGCTGAGCTCGCGCCCTCCCAGCAGATTCTTGATCTCAGCGGCCAGGCTTTGCGCAGCAGCGACCCCGGTGCCGACTCCCAGTGCGGATTCGATCGCAAGTACTCCATGCTCAGAGATTTCCCGGCTAAAAGAAAAGGAAAGTAGGGAAGATGAGGGTGAGTGCAGGCGAGAACAGCATCAGACTCACCGGTAGAGCTCCAATAACAACGACGCAATATCCGCCCGCTTAGACGTCAGAGGGGCTGGTAGCCCCGCGGCGGTGAGTGCTCCAGCGCTGGATGTAGGCAGAGAGTCAGCAAGGACGAAGAGAGCACAGACGAGAAGGAGGGGGGACGTACACAGCCGGAGAAGCGGCGGCAGCGGCAGCAGGAACAGCAGCAGCAGCGGGCGTGGCGGCAGCTGTAGCCGCAGCCGCGCCACCTTTCAGACTGCCGAGGAAACCCAGCAGCCCGGAGAGGCCGCCACCAGCACTGAGGCCCCCAGCACCGAGACCACCAGCACCGAGACCACCAGCACCGAGGCCACTTGCACCAAGGCCACCTGCACCGAAGCCGCCACCCGCCCCAAGCCCCGGAATCAGGTTTCCTAGAGCACCAAGGCTCGAGATCCCCGGCAGCGCGCGTCCGTCCGCGTTGCGCCTATGAGTCGGTTCCCGTCAGGTGTGGGCCATGGGGTTGATTCCGCCAGAGTAGGGCACTCACGCTTTCTGTCCACTGAACTCACCCACCGCACGGGCCCCAGACGTGGTGGTGTTGGGGATTGCGGGAGCGGGGATGGGGGCAGCGATTGCTGGCGCGACGGCGCAGGCGAGGAGCACAACGGACGCAATGGTTGAGATCTTGTGGTACATCTTGTATGTTTGATGGAAGGAAGGAACGATGGGAGAAGAGGAACGGGGTTAAATCAGAGGCGCAGAGAGTCTGATAGGACGAAAGGGTTTGCTCGGAACGGCGGCAAGTAGTAACGTTGCAAAAACGAAGACCAAGACTGGAAGGACGATCAGGGAGATGGACGGCATCGGGCAGCAGGGCTCACTCACTACGCAGTATCTGGTGGAACTGAGAGGACGAATGCGAATGGGTAAGACTATCCTTCCCCCCTGCCCCCTCAGCCTTTTTATTCCCAGAAAGACTCGCAGAGACGCCGGCGGACGGAGCATGTTCTCGCGCGACAGTTGATACCGAATAAATTCATTCATCGCTTTAGAAACGCACGATCAAATATCCCAAGTTCCCTATCTTGGAAAGGTGGCGTTTAGACCTTGCTAAAACAGAGCCGTCATCACCTATTGATCCTTATGAACAACATCTGGGCTGGCCAGAGTCCCAACACCGAGCCTTAAGTAAATCGAAAGTGCTGATGAGCAGTAAGAGTGCGACCCACGCATCGATGTGAGCTCAGGGGCCCGAGACTCCCCTCAGGTGGCACTCCACAAATGGAAATCTGGAGCACTGTCCGCCGACGACGTATGAAGGACTTCCTGACTTGTCCCCGATGTCACGAACCCTCAGACTCTTGCAACTCCGCCGCGATAATGGGTATATTCGTGACAACACTTCATTCGAGGCAGGCCGGACTCAGGTGCCAATTGTCGCCCCTAATGCGTTCGCTGTTTTCTCGTACTGAGAAAACACGGTAACTCGTGGCTTGATAGTCCCAGAATTCGCTCAAACTTCGAGTCGAGTATAGGCTATCATTAGTCAAATTGCGAGTGCGCACCGGCGGCTGCCGGCTCAGCCATGAGACGCGTCTGATGGACCCCTACGCGGGGGAGATACTTTCAATGGGACTTCATCACGGAGTGCGTATGTGCTCAAGATGACAGCACTGCGATTGAATCATTAATTGGATGGCCCCTCTAATGTATTGAATGAGTTATGTTCTACCGGATGAGTTTTTCCATCCCTTTTCTAGACCGTAGATCCAGCGCCGAGTTGAGAAATGACAAATCTAAAAGATCACTCAGTATCGGTACTCTCACCGGCTTGGCGCGATTATCTCTAGTTTATCTATGCTCCTGAGGATCGCGTCCGATCCCATGCATAGCACGTGATCGCGTCGCAAGCCAATTCATGGTCGCGCATCGGATGCTCTCTAGTTCCGTTCTTCTCTGGTTTGTACTTACTTGGTCTGACTTTCAGGACACCTCTGAGGTACTTGAGAAGATAAGTGACATAAAGGTGCTGGGTTCCCACGACCTCAACCTTAAGCAGAATTGCAATCTCAGCGGCTGCTCGATCTCGATCCACGCCTTGTTTGTACTATTTCCGTGTCTCTCATGTTTTTCGACTCGGACATCGGCAGTTGAGTCTCTGTTTATCGAGGATAGAGTGAATTCCCAAATCCAAGCAGATGGGAAGGTTCTAGTCATGACTAAATGCCCCAAGCCGGCTGGTGGATGTGTAAATCTTCCAATTCTTCTCGGGTTGATACTATGTATCGACGCGACCACGCACACTGTTATTCTAAATTCAAGCTCACTGCCCGCTGGAGCAAATTTGCTTAAAGAACACGGGACGATGTCGAGGTGCGAGGGCTAGAAAGGGCTCTGGTGATATTGCGGATGGGAGTATTACATTCAGATGATGACCATCGTTCTCCCACGCAACGTTGAGTATCTCCAGCTTTGGTTGGAACCAAATTTTTGTTGCGAGAGTCCCTCATGATTTTCGAAGGAAATTAAACGGTTAGACAGCCAAGCACTGCCGCATGGTGCACGGGGCTTGTCTTCGACTGCTCGAGCTTTCTCCTTAGCTTTTCACTGACACTTCAAGTCAGCAACTGGCGCCGATAAGACGTGAAACATTATTAGTGAATGGAAGCGAGAGCCGCAAGGGATTCGGATGCAATGAAATGCTGCAAGGGCTGACAGGTCTCATGCTGTCTCACGGAACCTGGTCGCAAATCCGAACAAACCCGATCGGCCGACTGACAGTGACCTCCATTCAAGGGGCATTTTGGCCTATTTGGACTTCGCTTCCGTTGGAGATAGCAGCTCGCATGTAAGAGCAGTATCCTTGCAAGAAACATGTATATCCTATGACGCTGCAGACGCGAAAGCTAAGTCCGGACGACCAAGAACTGCTCCGGAATGTCCACACCTGAGTACGGCCCCAGAATCCGCTCCAGCACCACACTGCCATCCTCTGCGCGCTTGATGTCTCGTTCCACCTAGGAAAGAATGGGTCATTTCAGGATGACTGGACAGCGAGGGTATCAATACACACCTGCCACACTCGCGCGTTGCATCCGAACAGCTTGATCGTATCTGGGCAGCGGCGGACCAGGGACAAGGCCTCCGGTGCAGTCATGATCCCTGGGGCACCGGGTAGCCATGTATGCGGGTCCGGAAGATCATCCTCATTGGCACTGACGTCCCTCTCCTCGTCACTGTCGCTCTCATCGACATCATCTTCATCCTCCTCTTCCCATCCGTCGGCTCGCGCATTGCTTTGCACGGCAAAGTTCAGATGAATGGCCTCTAGACACCGCGTCAGCGCGAGGCACTCCCCTATTCTCGCCTGTCCCGAGCTATCAACCTCGCAGTATGGACGGTGCTATAACGACACGCACGACATCCCTGGCCCCAACGACCACAAACAGCTCCCTCAAGCGCTCGCATCGCAAGCACACCTCACGAATCGTATCGACGCCGATCGACATCCGGTGCACCGAAACACGCGTGAGCCGATGCCCATGCGCCGCGACCAAGTGCGCCCAGAACTCTGCGCGTGTGTGCTCCAGATTGGACTCGGCCGCGACGTCCTTCGAGCGGGGTGTGAGGGCGAGACTGGCGTACAGATGGATCGCCTCGAGCGGGGCGCGGTCGAGCATGCGGCTGACACTTGGAAGCCACGTTGATGATGGGACACTGAGCGTGACGGATTTTAGGCGCGCGACGACAGCGGGGTGGCCAGCAATGAAGTTTGCGAGCGTTGTGATAGGCTTGAGCGACGCAGCGATTCCGAATCAGCAACACGCACTCTCCGCGCGGTTAGTCACGCACGAATTTAGGCGCGAGACCCTCCAGCGCCAGAGAGGTCATTCCAAGCAATGAGGCTTCGAGAACGGCGCAGACACCGGCAGGCGTCACCCTGGGGCAACCCATGATCGCGAACTGCTCGAGATTGACGAGATGCGGCGCAAGTGCTACGAGCACAGCGTCAGTGACCAGCGGCGACATCTATGTCCGGCCAGAGTCAGAAAGGAACCGGAACGAACAGGATACTCACGCGACAGATGAGCGTCAGCTCCGTCAACGACGCGGCCGAGTTACGCAAGCACAGCGGGAGCCGGCGCACCACATCCTCTGTCGGCATCGTCAAACTCAGCCTCCGCAGCCCTGTGACCTGATCCAACAGCTCGGCGTCCCATCGGCGCCCCGCACGCCCGTTGAGCTCCAGCTCTGCAAGGGTCGGCAGAGACGCAAGGACTCGGAGGATGGGCGACGACAGGGTTCCGTCGCGCGTCCACGTGAAGGAGCGCAGATTCGTGCAATTGCCTAGGCCGCGCAGCACGAGCGACTCGAGAGGGTGCGGAAATGCGATGGATTTGGGAAAGTCCCGGATTTCTGTGAAGAAAGTGAGCGTTAATTGTCACCACGCTCGGGGCAGAGACTGTACCCAGCCGCAGCATGTACCGCGCTAGTCCGGGACAATCGGCCAGCGTCTTGAATAGCTGCGCCACCTATAGGACGAATAGACGCGTTTAGACCATGGGCATAAGAGGTTTCACGGTCACGGACCTTATCTTTCCAAGCTTTATGCCAGGAATAGATCGTAGCCCGATGATAAAGGAAGGGGATCCCGAAGGCGTAGAACGAGCGGTTGACGAGACATGCGTTGGCAAGATGTTGGGGACGGACGAGGTGAATGAGGATGTGTGGCAGGATGTCCAGTGGCAGGTCGGTGAAATTCATCGATGCATGATGACAGTTGTAAGCTAATGCTTGGCAGCGGGATTATCAAAGTCGCGGATCCCATGACCATCACGTGACGAGATGTGTGCCCAAGGCCTCTGCACTGTGCAGCCCAATACCGAAGCTTGAAGTCTACATACAATCCATGCATTTTGAGGTGCGATTTATTGAGGCAATTTTTGGGCGGCTCACGACCGCTTCAAGTGGAACCTTGCGTCCGTCCGCTGAAGTTTCAGTACCTAGTAGATACTTGGCTTTTTCTTTTAGAAGTTCAGCAGCAATCAGAGAAAAATCTTTTCTTAGCCTTCACGACGGCCTCCTGCGGAATCAGCCAGACGGGGCCCGTGCATGCGAAGAGGCAGAGTTCGGACCGCAGGCGAAGCAAACTGAGTGCGAGAGGTGTTCGGTGTATTTAGCTGCTGCAAAGACATCTAAATTACGTCGGAACAAATTATTAGCTCTACAGTGTACCCGATTCCAGACGAAGTATTACAGGGTTGGGCCCACCTCATAGGGCGCTTTCTGCAATAAGATTTTTCTATAACTTAGAGGCAGTGAGCTCTCTCGGAAAATCGCACAAACAACTGGTCAAGTTAGGAACTTCGGGCTTCAGAAAGCACCAATTCATACCATCTCATGAACTTCGAAATGACATACTTAAGGATCAATCTCAAACCAGTGAAATACGGGAATTAAAAACAACTGGGACGCTGTTGGCTCAGATACGCTGCCTATTTAAGTAGGTCTTGCAATGGTTGTTCCATCCGCGCACGCTGCAGTGTCTTGTCATGTCACGGGATCTGTCATCAGTTCATCACGGTGCGGTGGCATCATGATTTTGACTTCCATCCGCTTAGATCTCGGCGATTTTGACGCACCCAGATATTTGATATCCTCTACTTTCCACCCCTTTACGGAGCCTGCCGATGCGGCGAGCCCCTGACTCGATCACGACTACAAGATTGTCAGCCGAGTTCCCATCAGCATCTCTGCGCGACATGTCGACGGACACAGAGGAGTTTTCCCACACGTCTGCAAGCAACGCTATTGGCTCGGCTCCACATCGCGTTCTGCAGGGCCCATCGGCGTTCAGTCAGTCAACTGACGCTCCGGTAGCCACGCCGCTATTCCTTTTGGCTTTTCCTTGCGTTCCATCCACGTTTGTCCAACCTTCCTTGACAACGAGGAACCACCACCACACCACCATTTGCTCGTACCACCATGGACTCCTCTTCCTCTCCCACACCCGCGTCAACGCTCACCTTCGACTCGGCGCAGATACTCCAAACGATTGTGCGCGACGCGCAGGACCAGCAGGTCGAGTACAATGTGCAAACGACTACCGCGAACGGGCGCGGTGTGGACAAGAAGCGGTGGATGACGTTCGTCGAGGTGGAGGGCGTGGCCACGGCTGCGATCGACTGGCGAGAGAAAACATTCGAGATCTCAGGGACGCGATGTGCCCTGTCCAAGATGAGGCGGAAACGGTCAGCGTTTGCGAGGTGCGCCAGGGCGTCATTGATTCGCTGGGTTCGCGGACACTGATCAGGGGCGCGCAGCTCGCGATACTGGACGTGGTTTGACTGTGAGGAGTACAAAGTCAAGTACGAGGCTGAGGCGGTCAATACATGGACTGTGCGTTCTGTCCCTCTCCTTCGAACATGTTCCTCTCGGACTGATTGCGTCTAGGTCTACTCATACACTGGCTCCGTGCTGGCGACGTTTTCCGCCTCGACATCACGGTTATTCCGCGGAAAAACGAACCCCATTCTGACGTTATCTTCGAGCGTTAGCGACGAGGAAGAACGGCAATTCATCTTGCTAGTATTGTTATACTCCGAGACCAGGAGAATGGAAGGTCTCAAAAAGGAGGTGGGTCGTTCTGCGCTAAAGCACTGGTCGTAGCTAGAATTGAATACTTGCTTTTTGCAGCGAGGACGCCGCCTAGTGGATCTCTTGAACAAAGGTGGTCCGTGAGCACTACGCCTTGGAGTGCCAAGACAGATCACTTGGTTCTGGACATGGGCGGCACGTCCGACGCTTCGACTTCTATTCAACACATACTCTCATCTTGTATCTTTCGGGCCGAACTTAATTTGTAGCATACCGTGCATTCCTCACAGGACGAGATCATGAACGTCTTTACGACCTTGCGCAATCCCCCATCTAAAGCTTGGGCATTCAATGGATGGCAACAGCAGATTGTCTGTCTTGACAGTTGTCAGTAGTGCTGATGAACAGCAGGGCCCGAGCGCATCCATTCCATATGATTGATTCTTCTTCTATTCGACGATTACCAGAGTATACAATGTCAGGGCCTGTGAGAGAGCGGGTGCTAGAGTGGGCAGCATAACTTAAGTCGATAACGGGTTACGGTCAGAGATCTGAGAAATCCGCGCCGCGTCGTAGTTTTGCGGGGAAAGAGGTTCTGGTGACGTCCGGGAGTGTGCGATCCTCGATCTCTGGCAGAACCTTCTCGATCTCGAAGCTCCCTATGGTGGCAAAGGCAAGTCAGCATCCGCACGGACGCGCGCACACATGCAAGGGGGCGGGGAAGGAAGTCCCTCACGTACACTTGTAGTGGCCCTGCGTCTTCGCGTGGTACTCGAACCAGACCCATCCCTGCGCCACGGCTCCGCACATCGACGCGGGCTTGTCAGGGTACTGTCAAGGGGGGAAGGGGGACACGCGTGAGCACAAGACTGCTAAGCCGAGCAGAGCGCGGGTCATGACGCACCAGGTAGTCGTTCGTCACGACCTTGTACGGCTCCGTGCCATACCCCTCCTCCACGGCACTCTGCAGGGCCGCCCATCCAGGAACTGAGTAGACAGGGCGTGTGAGTCCTAATCTAGGGTGACGATAGAGCAGACCCCTTACTGCTCTGCAGCTGGTCGGAGCTCAACACCGAGCATGGTCCAGGGTAGGCAGCAACGAAACCTAGCTCATTGAGGAACGATAGGAGAAGAAGTGCAGTCGCTGCCCAGCTGAGCACCCAGGACGACATGGCACAGGCAAAAGCAGTCGCGTCAAGGGACTTGTGACTGTCTAATTTTCTGACAGGTCACTGATTGATTGATTTGGGCTTCGCGGATTCGGGAGCGATCGCCAGGGCAACACTTAGTCCCTCCTCACTCTCCGTTAAATTTGAAGAAAGCAGTGGAGAGGATTTCTGAGCGGAAACATGTGAAGAAAGAAATCACGTCAAATCAATGACTGATTCCTCGTGCCTTCCAATCCTACACCAAGTGGTTCAACATCCTACATCCGGCTCAACACATCCAGCAGAAACGGAGAACTTATCGGCTAAATGAGTTGTTCTAAATTTACAGGATGCAATTTGATTCCGAAAGGGCCGCATCCGGTGATCGGCTCTTCTCTCAGCAATGGGCTGCTGAAACTTGGTTCTACTCTTTCAACCATCTGGAGAACTATGCCCGGCTTGAGGCGGCGGTGGCCGTATTGGCAATAAACGAGCAAAACTCTATCCCACAGGCTGCTCGTTTCAAATCAAGATGCTTCGACAAACGAGTCAATGTGTCGTGGACGCCCAAACACTCTCGTTTTATTCTACAGGAGCTGGCGAGCCAGAGCCAACCTCTCACATACTGCTATGATCCCCTCCTCTCCGCAATTTGCCACCGAAAAGCGGATCCACCGATCCTCTTCCGCATCCAGATCCTGGAAAAATGCACCCGGAAGTAGCACCACCCCGATCTCAGTCGCTAGCCGGCGACACACCTCGACCGAGCCCATGCCCTCGAACGGATGGCGCACAAATGCGAAATACCCGCCGATGCTGCCGACAGTCCAGCCTTCCGGCAGATTGTCGACGAACACCTGTCGTCGGCGGGCGAGCGACTCCGCCATTGCGAGAACTCCCGGGCGCAGATCGGCCAGAATAGGGCCGAGCGCGAGTTGCGGTGGGACGGGTGCGCAGATTTGCAGCGAGTCGAGGATCGTGTGCAGTCCCGTCATGTGGAATGCTGGTGAAGCCGCGACGAGCCCCAAACGGTGGCCCGGAATGCAGTATGATTTTGAGAAAGAGTATATGTGGATGAGGTTCCGACCCCAATCTGGTTGGGCGAACAGGTTGTGTGGCGGCGTAGTTGGTAGAAGAAAATCTCGGTACGTCTCATCTAGCACCAAGGCGAGATCGTGCTTCTGAGCTAGAGCGTAGAACGATGAGATCAGAGCTGGCGGATAGATTGCTCCGGTCTGCAGAGGTTTTCAATACTTGCGGAAGACTTTGGGTTGAAAATTCACATACCGGATTGTTGGGTGTAACCAGCACAATCGCCCTCGTTTTTCCCGTGATGAGTTTCTCACAGTCCTCGACGCTTGGTGCGAATCCTCTCTCCGGCCTCGTCTTGAGCGGAACAGGAGTAATGTTGAGCATGCTCAAAGTCATCCTCCAGAGCTCGGATCAGGTTCGTAGGAGGTTATAAAGATGCAGTAGGCATACTGGTGATTGAAGTACCTGAGTTCAAAAGCCGTTGAGAACGTATTCATTTATATAAACAAGATACTCACCACGGCGTAGGGAGGATAACTTGATCCCCAGCATCTGCTAGCGCCATGATGACGGCAACGAACGCCATATTGCACCCCGCGACCATGGAGAGATGATCCGCCGTCAGACCCTGCTCTCCTGCCCCATAGATCCCGCGCATCTGCGCCGCCATCGCATTTCGAAGTGCTGCGTTGCCCCCGGCCGTGCCGTATCCGAAACTGCTTACGGACGACGAGGCGGTGGCTAGTGCTGATTGGAGCCGCGGTTGGGGAGGATCTCCGGGCACGCCTCTAGAATCGTATTTTCGATAAACACGTACAATCTGCATGCGATCGACGCTGTGAGACTCACTGCGACATGTCAAGTTTTGGCCCGTGCGTCCCATCGTACTGCATTCCCCATTGATACGCCAGTGGTATCCTGATGCGATCAAATAAGGCGTTAGTATAGATGCCGCGAGAGTTTGCTGTGCGGCTGACGGAGGACTCGCAGTGCTTGACAAGCCGCGTGAGAGCTTGAAGGCAAACGCTTGCTCATCGGACATGGCGGTCAAAGAAAAGAGTAGTCCGTCGGCCGATCGGTCCGCTCAGCCAGCGTGCGAAAAAGTTGGGTGGGTGGGTTCACCGTTCACACCGATCGGTACTTCCCGTGGAAGCTGTACAGATGAGTCTAGACTGCCTGTGGCCCTGTGCACGGGACCGTCCGATGCAAATTCTCCAAGATGAACCTGGCCGTAGCCAATAGTCATCTGTTTAGGCAAGCCGTGCGATGGGTACATGTGCTGTCGTCCATGAAGCTCTAGGATCCCGAAAAATGTCTCGCTTCTGCTGGATAGGCTAACCCAGCTCCGAGCTCCGTCGCTCTCCTGATCACGTCGTCACGGAATAGCCGTCCAACTCCCCCCAGAACCTACATGTCTCATCTCAGCTGCTTAAACTCGAGTTTCTCCGGCCGCAGTGATCCTAGTGACTGGCATCAGAGTGCATCGAAAGAGCACGCATGACTCTCACCCTTGGGTACCTCCAGATTGCTCGATGAACGTCTGATGCCTCGATCTCACTCTTTTTCTGCAGCATCTTTCCCAACCTAAAAATATCCCCAGAGTCGAATTCACGTGTCAGCTCGAGTCATCTGTGGATGAATTGATGCCTCACCAAGATCTGGTCGTCTGCAATCGCGTGGTGCATTGGAGATTGTGATTCGCGTTTGGGTGCTGTTTGCAGTGACTGACTTGAACGGATTCCCAACAAGACACTCGCTTCTCCGATGAAGGCGCTTCGCCAATTCGACGAGGTGGATACGGTAATCATCGAGATCACAACCAAGATCAGTCAAGTAGCCAGCTCTCCACAGTACAGCTTCCGCGATACGATTTCACAGAATCTGGGGGATATGAGAACGTTTGGATCACTTCGCGATGATCATCGTTCAAACTCATATTATTAACAGGTTTTTTCTCTGCGGTATCTGCCCACCTTCAAGAGCTTCTTGGGATCTCCGTGCATTGACGGGTTTGTGGCGATAATTAGTGCGCGATATCCGAGGGTTACTTCATTCCGAATCTTCTTGACAGAAATGTGAAAATCATATAAAAATGAGAATGACTCAAATTCAAATGAACATCGCGACATACAATATAGTGATATTTTCACTCATGGATGGCGCGAGCCCTCGATAAGACATAAACAGGCACTCTGGCCGTGATGTCCCATACCAGTCAAAGGAGACCCATGTCTCCTCCCGTGTTCAAAAGCTGTCGGAAGATCTTGGAAACTTTGACCGGTCGTATAATCTCCTAGCAGGTCAACCTCACTGATCCCGAGGCAAAGGGGTGTCCTCGAGCTGATGTTCCTGCCCTGGGTCTTCCGTGTTTGTGGCGGATGTAGTACGTGAGATATGAGCAGATAAAGTAAGAAAGCGTCCAGAAAAGTTTCAAAGAAATTACTGCGTTTTGTGCCCAAACCACACACGCATTACTGGGAGAGTGTTTCAACTTGAGAGGAAGAACACGATAAGATAAGATCCGATCAACTAGGATAGGCGATGACCAAGCACGCGCAAGCAATCTCCTTGACACACCTGCCTGCTTGTGCTCAAACCTGATGACGCTGCTACTGAATGATGTCTCGTCCCTGCTCTCCATGTCAACGCACCCCAGATGGCCACAACGAACACCTATTCCGTAACCCATTCACATACTCGTGGTGTTGTCCGTTGAGGCTGCTGTGATAATGCACGGGTCAAGCAGTGGGCCTTTCTTGCGACTTGCCATACCGGCTCCATTCACCTTTGCCTGCTGGCCCTCACGTTCACCATCTCAACGCCCTTGCTTTCTCTATTTCTTCCTTCGCTCCTCGCATCCTTTTATCTCCATCTCCACCCCCCATTCTGGTATCAATGTCCGAGTGCACAGTGACGTCTTGTCGACGCAGCCCGCAAGACGGAGTTTATCCCGAGTCTTTCGAGGCTCCCAAAGAGCAACGGCAAGATGGAAATAGCTTCAGGTCCTCAGGACAGGTACAGGCCCTCCCTGGAGGAGGACCTGGGGACTCAGAAGCGGTGGGTAGCAGCACGGATCTCAGGTGTGCCGTTTCTCTCCAACCAGGTTCTGCGTGCATGCTCAATGAGATTCAGCGGCGGCGGAAATTCAACTCAGCACGGGCTGAGTTCTATCATCAAGTCGGCCAGCACGGTAGTGGAGACGGTCTCGGTGGCGAGCACGCAGGGAGTGAATGTCGGGGTCACGACGACATTCGCGCTCAGCAGTGCTACAGCGTTCACAAGCAGCTCACTACCGATTTCGTCCTCATCTTTGTCAAGTGCGTTGCATGGTTCGTCAACGACCGCCGCGACGCCGAAGTCCGCGACCGCGTCATTACGACCGTCGAAATCGGCGTCTGTATCCTCGCGACCAGCATCTCTATCGCAAGCTGTCCGTCCGTCATCCTCTGCAACAGCGGAAGCGTTTCTCTTTGCTCCATCTGCATCCACTACATTCTCGCCTTCGTCCGCGGTGCTACAAACACCTGTTGACTCAACGACATCGGTGTCATCCCTCCCATCTGTCACGTCTCCATCGCACTCAGCTCCATCCTCCATCGGCTTCCTCTCAGAAACTGTGCTGGGCGAGAAGATTATACCGACTCTCGGACTAGGGTCGACGGACGTCGGCGCGGCCTCTCCCTCACTTCTCCCGCCAGCTGGTGGTGCGGCCGGTGCCTCGCCATTGTCTTCATCAAACTCCAAGTGAGTATAACATCTTTCTTCCTGTCCATCTTGCCACAGAGCTGATCTTACCGCTGTCCAGACTGGCGTCGGGGGTCTCGTCCCAGGTGGGCGTCATCATCCTGGCCGTGGCACTGGTGTCGTTCGTCGCAGCGGCGGTGAGTGTGCGCCAGTTGCAGGCCAGGAGAAGGAGACGCCGCCTAGCGCTGAGTGGGGATGGGTTTGAGTCTGCGCGGCAGACGAGGCAGGGGGGGTCGTATGCGCAGCTGCCTTGAGGGCTTGCCTGTGATACATTCGGTTATACATGTTTCTCTACTGCACACAATGATATGCTCAGCTTCTGCTTGCCATCATATGGGACCATCCGTGCGCGATGCGCTATTCTCCAAGACATGCGACACCACGACAAGTCGAAAAACGGACTGTGGTCATGACATGGCCGTCACACTCTTGGCATTCGTCTCGCAGTGCATGACTTGTGCGGGGGCTGCCTCATTGCAGTACTCAAGCTCTACCCTGGCCGTGGGACCAGCACTTGCACATTCTCGACCGGTTTGAGCGATGCCTGAGATCTAAATATGTAAGTAAGATCGCTCTTCTTTGTTCGCTTCTGCTACGGGCTTGATCACTCCGTTCCAGTTGACAGCCAGAGCTCCATATATGCGCCTCAGGAAGGAAACAAATACACATATATAATCGGGAACTTATGCCCAATGGATTACCACGTACTCATTCGTCCCATCCCCCATCTACAAAGAGCAACAAGACCACTTCCGCAATGCGTTTTGACCTCCATTCCCTCGTCCTCGGTGCACTTCTCAGCGGCGCCCTCGCCCAAAGCACGACCAGCGATACGGCCACTGCGACCGACAGCGCGTCTGCGGCCACCTCGGGCGCGTCCGGAACGGATGCTGCGACTTCTACGACCGACGCCAGCGCAGCGGCGAGCGCGACCTCGGCGGGTCTGTCTCCCTGCGCCGCGACTTGCATTACCCAGGCTGCGGCTGCCTCCAATTGCAAGGGCATGTGCGTGGCTTTCCAGTCGAGCACGCTCTATATGCTGACCGAGCGATGTCGACAGTGATAATCTCACGTGCCTGTGCACGGACGCGACGTTCCAGACGCAGGCCGCTAGCTGCTTGGCGGGTGAGTGTAACCCCGCCGAGGGCGAAGCGGCGATGGCATTGCAGGTCGCCCAGTGCGCGCCCGGTGAGTGATATGCGTGACGACCTCTTTCACCACCAGCGTGTCTCCGGACTGGTGTCCCGACTTCTCTGCTTGCCTCGGAATGTATTAGTGGCTAACGCCACCCTTCAGCAAGCCTTTCCGCGACTTCGCCCCCGACAGCAACTGCGCCGTTCCTCCCGGCGAACTCCAACGCCGACGCGAGCTTTGCCCCGAGTGTCAATGCCTCGGCGCGTAGTGCCAGTGCCAGCGGTACGTGTCTCTCCCCGACGCAGTGCGATACACTCACCACCCCGCTTTTAAGCTTCAGCGTCGGCTGCCGCTGCGTCCCCTTCCAGTTCTGCCAGCACCAACACCGACATCGTGATGGGTGCAATCTGGGCTGCAGCGGTTATGATGGTCGGTGGCGTTGCAGGTGCTTTTGTATGATGCATCACCGTATAAGAAAGGAACAGACAGAAGAAGGCAGGCGATCGAATTGTTTCCAGTGTAATACCACCTATTTCCCAGATTCTCGAATGGTTAAAGGTCTTTCATGTTGTCTTCGAACTCTCAGGGCACGGATGTATGACCCCTCAGTCAAGACGCTTTCACGGCAAGATGTCCGAGTGGTCTAAGGAGTGTGACTCAAGCGTTTGGCTTGCCCGATAAATTCGGGTTTCTCATCTCAGCAATGGGGCGTGGGTTCAAATCCCACTCTTGTCAAGTTTTTGTTGTCGTCGCCTGGTGCTTTCCACTGAAAATTAATATTTTGCGCTACACTACGATTGCAAGTCAAACAAAAAACTGGAACTTAATAGACCCTGTAACGTAACCCAGATCACGAACATACAAAACACAAGAACACCCAAGAATACATATCCATACACACTCGCTCTCTCCCCTACCCTCATGTGCGCTACGCCGTCACCAGCCTCAAGCAACCCACCGGATCTTGACGATCCTTCACAAGCCCTTTCACCACTGTCTTTCCCAGCAGGAAATCGACCCGCTTGACTCCATCCGTGCGGACGCGCATCTCGCTGTCGCGTAGCTGCGCCGGCGGTGCACCACTCCTCACCGCCTCGGCACGACACCGCTTCGTGAACGCCGCCGCGACGCGCGCCTGCGTCTCCCGCGGGAGCATCTCCCAGTCCGTCGCGTCGATGCGCGTGTGCAGCGCGCGGTGCAACGACACGAGCACGTCGCCTAGGGCTATCGGGGGCAGGAGCTGGTTGCGCTGCTGGTACTGCTGCCGCGCCTGGTCGGGGATGCGCAGGTCGACGGGCCAGAACGGGATGTCCGGATGCAGGATGCGGACGTCCGTGCGCGCTGGGTGGAACGCGCCGATCGCGAAGTCCGCTGCGTCGAGCGGTGCGCCGCGGTCCGGTGCGGTCATCTTGAGGGGCGAGAACCGCGCGGGCGCCAGGTCGAAGAAGAAGTACGGCGAGGGCGCGTCGCCGTTCAGGAACGGGTGCACGGAGTCTTGCGATGGCGGTGGCTGGCTCTGGGGGTTCCACTGTGGGGGGGCGGGCGACGAGTAGGAGTGGATCCAGGCTGGGCGCGGCGGGGCACCTTCGGAGCCCCATGACACGGAGCGCTGGTGCGACTGCACAAAGGCGGGTGTCGTGGGCTGCAGGAACGGCGACGCTCCACCCTGCTGGGGTGCAGGACCCTGCCACGACGTCGTGCGCTGGCGAGTAGGAACCTGGTCCGCCCACTGCACGGTTGTGGCCCTAGGGAGCGGTGTGTCGGACGGAGCGAGCGGTGTGTAGCCGAGGTACGGGGAGGACGAGAGGAACGGGGACGGTGGCAGGAAGGGAGACGGGCCGCCGTGCGGGGACGGGTAGAAGTTGCACGGCGGAAGTGCCGCGGCACCTGCCGCGAGCGGAGATGACGGATCCTCTTCAGGGACGTATACGAAGGGTCCGGACATGTCGGAAAGCGTTATCAGAGTGGGAGGGCAAGTTCTAGCGGTGCGATAGAATGTGGGGGGGAGGAGAGAGCGATCTTTGGGATCCTCTAGATCTGTCGCATTTATGAGTACGGTTCAATCAGAGCGGTGCGTTGTCGAGGCAATGGACTCGACTAGTACCAACACTAAATCAAGGATTGTCGAGTGCTGTGCTCCAAGTCACGTCGGTGGCGGTAAGCACAGTGCCGGGAGGTGACGTCCACGTCCCGAATCCTTCTGTCAAGTACTCTCCGTGGCTGTCGTAGAAAATCGCAGTTAGAGCGGGAGTGAGGGTGGAAGACGAGCAACTTGGGAAATGACGGGCAGCGAGTCAATTTTCGTATCGCCGTCGGCGCTCATCAGATCATTATCAGTCGCTTGAAAAAAATGTGATCAGATTAGATTAGATAGTACGAGATCCGCGATGTCTTCCAAAGATCGATAAATTTTCTCAGCGTTCTTTCTCCCGAATGTCTCAGAAGTGGCGCGACGCAGAAAGAGATAAATATCTAATTTACGGTGTTTCTGAAAAGTTGTTATTTCATTCTCTTGTTCAAAGTGTGTCAGTCGTGAGTCACTTGAGTTCCCAGCGGAGAGCACGGTCATCAAACGCATTCAGTGAGCGACGAAGCGCCTTACCGCATGAAAATTAATCGGAAAGAGTGCGATATTCTCAAGCAGTGCTGGAATCTGGCGCAATTTCCGCAGTTTCACTATCACCAATTCAACCCGCTGTTCATCTACTCCACTCGCCCTGAAAGCCTTGTCGAACAACCTTAGCAAACTTCATTAGGCCCCATTTGCCACAGAACTCATGGATTTTTTGTCTCAGGACACTTCCTGCCGTCGGTCTCTCTCCGAATACGGTATCTGGGTTCAAGCAACAGCCACACTGATCTGATTGCGGCCATCCAACCTGAGGCTTTCTCAGCGTCCGAAGCGGTGATTTTTCAAGTCGCCGGCCGTTCGATGCTGTTGTAAGACCCGCACCGTGAAGCTACTATCAGACTCACTGAGCAATATGTCCCTATTAGTATATCGCCGCCCCACGTCCCTCGACGTCCGTCCGGCGAAGGCAACGCATCATCTTGCCTACTCACCAAGCCTCCATCACAGCTCTGCCACAGACACAACCAGGCTCTCGGTAGCCCAGCTCCCGACGCATTCCATCCACCTCGCAGATCATCGTCGTCTGCGCCCTCAACGCGCGCGACGGCGATGAGACAAACTAGTGAAGGACGGTCGGGGGGAGGGCGGCGGGCACGGAGCGGTACCGAAAGATGGCGATGAGATGGATTCGCTGGCGTACGGGCGCCGGTGTCCAGTGCTGTGCTCCATGTCCTAAACGGTCGATGTGGCGTAGCGGGTGTCTCCGTAGACTTTTAAGGAGGGGAGGGAGACGGAGGACGGGCCTCAAACCGTATCGGCAAGAAGCATTCCAGCGGGAAGTTCTCTCGTCTCAGTCGTCACGACCATGATAATATAGGTTTGCTACAATGAGGAAGGACTCCCCAAGATTTCCGCATCCGGATAATTGATTCGGGTAACGTCAATCAAGCAGTACCACGACGAAGTGGAATCATCTGCTTTCGAACTCCCGCGCGAACTCGCATTATTCATGGCCACTGCTTCAAGTGAACGGGAATCTACATGCTGGCAGATACTGTCTATATATGTCCGCTGAGCATCAGCTCTCCTCCCACGACCGGTCGTTTATGTACATCGAGGAGTTCTTGTTGATCAGGGTGTTATTCTCAATCACTCCCTTGAAAGTTTCCTCCCCCGTGGTGCTCTTCTCCCGCGTTATCCGGCGCCCCCATCATTTCGATTAGCTCCCCTTCATGAAAGGGTGAGCCTTGTCCCAATGGCGTGCGGCGCTGAGAAGGGCCGGTACATCCTCCTCCTCCGGTGCCCTGCGTCTGTACCACCGAGGCTCCGGTGACGGTGGTGGTGTTGCTCTGCGCGGGGATGGGAACGGGCGCAGCCATTGGCGGTGCGGATGCACCAGTACCTGACTGTCGGAAGGAATAAACTGAGAGACCGGATCTCTTCGCAAGAATTATGCTCACCATTGCGCCAGTACTCCCCGAGGCCCCGTTGCCGGCGTTGGGACTGTTGGTCGGTTGGCTGTGCGAGTGGCTCATGGCGAGATTTAATGTGTGTGATACGGAGTCCGGAGTGCTCTACATTCCTTATAAACGGTGCCGCGAGTCAAAGCACCAGTTGTGGGCCTGCTCGATAGCCTGTCTGTGCAGGGCTTTGACTGGCGTTAGGGCTTACAGCTGCGTCACAATATGGTTCACATTTCCTTCATACGATTCCGCAAGTCTAAGCACTTGGGCTTTATGTTATCGGCTTGTTTGATGGCCTGCCTGTCTTGACTCGCCGGGGCTTTGAGTGGCGTTAAGGCTTACATCTCTGTCACGTGGGCGTGAGGGGCTTCTCGGACACCGTCCATCAGATTCTCTCACGTGCTTTCCGATCTGACCAACTTACAGCTTGCTGTCATGGGCGCTATGATTTCGCTGCTCTAGTTTTCATCGATAGTCCATTTCCTTGATTCCGTCCCGCCATACGGCGAGCAAACTCCCCCGGTGATTCATATCTCGATCCTCGCTGCCCCCGGCGTGCGTATAAATAACAAAGCCTCCTTGCTCACTATTTTCGGGCTAGTCCATCTATCCACTGTGCGATGCTCGCCTCATATCTCGTCGCAGTAGCCCTACTATGGACTCTGCCCGTGTCAAGCACGCCAGTCACGCTCTACGATGTGTCCCTCGCGCTAGTTCCAACGCCGACGCAGCTGAGCGGGATCATCCTCCCTGAACAAGCCACCCTGTCGCTTTCCGCCGGGGGGACTGACGCCGCGCACGCGACGACATACGTCGCGGTCATCGGGCCGGCTAACAGCGCGTCAGCGGTGCAGACCGTGAACGGTCTCCCCGTCACGTTTCCGACCATCACAGGTACACGATCTCCACATACACACCGTAGCAGCACGTGTTCACCGGAATATCCACAGAAACCTTTATCGAAGGCCCGACCGGCCTCGTGCAATACGAGACCCTTCTCCCCAGCGTCACACTCGCGCTGAGCTGCCACTGGGCGACCGCGAGACTGGGCGCCGCAGCGCCGTGCGGTATCGCGGTCGAGGCTGGCGGCACGACCGCGGCTACGACCTCTTTCACCGGCACGCTGACCCCGTTGACGACGCTGGGCGCGGGGCCGAGCTTCGTTATCGCGTCGGCAGTCAGTGCCAGTGCGCGGAGTCCGACAGGGGGCGCTGGGGCCCTGCGGGGGTCGGGGGTGGCGGTGGCGGGTGTGGCCGGGTTGGTTGTGTTTGCGCTGCAGAGTGTCGTATGAGGGGAAGCGAATGGTGCTCTGCCGTTCGTTTATATTGAAACGATAGATTCAGGGATTTATCATCGAATTCGCTGCGCGTTGACACCGCGCGCTGATTAGATAAGAATGACTAGGCTCAACTGCTGGCTTGCGAACACCCTTCAAGAAATAAATACACAGCTGCGACGCGCCCTGATTTGTTCACAACTAGACGTGCGCACCACTTCGCTGATTCCTGCGTCCGTGAATCCCGTGGGGACATAATCCACCAATGTCTGTTCGACCACGGGACACTGGAACATGCTGCTCCTTGCTGATTCGAAGAGCGAGTGTTTTAAGACCTCAGTTGCTGAAGGCCAACGCCCGTTCGTGGCCGCGTGGCAAAATGGTTACTGCGTTGCTTTCCGGTCCTTCCCCCATGTCCACTATAGGCAAAGATTCTGTGTTCGATCCACAGCGTGGTCGTCCTATGTTTTTGATTCCCTCCCCGCACGAGTGGTTGTACTGCCCTGTTCTCACTTGTCCAAAATACCTACAAACGGCCAATCCTCGTGACTAGGACTTTTCCATCACAGGTCATCAATCCGGCAGGCATGGCTTGAAACCAGTGCCCCCGAAGTGTATTGCACAGCCTAGAGGCGAGGCATTTCCCCTGCAGCGGGCTGAACACACCGCGGGTGAACATATGTATCTGAGACAGACTGATCTTTATTCCAACATTGGAGTGGCCGCCGAAATTTACAGGCTCGCCTTTGGCGTCGACGAACGGGACGTTCAGTTGTGTCGAGACAAAAGCCTGGATGCGTCGCTGTGGATTTTCCGTTCCATGTATGAGCTTCCCATTCAACGTTTCTCTCGCTACATATTCTCTCGAATCTCCCGCCGCACTGAGTCATTTCAGATGGACATATCATTGCCATCAAGGCTGTACCCCGAAATCGGATTGCCGAGCGCGGCGAGGCGGAGATTCATCAAAGTACGGCTTTTGATCACCGTCGTCTCGGCGGGTATATATGCCCCGCCCTCTTGCCTCCACTGGCATTCACATTCCACTGCATCTCGTCTCTGCCATGATCTCTTCCCTCTCTCTTCTCGTCTCCCTGAGCTCGCTCTCCCTTTACGCCCAGGCCCAGCTGTGCGTCGCTTTTTTGTGCTCACAGGGTGATCTGCTCGATTCTCACGTCGATACAGCGCGGGGCAGACAGTCCAGCTGCAGACCATCCTTACTGCCAGTAAGCGTGTCATCTCTTACTCCTTTTTCAGCACGTACTCACGGATACTTCAAGGCGGGAACTGCCTCACCGCCGCCTCTAACGCCGACGGCGCACCCGTCACGATCGAATCCTGCTCGACACCCTCCGCGGCGAACTCGTGGGTGCTGCCCAACGGCGCGCACAACTCCGGCCCACTGCAGATCTACGGCAACAAGGTGCGTGTTTCTCGCTCGATGCGACTCCGTGCGTCGGTCGGTCGGCCGGTCCCTCCTGACGCGTCGTCTGCTTGCAGTGCCTCGATGTGATCAACGGCGCCAAGGCGGACGGGACGAAGCTGCAGATCTGGACGTGCGCAGCGGAGAACACGAACCAGAAGTGGGTGCCTGCGGGGGAGGACTCGCCGATCGTCTGGTCCGGCACGAACCTCGTGCGTGCTCTTCATTCGTATACCCCGACATACACCCTACTCTGACGCTCGCTCGCTCCCTGCCAGTGCGTGGACCTCACGGGCGGCTCGACCACGGCCGGGAACCAGCTGCAAGTGTGGAGCTGCGACGCGCAGAACTCGAACCAGAAGTGGAACCACGTCGCCGTGACGCAGCCGAAGACGTTCAGCATCGCGCTGCAGCACGTGCAATCGCAGGCGTTCTGCATCGCTGCGACCTCCGCGGCAGCCAACGCGTCCGTCGCGATCGAGGCGTGCGCAGGCGGCGCGGCGCTGCAGACTTGGGCGGACCCGCAGAACACGGGCCAGATGATGCTCGCGTCGACGCAGGGGAGCGCGCTGGAGCTGTGTGTGCAGCCGATGGCGTTCCTCTCGATCAGCCCCTCGCCGCTCGTGCTGGCCAAGTGCGACGCGTCGATAGCCTCGCAAGGGTTCAACCACCAGCTGGAGCAGCCGGGGATC